TGACCGGTTTGGTGGAAAGTTGTATAATCCAAATTTAGGATACGGCAGGCCTATCCTGTGAAAAATTTTAAACACCTAAAGAAGAAACTTAATTTGCAACTGCAAGGTATGGGCATTCCGAAACCGGAAATGGTTGCGCTAACATCTTCGTGTTCGAAGACAAACTTCGCGGGTTTACTTGCAAATTTGAGTCGGGGATAGGAAAAAAATTGAAGCAAAAATTATCCGGAACCCCCAAAAATTTCATTGACAATAGAAATTACTCGCGTACGTGATGATTGAAGATCAACAAAATGTTATACACATTCACTGGTTTAAAAAGGAGTTTACAAGGTACTTTCCTGGAAGCCACGACGTCGAGACGGTAGCTTCTTGAAAGTTAATACAAAACCCTTTCAGTGTCAAGGTACAAGAGATTCCTTATGAAATTTAAGAATTCATCTAAATGCATAATGATAGCAACTACAAGGATGCAATCGAATTAGCCATAAACCTCGAAAAGTTCTGGTTCAAAAAAGGAATTTTCATATAATAAGCTACGAGAAAACTCTTTACGGTCTCTGGTTATGTTTTCGGCAACTTTTTGGTGCGAAGAGGGATTTTTTATTCTGCTTCTGATCAAAACAGGTCAAGGAATCGGTTAAACACTGCCGACGACATGCATTAGCTTTGAGCGGCAGTATCTGTCTTAGCATTTTGCAATTAGTTTATAATATGCAATCACAAAAATCTCATTAATTTTTTTTTTTCTCACATAAAATATTATCGAACGGGTACCCTTATAACCGATTAATCGCTCCCAACTGTAGGGCGTCCTCTTTGGGAGTTACGGTTAATTTCGACAGATTAAGAGTTTTGTTGCTCAACCTTTACCAAAAAAAAAATTGTATTCATTTACCGTGAACCAAAATTTAAGGAGTACAAAGGTTTTCCCAATTGGAAATACAATTTATTGATTACCTTAATAGAAAAGAAGTCTCAGAAGGGCTCTACTCTCCAAACATTTAGCGATTAGAGAATAAAGGCTCTCTCTTCGGGCAGCTCTTATTATCATAAACTGATGAAAGGTTGCTTTCAATGGTAAAGGGGTGGGAGGGGTAACTAGAGAAAAGAAGGAGATAGAAACGAAAACAGGAGTTGTAATTAACGAATAAAATTATAACGGGAGGCAATTGCGTCATCTCTAAAATGTAAAACTCTAAGCACTAAAATTTGCTCTAAAAAGGGAATTCTCTATATTAAGATGAAAATGGTGATGGCATTATTGAATAACAAGACAGGTTCAATAATCCTGTTGGATAGTTTAGAAGCACATTCACCGAATGACTGTATCACTGATTTAGAAAATTTTGACTGATTTCTTAGGGACTAATAGACAGTGAACAGAGGAAGATTTATGAAAGTAGTACATTGATGCAGAAGAGTACTTTTGCCGAAATTTTTAATTTTTCCGCTCTGCTCAAACTCGCTGAAGCATGGCAACTAACCAATAATTTAACAGAAGCCATATAACTGGCACAGATCAGTTTTAAAAGCATCATTCAGGTATATAAAGAGGTCTACAAACTGAGGGAGACACTAATTAGTAATATAAAGGGAGAAATTAAGGCAAAGACTATTAAAAGCGACAGTGAAGGGTTTACCGACGTGGAAAATTTGGCCACAAAGAAGACACATGCTTTTCAAAGGGCAAGAAGAGCTTTAAATGCGGAAACATTGGCCACTTTGGAGGATAACATCTGCGTGGCAGCCAGGTTTTAAATCGGAACGGCTACATCCTTAAGTCTTACGCTGAAGAACGCGGGTTGAGAGCCCACAGTTGCCAACGCACCACTGGCGAGGAAGACGGGTACAATTGACCGTGTTGGACATCGCCGTGTTAAAAAAGATATGCCTTCCAACGGCTTCTAATGAATTGTGACTGGATTATTTGCCTGTTCTGCTTGAAGTGGACTACGAAAAGGAAGCAATAAGAAACATTCTTTCGATCTTACAAGAATTGGAATAAACCCACCGAATTGCTCCAGAAGACGCCCCCACAGTTTACGACACTACCCGAAACTTCCGCTAAACTGAACAGTGCTGATGTCGAATTCGAATGCGCGATGACAGAAGCTCGCAGCAAAGCAGCAGCCGCACTTGAATTGTGTACCGCCCTAAATGCCTTCCTGAGGAACTGAAGTCGTTGATATGAGAGTCGGCGACTCATCCAAGTACTCATGACTTTTCAACGTTCAGAAGACAAACTAGTGCTAAGCCGCCTTCACCGGCACATTTGGAAACGCAGATGGCGCATATAAACTATCAATGGGATAACATGTTAGACGAAGTATCGGAAGCTGATGACCTCAGTCGCGACTCTTTTTGGGATTTTGTCAAGCGAGTTAGAAATCGAGGGCTTTCTACTCGGCCACCTGCAACGACGATACCGTAGAGCGATTGAAATAAAACGACTTTGTGCTGTTATCTAGCTGTCCAGTGTTCGTCGTCTACCCCTTCAACCGTCGACAACCCCCCCTCCCCTTGTGCCTAATATTATTTCGTCTGATACAACTGCCTGGAGCTGTCTACCCCAGATGAGATAAAACACATTGTCAAATTACTACCGAGACGAAAGGCGCCCGGTCCTGACGGTTTCACCGACCTATTGTTAAAACAATTGCCATAGGCTGCTATCATCTATGCAGCCTCGTCCACTTCGGTGTTGACTTTCGGCTATTTTCTCGCCTAGGGAGGTCGTGCTGTTACCAAAGACGTCGCAATGGCGTCAGAGCCTGTCAACCATCGACCCATCAGCCTTTTCTCGGTAGTGGGTAACATAGCTGAAGCAATGATACTTAATCATTTGAAGGCGTCTGTGGACACTTCTGGAATTTAACAGAATTTCGGTTTGGATTCCGCAAGAGCGCTCAGCAGCCCAGCACATTCTTCGCCTAACTGAGTGGACGAACAGAGCCATTAATTTCTGAATAGCCACCGCACTGTCTCTCTCGATGTTAAGTAAGCTTATTGAGTATAGCATGGTGACCTGCTAAGCAAGCTAAGTCTTTGGCAATATCGCGCGGGTCTTCGAGAAGTACTCAAGTCGTACCCAAACGGCTGGGCCTTCAACGTGCGAGTAGGCGCTGTACTGTCGTCGCCTCGCTATCTTATATCGGGAGCCCCGTGAGGGTCTCTTCTATCATTGCTGCTATTCGCGCTCTATACGAGCGAAATCTCTCTTCCAGCCCACCCTCACACCTGGTTGCCATTTACGCCTATGATACAATGATTCATTCTTCGTCAAATTCACCCGTTTTACTATGTCAGCACTTACAATTTAATCTCGAGGCGCTTGCTAGCTGGTGTCGTCAATGGGGCCTCTCCACTAACGCAGCAAAAAGCAAGGCGCTTCTTAAAACGGAGAACTGCCATGCGCTGCCGACTCCGTTAGTTTTTAACGATATGAAAATTCCGTGGTGTTCTCTGGTAAAATACCTGGGGGTCATTATTCTAAAAGTTGTAGTGGCGTCCACACGTAAGCTACGTGGCGGCGAAGGCCAAGACAGCGACGCAGCGACCCAAATGCATATCCTCTATTGTGTGGCAGAAGTAAACTTTCGTAGGCGAAGGCTTTAACTATGGCATATACTTCTCCTGCTTGCGATTTATCGGCAGTGAGCTCTCGCATTAAGTACGACATGACAAACTGCTGCGCCTTTTAACAATGCGTCGTGGTTTGTGCGCATTGATACTCTTCACCACGAACTCCGCAATCTTCCTTTTTAGTGGAAAAACTTACAAGTTGTGAAAGGCGCGGCGCACTCTTAGCATGACGGTTGAAAGCTAATTTCGGTGTTTAATTCGAACGTTAAGGGCACAATTTTACTTGGACTCTTAACGACTAAAAACCTGTGTGAGCGCTCGAGTATTCGAAGTTATTAACTCGATCGAGTAATAGAAAACGCCATTAAAAAAAAATAAATGACTGTTGAACGGGCGATTAGTCAAAGTTAATATATAGCTTAGTAGTCTAGGGGACAATTAAGTAGATACTTAGTAAACTAGTTTAACTAGACACTAGTACCCACTAGAAGAATTGTGAGCAAGGTTTATATTTTACAAACCTTTTTCCTACCGACTACTGTTCTTAGTTTTTGCTTTTGCTTTTCTTGTTCCTTTGTAAAGAGTAAGTTCGCCGTTTTCATAAGTAGGTTTTACTACCATATTACATATCGATTAGTCCTTTACTTGGTGAAATTGCCTTTTTATTGTTTACCTTAGATTGTTATTCTGTTAGTAGACACAAGACCCCTTTACCTAACAAGACGAAATGGCTAGTTTTCATAAACATTTGTTGGGTAAATAAAGCTTTGCTTGAAAACGAGAAGTATTTCCCTATTAAAGTTTACAAATTCTTGTTATCATTACGTTAGAAACTATGCTACTGAAGTTTAAGGGTTGGTATTCAAATAAAATATAAAATAAGTTGCCAGTTTTTCTTTATTAAGCTTTAATCCCTTCATTTAATAGTATTCTATTTTAAAACTCAAAGTACATATTAAAAAAATCTTCAATGTTAAAAGAAAGGTGTTTTTAACAACAGAAAAAATACTAACCAGGCGCATGTTATTTTAAAAAATTAATTAATTAATTGTTAAAAGTAAAAACATTAACGTAAAAATATAGTAAAGAAATATAGTTATATAAAAATACAATATATACTATTTGATGACCATAACGATTTTGCAAGGCCAACAGGTGTTAATTTAAGTTTACTTTAATTTAAAAAGGGTGTAAAAGAGGTTTTAAGTTGCTAGATACCTTAGTTAACAGTTCATTTAAAATTTCTGCACATCGAAATATCTATAATTAGTTCTACGTTTAATATTGGCAGATTACCATTAACAATTATAACATGAAAACTTCAGCCTTTAAGGAAACTGTGAAACCATAAAAATAAACTTTGAGGGCTTTTTTACAAACAGTTACCTCTTTACTTGATAACAGTACCACAATTGTACTGAGTCTGAGCGATATAAACTAAAATTTAACAATGAAAACGGCAGATACTACTGAAAAATTTCACATTGCCCATGAAAGTACTCATTTAAGAAAACCCATCTTTGAAGGTTTTTTGACTTGCTACTGTTTTTCAAATAATTAAATCATTAACTGTTCTCACCGGCGTATTTTCTTTTATGTCATGAATAGGCTATAACGATTATGAGCAGCCGTCAATTTGGGTGTCTTTTTTTACATATTTCAGCTACGCTATATTATCTGTGTACGGACACATTTATGACTTACTTGTAAAACTCAAAGTTAAGGAGGACGTACTTAATGAAATTGAAAAAGGAAACGAAGGTGTAAATAATGCCTTCTTTTTTTATAAAGTTAAACGTCCTTTTTTAAGTCGTACTATTATTTTCTTTTGAGTTTTATTGTTTAATTTTAATTTTAGCTTTAAGAATGACAATAATTAATAGATAAAGAGGATTGAGAATAGCTTTTAACTTTTTTACTAATTTAAAAAATTGTCTTGATAAATTTTCTGTGTTGCTTTGCATTGTGAAAACTAATATTTTTTTGTTTTTCATTTTTTTTAAATACCTGAAGCGAACTTTTTTGAAATCAGGTACTTAATTTGAACCTTTTTGTTGCCTTTATATTATACATTGAAAGAAGCAAAAGTTTTTTCTACTCATTCTTTTAAGAATATTAAATAGTTGCTTTAGAGGTAAATATTATTTTTAAACTTTAGACTCTCTTTGGTTTGCCATATTGATTTTTAATTAAAAATTTAGTGTGATTTAGTAGCTTTAGTGCATTCATACTAATAAACTATAAAACCTAGTTTTGATTGATTTTTAGTAGCAAAAATTAACTATTATTTTAATCAAAATTAAATATATTATAACTTTTAAATAATTAATTTATCACCATAAAAAGTAAACACTTTTTTAACATAGAGCTTATTTTTGTTACTTACATAAACTATTATACTTATTGAACGTATGGTTTTGCAATTGATAATCTCTTTTTTAGTAAATTTTGCAATGTGTTTTTTAATTTCATATTACGCTGATATCTAAATTTTAACCGAGAAGTAGGACGACTTTTATATGTTATAAGCACAAAAAGAAGTTGCTTTAAACAATATTAAATTTTTAATCACCGATGTACGAAATTGTATTTTAATTAAAATATTAGCAAGTTTACTTAAGAATGAACTTTAGCAATAGGCAGAGAAATAAGTTTTTATGAATATTTTTAATTTGCGAAGTCGCATCCGGATTGCACGCCTCGTCCCCTATAATTTTTTAAGCAGATTTAGAAACATTTTTCTCACTGAATCGAGTTTACTTTTTTTTCATCGTAAAGATTACGAGTGCTTCTCAATTTTTGTTCCACTTTTTTAAATTTTTTTCCGAAGTCTTTTAAATTGAACAAAATTTTTTATAATAAAAATTTTGGTTCCCCAGCTTTATATTTTATAAGTATATTAGCGTTAAAATTATTTTTTATTCCTAAATTTTTTAACAAATTTATATCAGTAACGATACTTATGTATCTATTATTTATGCGAATTTAATTTTTTTTCCACAAAGGTATCTTTGTAAAAAGTAAAACTACTAATTCTTAATTATTAACAAATATGAAATTTCTATATAACTTCTATAAATGTATTGTCAAGTTTTCAGAAGGAGATATAATTCGTTATATATAAAGCGTTTACTCAGGGCTATAATTTCTACATTTTTGTTTCAAATATCTTGTACTGAAAAGATCATCTTTACTTACTAAAAGTCCGGCGTTATAAATTATAATATCTAACGAAAATGTTTGTTTCGTTTGAAACTAAAGCTTAAAGGACATTATTAATAAAAACATTAATGCTAATTTTTCTAAGTGACTTCAACCCTTTCTTTTTCTTTTTAATTTAAACGTAATGGTACAATTTTTTCAGGTTTTGTTCCATTGATTACGGATTTTGGGGATTTTTTTAAGAAGAATATGTACCGGCGTTTAAGTGATTGTTATAATAGACCGGTTACTAACGTTCCAGGTGGATTTTGTTTGAAACTATTTAAATTTTTTATACAAAACATTTAATTTCTCTTCAGGCGGGCGAGTAGACGTTTTGCATCGAGAATGGGACGATCATATTTGGAGTTATACTGTAAAGAAAAGTATTTCACTTTTAATATTTATTGTTTTAGATTATTTTCTACTTTAAAAAATATTTATTTTTAAGTTTACGCATAAAAAAATTTATAAACTAATTTCTTATATTCGGTCTTTTATAAAATAATGTAAAAATGTAACAAATAAAATTTTGTTTTATTTTTTAGATAATAATTTTATAATATTATATTATAGAATTTTGACTGTTGAACCTTTACTTAAAGTTTATTAATTCTTATTGCCTTCATTTTGAAAAATTTTTTGTTAAAAATTAAATACTTATCTACTAAAATTAAAAAAAATTTAAATTTATAGATTTAGTAAATTTATAAAATTTTACCTTTTTATATTTCCAATAAAATTATTGCTTTACTGCAATTTTTTACGTGATCTTTTGACTTATATTATAGTAATTAGTAATTATTTATATTAACCACATGATAGAAATAAATTTATTTATTGCATCAGCAGCGACGGCTAGTCTCTAAAAATTAATTAACTTTATTTATTTATCGTATAAAATTTTAAAGAGTTTTTTTGTATACCCAGAAAAATTTACTGCTAAAAAATATTTTAAAATTTTTATGGTTCTGCCTGTTTAATTTTAGTGGTCAGCTTTATGTTTTGAAAATTTTCATTTTGCTTGCCACTGATATTTAATAATAATTTTAATAGAAAATATATTTTTTTTGCTTTTTTTTTAATAGTCTACACAAGTAATTTATAATTGCTACTTATTTCTTTACTTTTTTTCTATTTTTTATAATTAAAGTGTAACTAATTTTACTTCTAAAAGTTAATTTTATTCATTTAAAATTAATGATGTATAGTAATGGTTAAACAATTTAAAGGAAAAAAAAGGTAATTTAATTATAATTTTTAAATTTAATGGAAATTGATCTTTTTAGGCTTTCGGAATTGCTTGAATTTGGGATCTTATAATTATTTAGGTTATATTCTTTATTATTATTGGTAGAAATCATATTATTAGAGTTTTATTTTTCTTTAACAATAGTATTAGCTTTTTTTATCTAATAGCATTAGTGGAAAATAACTTTAATTTCTTCAGTAATTTAGTTAATTTTCTTTTTGTCATTTTTAATTTTAATTTTCAATACATTTTATGTTTACTTTGAAAATATTATTTTATTATTAATAATAATAAATGAATTATTATGTCTTTATTATTTTAAATTAAATACTAAATATTATTATCATCGCAATTGTAATGACTTGAGTTTACTATTTATTTGTTCTATTTGTACTATAAAGTCCATTATTCTCTATCTATAAGCAGTTTTTTATTTTGAACATTTAAGAAGTTGTGATTTTTCAATATATTATTACTATAATATTAAAAAAAGAATATTTTTTATTAATGTTACTTTTATTAATTTAATTTTTTGTGACGTTAAGACTTATAATTGGTGTGGTTGGAAGAAATATTTCAATTGATTATTAATTAATATGATTGGTGAAAAGGTTATTATTTAAATTTCGGTTTTTTTATAAATGATGTGTTTTTATTGATTTAAAAAGAAATTTTATATATGATACGATTGGAACTTTTATATATAATACTTTTTTTACGAATTGTTTAGTAGAAAAAAATTTGATAGTATGTATAATATTTTTCTCTTTGCTTATATATTTATTATTATTTATTAGTAAACTTTTCTTAGTAACTAGATTACATACTTATGTATATAAATTCTTATAATGATATATAACAAAAAAAATTATTTTTTATTTTAACTTTTTATTACTTAAGGATTTTCTCAGAATGAAGGTCCTTGTGCAGATTTTGCTGTGGTTGCTATAAAAGTATTGCTACTTTCCTATTTATCTCACTTTAATTTACTTATTTTATTTATTATAATATTAATTACTATTGAACTTTTGCATTTTAAAAATGTTTTACATTATATATATATATTATTGTTTGATAGAAATACGGAATTGCTACTGCGAGCCCCGCCATCGAATTGGGAACGCAAGACGTACTGTTAATAACTTTTTTTTATTTGAAAGTTTTATAAAACTTTATTTCTCTAAAAAAGATAACTTTGGATTGTGAACAGCGCATTGCCCGTTTTGTAGGAAAGGAAAGGCTTTACAAGAATTATAATGAATATATTTACATTGAAAAATATATAAAATACTTTGAAGGCTTTATCTGGCTTTATATATATACATGAATGATAGTGTTTATATATTTATATATATTCAGGAAGCTGCTATGGTTATTGGTATGGGCTTTGCCACCAACTCTACAATCCTTCCTGCTTTAGTGGATAAAGTTTATTTTTTTTATGAAAACTCATATATTATACTTTTTACTACTGTGTAGTTTTAGAAAAAAAAGTTGCTATATAAAAGTTTATTTATAAGAACGATCCTTGAAGCGTTGTATAAAAATAATATATTTATAAAATAATTATAAAATTCCTTGAATTGTCTGCTTACGCTGTTTATGGGCACAATTATGGTAAAGAGCAACTTATATTCTACCAAATAGTTATCCAGGAATCTAATTTACAGTAAGAGAAGAGCACTAATCCAATAGCAAGAGCAAAGTCAACATGATGACCAATCACTATTTTTGATGTTTGGATATTTAAAAACTACCAGCAGTCATTGGCTCATTGGTTCTTGAAGGCTTAATACTGGCGATTTCATTGGAGGGGCACCTATGATTTACGCTTGTGAGAGAAAAATAACTATAATGGGTCAATCCCCTCATAAATAAGTAATAAAATAAAAATGCAGCGCCACTTTACTGCACCGTCGTGAAACATAAAAATATGTGTTTTTCCCAATAGAATTGCGTATAGAAACAGAAAAATATAGTATCTATTCATGAAATTAATTGATATTTTTTTATTGTTTGTCTTTTTAGGACTGTATTATTTTGAGTGACTCTCTCAACCACGCCTCTTTAGTTTTCGGCGCGCGTATATCTGGCGCCAACATTCAAGTTTTTAAGCACAATAGTAATAACTTATTTTTTTTAATAAATATAAAAATCCAATATAAATGATTCAATTAAAAAAAATGTTAACACGTGCTTTCCGCTCCTTTTTTTTTCTCTAAGATATGGAAAATCTCGAATATCTACTGCAGCGAATGATTGCTTCTGGGCAACCGAGGACTCATAAGCCCTGGAAAAAAGTTTTCTTTCATTAGAAAAATACGAAACTCTCGATAATGCTTGGTAGATACTTATAGTGGTGGAGGGGATTTACAGCATGGAGGGCGTACTAGCCAACCTCCCCGCGCTTGTCCGCCTGAAGAAAAAATATAAAGTTTTATCATATATAGCACTTTTATAGTTTTTTTCTTTCTATATTATTTTTTTTGCAATATATATATTGTACTTTTCTAAAAGTAAATGGATGTGTTGGTATATTGTGAGTATAAAATAATAACTTTTTTTAAAGAAAAAAGCTTATCTTAATATAAAAAACTGGCTATTTATAAACTGAGGGAAGAGCAAAAAAGTTTATACGGTGAACATCACGTGTATTATAGGAACTTTTCTTTAAAAACCCTTAATAAAGCGCATATTAGCTTCGGCCAATCGGAGATAACCTTTTGGGTTAACCTAATCACTAGCAGCTTACACCAAATAAGAAACTATAAACCAATAGTTTTTAAGGAGTTTTTCTACACAAAAACGCAGTTAATATATTTTTCTACTATTTTTATAGTAACTATTACCTCTTTATATTTGTAAAGGCTTATTTGTATTTGGACGAGGCCCACAGCATCGGCTCCATTGGAAAAAGCGGAAGAGGCGTGTGTGAGTATTGGGGCATAGACACAATGGATGTTGATATAATGATGGGGTAAGCAATAATAATAATAATAATAATAATAATAATAATAATAATAATATAATCAATAATGACACTTAAATATCAAAATTATTAAAAATTTTCGACCCAAACTATATTATATAAGGAAACTTTTATTGTTTAATGCTCAATTTTATGCTTACTTTTTAGTAGCAAAACTTCTATAAAGTTTGCTTTTATAAAGGAAAGAAAAAGTATAATTTGTTAAAAAAATAAAAATATTAACCAATAGTTTGCACTCTTTATGGCTTACCTTTTAATCAAAATGTTTATTAAAAAATTGTTTATTTTCTATATTTGTTATTAAGGACCTTTACGAAAAGCTTCGGCGCGTCTGGCGGGTACATTGCCGCTGATAAAGAAGTTCATTATTTTTATTTTATTAATGCATGAATAAAAAAATTAACCAATTAAGTTTTTTTTACTTAAATTTTTATTTATTTTATATTTGATGTTTTTATATATATAAATTGTAATAATAATAATATTATGAAAAGATTATTGATCATCTTCGAATAAATGCGCATAGTTACGTTTACGCGCCTTCCATGTCCGGTTACTTTTTTTTTAATCCCCTGCACGCATAAAAAAATTTGATAGTGTAATTGACCAATCCTATAGCGCCAATATGCGCGCAAATCATTAAAACTGTTGATATTATTTCAGGTGCTGATGGGACAGAGGAAGGTTTTGCTTATTTTCATTTATGTCTCTTTTTTTGCGTAAAAACTTTTTTCTATAAATTTATTGCTTTATAGTTATATCTATAATTATAGATTTCTTTCTGCCTACAAGCTTAATATTTTTAAACTTTTTTTTTAATACTTTGGAGGGTTTATAATTTTCTTATATATAATTTTTTTCTATAATATTTTTTTTATCCCGAAAGGTCGAAAACGATTGCTCCAGCTTGCAAGGAACACACGATACTTTCGAAGAAAATGCATTGAAATGGGCTTCATTATTTACGGCTCGGATGACTCTCCTGTTGTCCCTCTTCTTATTTATCACCCTGCAAAACTTGCGTTAGTAATAATAATAATAATAATAATAATAATAATAATAATAATAATAATAATAATAATAATAATAATAATAATAATAATAATAATAATAATAATAATAATAATAATAATAATTGTGATAATAATACGTTGTTTAGGGCCTTCTCAAGGATGATGCTTTTGCGCAACATAGCCGTCGTAGTGGTAGGCTATCCGGCCACCGAAGTAATTTCCTCGCGTGCTCGCTTTTGTTTATCCGCGGCTCATTCAAGTCTCCTTTTTAACTTTCATATTATTATAATCGTGTATAAACTTATTAAATATACCTCAATTTTACTGGCACTAAAGAAATTAATATAATTTTTTAACTTTTTGAACACGTGAAGGAAGCGAGTTGAATGAAGCGCTGAAGGCCTTGGATGTTATTGGAGACTATTTATCAATAAAGTATTCCAGGCAGCCTCACGTTATCGGTAAATTTACTGCCGAAGAAGAAAATAATGACGAGCTCAAATCTTTATATTAACGTAGTATTATAATAACTTTTTTAAAATAATAATGAAAGTTTTATAAACTACTTTTTTTTTATTGGTTTCTTTGTTTGCTGTAAAATGGGGTGTAACCTAGTATATATTACTATACAACACCTTTATTTCGAACTTTACTACTTTTAAAATAAAGGAGAGAATAAGTTCTCCGGACAAAGACGGAGAGTTCCTGCGCGGCTTAAAGTTAAAATGTATTTTTTAAAAAAAATTTCAGTTGCAGTGCTTTGGTCTCTCTGCAGTTCGTGGGTATTTTGGGTAAGCGAAGGTCACGCTGAGAGTTGCTTAAAAATTGGTAAATTTCTAGGTTAATAATATTTAACAAACTAGTGAATGGGTTTGTAAAAAAATATTGCGCGCGAGGGGAATTTCGTACGAAGTTTTGTATTAAATGTTTAGCTACCCGTTAAAGAAGCCTTTTCTTTTAGGATAAAATAAAAATCAGATCAAAGTTTTATAGAGGTAACCAAAACGCTCCTTTAAAATCATATGGGGATATAGAAATTTATTATTTTAATTTATAAATAAAATAATTATAGCAAAGATTTGCTATTCGTCTTCGACGCATTCTTAAGGAGTTATGGTTATTAAAATGTGGTCAAATTTCTTCCATTTCCGTATTTTTGATCAATATCTAACATTTATTCAAATTTTTGCGAGTAATTAACAAGCTTGTGCTTTTAAACTTTGAAGAGCGAAGTGAAATAATTATTGCTGTACAAGAATCGTTATGGCATTTTACAAAGCACTGCGATTGCTAAATTATTTTTTTTTAACAAGCTTCGACGTTTAGGCTTTCAAGCACTTAATACGCTGTTTCTTATCCTACTGCGGTATATTACAAAGCACTTTGCTGCTACAGGAGAGCTGACTATCTTACTCTACGTTAATTTAAAATCAAATTCAGTTTAGAGTGCTACAGATAAGCCTTGCCTTGTGCCTGAAGTGATGATATCGATACATATCGTTTATATACACACGTATACACTTCCTTCTGAAAATTATGAGACTTAATTTAGAGGTAAAATACCCAAAAAAAAACACAAAAGTTAAATTTTAGTCCACCGAGTTCGACGTTTAAAATTCTATAAATACTAAATTTAACAAAACTTTTGTTGACGATACTTTGTTTAGTTTTTCTGTAGGGCAAATAAGTTAAGTGTTAGAATCAAGTTCTGGCAAGCCCGACGGGTGTATTGTAAACACCTTTTAGAAGTGTATTTGCTCTAATTAATAAAAATCCTTACGTTTACCAGAGTTTGGGCAAGAATATTAGTTATTAAGTTTGTGTGACTATTCTCTGTAGGTTGACTTAAGATCTATCCTAAAACAGTAATCACGTAGTGTCTTACAAGCTGAAACAGCTCAGCAGATTTAATTATTCACCATAAAGCTCATTGATATATATGGATATTCTTATTTTTTGGGTAATTCTGCAAAGAAAAACAAGTTTAGTCGGTGTAAGGAGAACAACCATATTAAAAGTAAGTCAAAAGTTGTCACAAAAAGCTTCTTACTAAAATATTGCCTTTTTTGTGCCTGCAACTATAATCGACCACCGTGTAGCTTTTTTTAATGTTTTCTAAGGAAAATAAATGAATGGGCAAAGTATTTATCCGTTTTTAAATTTAAAGGACTAGCTAGTTACCAAGAAGGTATATGCATTAGGAAAAAAAGAAACAGTTTTTAGTTGTACATTTTAGATGTTTTAAACCAAACAAATAAGTTTCTCAAATTGTAACTAAACAAATAAAAAAAAACTTTTGAACGGAATCTCATGAAGTATTATCTACTACTCCCGTTACAGGTTTGGTTAACAATTTTTTGTTTTTAGTTAAAAGTAAAAAATATGATTTCATTTGAAAACGATACATCAAATTATACAAGGTAACGTATTGTTTTTAAGAAAAATGTTATTTACAGAGAACTTCTGTGAAATCTGTAAAACTTTATAACAAAAAGAAAATACAAAATGCTGTAGTAATTTTTATTATTAGAAAGCAAGGCTAAAGTTATTTGTCTATTAGTTATTATTGTAGTAATAACTATAATTATAACTAGTTATCTGTTAACTTTTTTTAGAAGCTATATACAAAAGTTTTTTTTATACGAACCGTAAATTTATACATAAAAAAATTATAAAAGCTTCTGTACTACCTGTATACGGTCTTTTACGAGAAAAATATATAAGTAAATTTTGGATTTATATTTAAAAGAACAGGAAACACTATTGGGTTAGTTTCTTTTGAGTCGTAGTAGTATTACTCAGAATATAAAAGTAAGTACTTGCCTGTTAGCTGTTTGTAATATATGCTTCTTATGATAGTAAGGACTAAAGAATCAATAAGCTTGAACATCTGGAAAGAACTACAGAATTAACTAAAAAAAAAACCTTCATTTAGGTTAAATTTAAATTCAAGTGTTTATGTTTATGTATTCCATGTAAGTATTTCTAAGCCTATTATAATATTTAAAGTTGTGATTACACACTTTTATAGCAGTAAGTATTTTACGTGTCCTCGAAGGTTAGTAGAAGTAATAACTAAAATATGAATTTTAAAGGCTCCGCTAAGATGCAGCTAGTTTTATATTTATTCCTTTAAGAACAAAACTATATTTACATAGATAACGAGTAACTAATATGTACGTGCCTAAGTTAATGCAAAGATAAAAGTTACATAGTACTGCTCTCATATATATTACTTTTATCGCAACCCCCTTTCATTTTTAACTAAAAAACGGGGGCTTATATAATTAACTATTAAATGAATATTGACCTTATTTTAATATCTGAATTTTTTACAAAAAAGGGGAAGTAAGTACGACATATTAAATATTATATATATAGACAAGTTCGGGAAAGGGTGGGAGGTGGAGGTATAGTTATGCTTATTGTGAGACCCAGTCATTGTTTATGGAGGCCCCGATAGCAAGCATTCTTCATAAAATAGGAGGAAGGCAATCCAGGTGGCAAGATTCTAGCACAGTAAGCGGAGGATAATGGAGTTTTTGTTTTAGCCCCCTTCAAGACCACATATCCCTCAACTGGAGATTCCGTTGGTGCTTTAGACATGGCTTTATTACAGGACATATCGAATCCTCTGCACATTACTAACATTTTTGAATTATTATCAGATCGTGACCCGTTGTTATTGCTGGTTGGAGATTTAAGTTGGACCTAAACAAAGAAAAGCTTAGAGGTAAGCAATTAAAAATCTTTTCAAGAACGCAACTTTTTTTACTATCCGATTCCTTCCTTCTCGTCAAATTGCTGGAGCCCCTCGGGACTCTTTAATGTCACCTTTATATCCCACCTATACACGTGCGACATTCCCTCTCCTTCCAACAAAATCTTCCTAGCTCATAACGCTGACGACATTGCCATATATTATAGTTCAAAACCAACTGCATTAGCTATTAAATATGTGCATACCTATCTTTATACACTTGAAAAATGGTTTGCAATTTAAAAATTACGATAAACCCTACTAAATGCTTTGCGATGATCTCAAGAAAAAGAAAGGGGAAAAGATTACAGCTCCAACGCTATCGCAAATATCTATTCCTTGGTGCAATCAAGTAAAGTACCTCGGCGTTATTAACGACTCCAAACTAGTCTGCAAGCCTCTTTAATTATCTTGTTAGAAAAATCAAGAACATAACTTCTGCTTTATATCCTTTCATATGCCAAAGAAACAATTTGAATCCTGAAAATCCTTACGTGGACAGCTATTCTCAGACTTAATATTAGTTACACATAAGTTTTATGATCTTACTGCTCGGCTTTGCTCTTAAAAACAATCATCTTAAAATGTCACAGGCGCACCTTGGTTTGCGAGGAATTCTTAACTACGTCATGAATGTAAAATTGAATCTCTTTTGCATTGCCATACAGGAGGGTTGTCTTTATGTTATGAAGATAGTCTGAGAGTCCTTATATTTGTAAAGAAGGCTAGCTTCCTCAACCTATTCATAATGAGGGAATTTAGTTTAAGCAGTTTAATTTATAGTAGATAGAACGACTGTAGTGTGTCGAAACGTAAATAAATAAAGAAATACATAGTACACTAAATTGAACGAAATTTCTTGGTCGTTCTAGAAGTAATTATATTATTAATATTCGTTGCCAATCAAATTTATTTAAACGCAAACATTAGATTGAAGCGTTTTCTTGTCACACAGATTAATCTTTTTCTTTATAAATATTTTGATCACTATGAGCTTAGTGCTAAAAGCTACACCCGATTATTTTGCATGTTGATAAGTATATAGCAAAAGAAAAACCAAGATAATCCTATCTATTAAAAAACTTAGATATAAGAACTGTCTACGTGTATAAAGGTATATATTATTTAGGGTTGTATATTTTACAAGTCAAACAAAGGAGTCATATGAAGTTCAACTCTCCTGCCTTTGTTTTCAAAATAAACTAGAGCCCAATGGTTCTATTAAGATAAATTCAGTACTTAAAACTGTGGTTCTCGAGAGAAAAAAATAATTTAAATAACCTGGTTTATTTTTTAATTTTTGTTTTCAACTTTGTATTATTGAACAACTGTGTTTTTTCTTGACTGGCGCCCTAAATTTTATAAAGTAAAATACTGGTTGGCCGTTAAACGGATAAGCTACTAAGCTGATATGACTATGATTAACTGAAACTAATTTTGGTCCTATATATATTTAAACGATTTTTTAAAAACTTTTCCTTACTAAACGCAAGCAGTTGCACTATTTTTTTTTTTTAAAACATAAATTGATAAAAGAAGCCACAGTACAATTATTCGTCTATGGTACTTTTTTTAAGTGCTTTTATAAAGTTTAATAAAAAAATTTGTAAGATTTCTTCATAGGACCGGGAAAAAAAATCTTTAATTATAAAAGAATGTTATACTATGTTAGAAGCATTAAATTGACATGATTTGTAAATATACAGCAAATAGTCGTTTACAAATGATTACTTTTTAAGTTAGCAAAAACAGCAAGATAAAAAATGAGCAAAAATTATGAACAAGTACAATTAATAATATAAAAATTGCTCTTTGTTTTTATAATTTACACTAAATTCCTAACTTGCAACAAATCCATCATTCTCCTTTTAAAAACATTCTGAAAGGCTATAAAGAGGGCTAGCAATTGGTTTTTTTAAAATCATGTGTTAAGATTGACATCCACGCTAAAGCGACTATATTTAGTGTTCGTCATTTAAGGGCCGTGCTCTCATTACAAAGTTTGAGGTTATTTTTGTGTATACCTTTTTTGGCTGTAGCTCAATTAATTTTTTATGTAATATAAATCCTGACCTTTCTATATATATGTTAAATTTTATATTTTATATGTAATTTAGTTAACGCTGTTCAAATAAAGAGAAATTCAAAAAGTTATATTATGAATCATAGCGCCCTTTTTTTAGCGCACAGAAGTCAGCGGTTTTTTGTATCCACCTTATATAATATTTGTACTGCGGAACCTGTCTTTTGTGTTCAAAATAGTTTTTTTTCTTCTTTTTCTCACCTAAAACTTTGTAAAAACGATCAATTTTTTCAAGTTGAAACATTTGTTCGTAGTTTTTCGCACTTGCCTTTCTTGGGGACTCCTCGAGTTTATGAAGTTATTAGGGAAAAATATTTCAAAGTCAAAGTCATCTCTTTCCCTTTATCTGATATGAGGAAATCTTCAACTTCACTCGATTTCAATAACTTTGAGAAGGCTTATAAGCATAAAACTATTGCTGAATTAGTTAACGCGCTTTTAGTTCTTCGCGTATGTCGCGTGCGCAAGATAGTGTCGAATGCCCGATACTTAGTTACCTTATCATATAAAATACTAGGTTTTCCCCGTGTTTTAATAAATATTACTAATCTTTTAACATTTTTACTATTTCTTTCCTTTTTTTTTTAGGTGAGACGATAACAAATTGGATCCTCAGAAAAACTTTTTATAAGCATTTTTGTGGAGGCATAGACGAAGCGGAGGTAAAACTTACCATGAATCGTTTAAAAAAGGTATTACAACTACTTTTGTATTTGTTAATATATTTCCTCATGTTTGTTTAGGTTAACATAGGAACTGTTTTAGATTATGCCGCCGAGGCAGAAGTAGAAGAGAGGCACACTGTTCCTGGAGGCGGAGACGTTTCTCAAGATAAAGTGTCTGCTAGAATTTACCGCTATGAAGACGAGAAAAACTGTGATGTTAACGCTGAGATCGCTCTGCGGGCAGTCACAAGCTCTGCTCAACACGGTACTGGTGATATTATTTTATATGACCTGAAATTTTTTAAAATTATTTGTTTACTAGAATCTGATGGGTTTGCAGCGCTTAAAATTACTGCCCTGACTAAACCTGAACTTTTAGAGCATATGAGTTTGGTAATAAAGGAAACAAAGGCTTTGTTTAGTTCTCTTGTTTCTTCTAAAGAAACAGAGGAATCTAAAGAAAAAACTCTGACTCTTGCTGAATTTTCGAAATCTTTAAAACAGTTAAAATTTCAAATATCTCAAGAGCAAATCAACACTATTTTTAAGAAAATAAATACCAGCAAGACTGGTGCAATAAAATATGATGAGTGGATCAGTTACCTTGAACCAACAACTTTGTCTATGGGCGTCTTGTCCAACTTTCGTAATACTCCTAGCTTGGATGAAGTTTCTATTGGAAGAGTGAAAAATATGTTTAATCGTTTGGAGATGATAATATCTTGTGCTCAGAGAAACAAAGTGAAATTGCTTATAGACGCTGAACAATCCTACATTCAGCCCGCCATTGATCACTTGACACTTTCTCTCCAGCGCAAATACAATAAGGAGACCCCTTTGATTTATACTACCATTCAGGGTTATTTAAAAAATTCACACGAAAACTGTAAAACTAGCCTTAACCTCGCTAAGCGGGAAGGTTGGGTTTTCGCCTGCAAGCTGGTGCGCGGCGCTTATCTAGTCCATGAGCGCGCGAGGTGCCAACAGTTCTGCTATGATTGCCCGGTATTTTCCAGTGTTGAAGAAACGCACAAAAATTATAATGACATTGCTTTACTGCTTTTATCGGAGTACCCTCGTTGTAAGTTTATGATCGCCTCACACAACGAAGACTCGGCTCTTCTTATCTGTAGAGAAATGGATAAAAGGAATATTTCAAAAGCTGAAGGTGGAATTTGTTTTGGTCAGCTGCTTGGGATGAGTGATCATATTACGTATAACTTAAGTCAGGCTGGTTATAAGGCATACAAATACGTGCCATACGGCCCGGTGAAAGAAGTTCTTCCTTATTTAATTAGACGAGCAGAGGAAAACTCTGGTCTGTTGGATTCTACTACTAAGGAAATGTCTTTTATTAGAAAGGAGCTTTATAGGCGTTTTAGATTTTGGTAAGCTTTAATATATTTATTAATTAACTTTAAAAAATTTAGATTAATAAAATTAAGTGCTATTATGTTATACTTATTTCTTTGATATTTAGCTTTTTATTCTCTGTAAAGCATTTTATATGTTTGTAGTTCAATTCTCCTTTTTTATATCAAGAAAAATTTCTTTTTTGGTCGCTTTAGTTTTTAAAACGTTTACATTGTTATTGGTACCGGACTTTATTTATAAAAATATTTAATGAGCAATATTAAAAGTTCATTGTTAGGTGAGTTGCTTTCGTTAGGGCTGTTTTTACGCCCTCCCGTTGCTTTAATCTTATTTTTTCCACAACACCAACACTGCTAGTATTAATAGTGACACTACCATAAACAGCACTAAACTTACTGTTATAATTATTTTTCTCTTTAGCCTGTTTTTGTTTCTTCTGGGATATAACAACTTTTGTTTACAGTTATAGGGAAGTTCATCTTTGCTACTATTTTTCATGTGCAATAACTTAAAATATTGCTGCATAATCCGCTTTTCTTTTTTGATTTTCGTGTCTTGATCCTCTATTTTTATGGCAGAGGGGGGACTCGCCTCGTGCACAATATTGCTTTCACCTTTTTGAATCTGAACGCCGTGATTTGGTAGTTCTGAGTTTATATCTACGTTTGGCGTGTCGGTAGCTATGGCACTATCTGTTGACGGCTTGAGAACAATGCTTTGTTGAACCGGAAAACTCATCTTTTTTTAAAAACATTTAGTAAGTCGGCTCCAAGTAGGAAGTAAAATTACTTTTGCTTGCCAGTGCTCATTAAAAAAAAGTTTACTCGCCAACTTGTCATATAGAAATATGTCTACATTTGGTGCAGACATTAGTTGCCTTGCCTTAACGTTTCCAGGCATTTCTATATATGGGGTGTAAGATGCCGTTAAAAATTGCAAATGCATTGGAGTTAGGTCTCATTTATAGTTGCTTCACCCGTTCTAAAGTCGCTGATTACATTTCTGTAAAAGGCTATTAAAGTTTAAAAATCTGTATTCTCTGCTTTACTTAGGCGTATTATCCCGGCATATTGGTTAGAAATTAATCTTACAGAACGGATTTGCGATTTTATCGTGTGAGGGTACTACTAATGTTATTGATGTTAAGTTAACCATACACTTAGTAGCACCAAATATGTAAAGTGGAAATTTTTATCATTTTTAAAAACGTATGGCTTGCGCTTCTCGTTTTTTTTTTCTCTTTTTAGTGTCGCCCACTATTCTGCGCCTTTATTGTCATAGCTCGGCGTTTGATTCTAGAGAACCGTAGTCACTGTTTAAGTGATAGTATATCTGAGGGATAGAACATTATAAAAGCTTAACGTTGACAGGTCGTCAAATTTAGGCTAAGACGATAGCTTAGTAGTTTAGAGGATCGCTTCTTTAAGTCTTTATGAATTTATCAACAAAACTTAACTGCTTTGCCCTGACAAACTAAGCTTTACTTTTCTACCCTTAAACCATATGATGACGAAATTAACTAACACAGGACCCAGCCTGGTTTAGGATTTCAAGTTTTTTTTTTAAATAGATTTAATATTTTACATTTGTTTTTAGATTTTACTAATACTATTATAATTCGTAAAGCTAAGTATTTTTAATTGTTACTTACTCTTATTTACCATCTATCAAAATAACCCAGTTTAGACGATTATCTAAACCCATTTTTTGTATGTACTTATAAAAAATGAAAAAAGTCTTAAAAAACACAGAGCCCCTATTTTTTATTATCATTTTTATAGAATCGTGCGGAGATATGTAAACGGAAAGAAAAATAATCGAGTTACACGTTGAGTGAAATTTGGGTACATAAGCCAGTCGACGCGGGATAGCGCATATATTTCTTTTTAAGCAGTGGTAGTGCTTTGCGGTTGGTTATAGTATTTCAAAGTTTTCTTTTTTTCTCTGTTACCCCACTTTCTTGGGAATTCCATATTTAGGTTTGGTTGAAGTAGCCTTTGCATACTCGACCCCTTCTCTTCGCAAAACACGTCGTATAAAAGCTCTGGGGCTTTACACCTACATTAGCGTTTGACAAAAAAAGACGTTTTGAACTTATAAAGTTTAACGCGTCTAAATGTTTATGCCAACCTCACTGGAACTGCAGTGAATCCCCTCACTTCTTTTTGTTGCAACAATAATGTGCTCAATATTAAAAATAAATCTTCAAGCGAGTCTTCGTTGTTGTAAACGATAGCGCACTTACCTATGTTTAACATAGTCTTTTTGTTACGCAGCCGTACCAGACGCCAATAAGGTTGCAATTAGATTTTGGGGATTCTAGGTGCTTTCTTATCGTACATTCGACTTAATAGGACCTTAGAGGTATTACTTAATAAGTTTATAGTTATTTATCCATCTTGGATGGCTTACACTGCGGCAGCTAGTGCCCAAATTATGATGTACAATTCGTTCATTTTCTTGTGTGACTTTAAAAAAGTTATCTTTCTTCTTTTAGATGCCAGGTTTAAATGACAAGCAAGTTTTCATAGACTAACTTGTTCCTTATGTTGTAGGGGTTGTGCTTTTTGCAAAATGTAGGAGTGTCTCTTTGTTATAATAACTATTGTTCTCAAAATGCTGGCTTTTCGCGACTTTTGCTTGAGTTAGCTCGCCTAAATAAGGAAAATTTTGGTCTATATTACCACTCTGTTGTTGCGTAATTTGCCAAACTTTTAGGAGATTGGCTTTATATAAAAAGATTCATGATTAGAATTAGAGGACTTAAAACGTTGGCAGCATTACTCCCGATTATCTCAACTTTTGACCCCCTTGTTGCTACATCCCAATTAATTAGGAATGTATAATTTAATCTTAATTAACTCAAACTAATAAGGACAAGGATTCTCTACTTGATTGTTTAGCTTAAATTCTCTTTTGTTTGGAGGACTGCGAGAAATGTAAATTGAATGTCTAGGATAGTAAGTTTAATTGTTACTAGCCTCTAGGACTAATATTAACTTTTTAGAGAACAGAAGAGTAGTAACAAATCCACTGTACAAGTGAATAGTTTAGAAATTAATAGTTAACAGTGTAAATTTTGTAACCAAAGTTAAACAGGTTAAGATTTTAGTTTGAACAAACTACGTTTTCATATAAGGTAAGAAGGTTTATCAAAATCTTCTTTGACGAAATATCCTTTTTTAAACTGCCTCCATGCTTAGTGGTAGGAGGAGTATCCATAAACTACAAAGTATGGCGCTAGCAGGTAAGGTAGCGCTTCTTTTTTTTGTCTTGTATTTGACTTACATTGTCATGTGGTTTTAATTTGTTTAGAAAATTAATTACTAGAGCATTTCGAAACAGTTAGTATTAAATTATAAACTTCCGACCGGAAGTCGAAAGAGAGATGCTTCCTACGCGGTTCTTCTTAAGTCAAAAGTTTTAAACCGTGCATTCTCCTTTCGACCTTTCTTACGATTATATAAGGATTAAGATAGAACAAATTTACCCTAGGAGAGAATAATTGCTTTAATTTTTTGAGCGGTTTTTGCTTTTATGTAGCGTTTATGGCTAACTTTTGTTTATAAATTATAATAAAGGTCACCAAGTCCCAAAATAATAACCAAAATTAACTTCTTTCTGTAAATTAAGTTTTTTTTATTGAACTGACAACACAATGAACCTCTTAACTTTTGAAAAACTATGGTGTTTTCTTTAAATGTTCAACTAATCAGGCTAAAAACAAAAATTCAGTCGTAAAAACCTCTGCTCCATTCAGCATTAATTATATCCATATAACCTAGAAGAATTAAGTTTTAAGCTAAGGAGTAGCCATTCCGACGTATATAACTAAAGGTGTAATTACTCGTAAATTATCCCTAACTCGGTTTTCTGCCTAAGTTTCCGTAGTGAGCGGTTTCCTGTTACAACCCTAAAAACATTTTCGCCTCGCCACAAAGAGGACATTCTTCTTCAAAGTTGTTAATGACTAGTGCAGACTTTTAGCAAGATCTGATGCAGGCGGTTTAGCCCTGTTAATAGATATTATTAGTGCGCCATACTTATATAACTTAGCGTCTTCTCAGCATTATAATGTATACATTTATAAGAATAGATATGTTCATGAGCCCACTGATAGCTCAATTGAGTTTTGCTACGTTCAAAAGTAGCGCATTTAAATGAAAATTTTCGAGTTTCTGGCCAAAATAGTGGCGCCGGAAAAGTGTGATGGACGCCCATTTTAAGGAAATAAAAGATCATTTATAAAGTTATCGTGCTCAGTCACTTTTCATGATATGCTTACAACTCTACTAATCTAACTTTCGAAAGCAACGCTGTTAATTAAATATATATTAGAGCTGGTATGCGCGTTTGTTCTTAGAGCTGTTAGCTAGGTAGTGGGTGTAATGATATTTGACCGCTCAAGTGTTTACTATAAATTTTTATAATTTTTTATAAGTTATAACTATACTTTAATATTAAAATATAGTAGTTTTCAAAGTTTTAAACCCATAAGATAAACAATCTATAGCCCTTGTTCCGAATAGAAAGAGCTCAAAATTTACTCTTTAACAAGCTATTATAAGGGAGGGGAGGACGGCACGAACCGTTGCCTAAAGATATTTTAGTTAGTATTAGATATTTACGGTCATCCCATTATCAAAGGAGTGATATATTGTTGTTTTACATCTTCTAAAACTTAAAATTTCCGAACTATATATTTACAACCAATAACCTGAGCGATTTTTTTTACGACACGAACATTGGCGCTGTTAAGTTAGATGCCTTCAAGTACTAAGGTAGTTGTTTTAATATATATTTGTAAATTAAAAAAAAACATTTTTGGAGGTTGGTTACTAAGATTATTTATGGCAGAGTTCCTTAAGCTGAACGTGGTTATAAAACTCCTAAGCATTGTTAAATCTACCTATTCATATATTTCTAGTTGCTAACCAAGCTGTGTTACGAGATCAATAATTATAAATTAAACTATGTAGACATAAATTTACTACGTACACTACTGTGGTGGCTACTATTATAAAACAGCGCAACCAAGAAATGAAACTACTGATTAGCTTTTAAATATATGTAACTCTGTGTAATGATATGCAGTGTTCTTAAAAAAGCTACAACTACCAAATAATCTTGTTTCCTTAATTTTTATTTAATACTCATCCCTTTCGAAGTGTGACATGATGTGTAGTTAGACGGCCAACTCATCTAAAATTTTAACAAAATTGTGACTTATTTATTGTAGAAAATATGACCAATCCTATAAGTCCCCTTATACAGGCTATTTGCTTTACAAATTTGTTTATTAGCGCTCTTAATGAATTTTCTTTATTTATATTTTATATTGTTATCATGTTTGAGCAAAAACTTTTTTCAAGGTTAACTGTTAATTGAAAAAAAAAAGGTTTATTTAAGCAATGAGAATTTTAATGACAAATTTTTGTAAAAATTTAGTAGACACAACTTGAGTCGAGGAAAAAGTTAGAAGGTAACTACAAAATAATCCAGCACTTCGTTAGCCTTTTTTAGTAATTCGCTAATAAAATCTCTAAAGTAACATTGTGCGTTACTTAATTAGAAAATTAGGTTACTTCATCGGGCAGCTTATTCATGTTTTCTATACAGGCTGATAATAGAAAAAAATTTGCATAAACGTGTTATCGCAGGGGACAAACAAAGCGATAACTTAAGGTAACCCAAGTGTATCTATGAGTAATAACTTTTATAGAAGCCTACATGTAACAAAGTTTTTAGAAACAAGACCAATTTATACAAGACGAATTATTGTTATAAATAAGCATAATATTTTTAAAAATTCTTTAGTGTATAACATTTTTTTTATTTGTACAAAGTCAATATAATATCTTCCAATTATTTATTTATACTCCACAAGATATTTAATTTATAGTGATATTCAAAATAAATAACTAATCTTGTAAAATTGATTGGATATTAAGGAAAAGCTTTTATTAATAACATTTAACTGTTATATTAATAGATTCCCTGGCTTTTTTGATCTGAGCTACTGCTAAAATATTGTTCGTTATCCCGGGCTTTCTCAAATTTAGGTTTCTTTACAGCGAGCTTTTAAGATAGAATTTAAGAAAATTTCCGTTGCATTATTCTCCTATAGAAGTAAGCTTAACGATTTATAACTTGTTTTGAATGGCACAATATTTTAATGAGGTTTTTTTATATAAAATTAACTTAATATATCTTAATAGCAATGATTTTCTAGGGCACTTCTATTTATATTATATCTGTTGATCATACTGTTAGAGGTTTCTTTTCCGAGCTCTGCGGAAGAAGTTGTTAGTAGGATTACTACTAGCGATAGACCGTACGATCATTCTATAATACCGTCAGCGGTTTTACTGCTGATGGCTTTTAGATAAATTGTTGCCTTCTACTATTAATTTAATTATAATTTACACTTTAAAACTGTTTTTCAGAATTTAAAAAACAATTTGGAGAGAGGGTTAATTAAACATATACTTAACTGCACAACTTTAACAAGCCTTACGCAGAGCATTATAAAATTAACTTTTTAACTTTAAAAAAATTTAATAATTTGTACAATTATTCTTCTTACTCTGACGGAGAATGAGAGAAGAAGCGATCTTAGAATGTCTCGAAGGGAAGGGTATTCATACCTTTACAAAAAATACAAGATGTGGGAAAAACGTAGAAACACATGGTATGAACACACGATACGGTCATCTGATATAATAACATAGTATACGTACCATGTGACCAAGCACTTGATTTTGTCAGAGTTAACTTAACAATATTTAACTAAGCTTGTAACTTATTTAGGTTAAAATAAACTCAGCTCACCACTCACATATATTACACCTAATGTAATGAAAAGTTTTTAGTTTAGCCTTTATTGCGTAACTATGATTTTTAGCAGGAATTTCGTAGAACTAAAAGTTTTTTATATATATAAGAACCCCGACATGCCCCAGCTCTCCCTCTTTAGAGCGGGGATCCAAATGATAATTATAATATTTAATGGTAAGAGGTTTTCCTTTTTTGTTGGGAACTCATTTTTGATCGACAAAACTAATATATACTTTCGATATTTAAACTGAAGAGCTCCTGGTGAATTTTCCAAGTTTTTTTCTCAGGTTCCGATAGACCCGCAGATTAGTTACTCGGTTTCTTAGTATTTTAGTTGCAACTATGTAAGTAGCAGGTCCAATTTTCATTGCTATTCAATGAAAGTTACAATGGTAATTTAGTTTTTATTTGGATAACTGATGCTAATGTGGAATTTACCTAATAGTAATTAGAAAATAAAATACGATAGAATCAATGCTTTTATTAAGTGTAACTACTCTACCAAGCATGCATTTTTAACACGACGCACGTAGTGGGAAGAAAAATAAGCTTCTTAAATTAGCGTCATCTGCACTCAAAGACCAAAGGTGCCGACTGGTGCTTCCTTGCAAGCGCATATATATATATACAGATTAAGCTAGATTTATGGACTTGTAGCTTTATGTTTTTGCGACTGTGATGTCCACGTAACGGTAACAGTTTAGCAGGATTTTAACCATTTTTCTGAGAAGGTTGTTGAGAACAGCTTTTTATAAAAATAGGAAAGAAAAGCTTAAGTAAAGATTACTTGAGAAGGGGATATTACCATCAAGGTCAAAAATATAAAAATCGTAAAAACTAAATAGACTAAACGCAAGGCGCCGTAACTAAACTGCGGTATCTTTTAAAAGTGCAGTGGAAGGTTGGGTGGATGTAATCTGAACAAGTAATCTGCCAAACAAACTCTAGGGGTATCAGGGAAAGCTTCAACGAGAGCAACGCATAGTGAGCTGAGAGCTCCTAAAATATTAACACAAACACTAGCTAATTATTAGTCCGCTACTCCACTTTTTCAAGGTCGCTCACGGTAATTAGAATTAGTTCTTTTCCTTTACCCTCGCGTGATATTGATTGGTATTGTGCGCTTTTAGAATCTCATGTTTTAAATTAATGAGAGCACTATTTATTAGGTATGAATCCACCGAAAAAACAGTATAGGAAACCGAGAAAAAAAGGTAGTAGTGTTTTTTTAAAGATGTAAGGAATTTTCTATTATGCTTTATTTGCCACGAATTGCAATAATTTTATATGTTTTGTTCAAGAAGGAAAATCTTTAAAAGCTAGAGTTAAACAGATATGTACTTGTCAAGCCGCCGAGCATAAGTTATTTTATAATGAATATTGTTATTTGATTTCAAAAGTAATTTTTTTTTACCTTTCATACTTTTAATTTTTAAGATTAGTAGGAAACTGTCTACATTGCGGTAAAATAGTTTGTGACTTGGAAGGCCCCGGCTTATGCACTTTTTGTTCCGTGGGCACTGTACCTTGTGAAAACTCTGTAAAAAGTCAGGTAAACGTCATGGACCAGTACATATAATTTTTTTAACAAAAAATTATTTTTTTTTTAGACTTTAATATTAATTGATTTTTTCTCTTTAGATTAGCCAGGATGCTCTACTTCAGAAAGATCGCATATTACAGTTTGATCGTGAAAAGTTTGTGTTATATAATTTTTTATATATAATATTTATGAAAATATTTAGAAAATTCTTATATAAAATATTCACATAATTTAGTGCTAGAAGAACTACTGTTATTGATGATGAAAATGATTACTTTGAGTCAGACAGCCGGTGGATAAGTGGTAAAGAAGTACGGTTTTTATTTGAGAAGCAACGACTACATAATTATTTACATCATTATTTATAAAGAACTTTATTACTTTAAAAAAACTTATTTTGTCAGAGGGAGAAAAGGAAAATACTTGAACAAAAATATGAAACTGAAAAAGACCGTCTTAAGAATGCTAATCTTTTCACCATAGATATAGTAAACAAAACAGTTACAAGAGAAGACGCCACGGTAATATTTTATAAAATTATTATTATTTTGTTCTTTATCATTAAATATTAACATTTACCTGTTTTTTTGATATCAGAAATACCTTGACGTTGAAAAATTTCTGCCTGAACGCCACGAACCTAAGAAGAAGGAATTGCAATCCTATAATGTTGACGGTTTTTAATTTTTTTTATCAATTCCAATGGCAGTAACCTTCTTTGCAACTTACAGCATATATTAAAATTTATTAGATTTTTATTTTTTTACAAAATTACTTCGTGTCCACCCTCAAAGAAGTAACTATTATAGATTCATTTATTATATATTTGACGTGCTAACTCTGGTTATATATTTTTTAAATTATTTAGGGTGTTTTTAATAACAAATATAATAATTTATAAATAAATTTTATATCTTATTAAATAATTAAATAAGATTAATTTTTTAATTTCTGTTTTTATTACTTTTACTATAGTTTTATTTTTATAAAGGTTTTAATTGAAATTTAAAATCAATTTTCATTACCCATTTTACAAACGTTTTCAAGTAATTTACTAATTTTCTTAAAGTTACTACTATAATTTATATTTTTAATAGGAATGAAGTTTGAGACTTTAGTTCATCCTTGTTTGAAAAACAAACCAACTTTTTTGCATTCACTTTTTAAAAATTCTAATCTTCCTTCGAAAAGTTTTTTTTCCTTATTTAGATTATATTGTATATATCCATATTTTTATTATCATTTGCTTACCTGCATTTTATGTCCGAGCATGTTTATTTTTAAATAAATTCCAGATACTTTTTTACGATAATATTTATATTATTAATGTTTTTAGTTTTTATGGCGGTTAAAATTTAATATAACACTTTCAACTTTTAACTTTCTTTTGTTGGAATGAAGAATTGTATAAGTTTGAGATAATATTTCAATATATTTATATACTTTTTTAGGTTTAGAATTTTTTAAAACTTAATAAGTTTTAACTATAATCTTTTAAATTTTATTGCGTTTTGAAGATCTTTACCTTTTGTTAGTTTACATTAAATTTATATTCAATTTTTATTATGTATCGCTACACAATGTTGTTGTTATAATAAACATTAAAGAATTTTTATTATTTTATATACTTTTTCTTTGTTTAATTTTTATATTTTACTATAAAGAACTCAGAGAGTCGCTTAAACTTCAAGATGAGGATCTTTTAAAAATGGTAGACTACGGAAAATGCTTGAGTTTACATCAGGTATGTTTTAAAAATAACTTTTTTATACTTTTTGCTTTACTTTTAAATAGGTAGGTAATATTTTATTATATTTTTATAATTATATGTACTTGTTATTACTGAGATATGTTTACATAAAAATTAAAAAACTGACAATTAACTTTTTAAAGATTATTATAATAATGAAAATAATAATCACCTTTTTTGATATCCTAAAAGCCATGGGCCTCCTTGTTAGTCGCTGGAATAAAAACTGTGGAGGGCCGTAGTTGGTACACTCCCCATCGGGGTCGCTTGTGGATCGCTGGTCTCTCATAGTTTCATTCTATGTGTATATATTTTGCTGGGTAAGTATGATTTACCAAGTTTTTTAAGTTAAATTGTTGGTTATTAATTTGTTTCGTTACTTTTTTGTCTAATGCTGTAAGGAATAGTTGGCCTTCTGATTACACAATTTTTTAACGATATCTCTTTAATAATTATATTGGTAGAATGCTGTTCATTTCTAAAAAAATGACGTGTTTGATGGTATTTGTTGGGTAGTCGCATTAATTTTTTTGAGTGGTAATTTGTTGGTTTATTAATTTCATTATTTTTACTCTTGAGAAATACCTAGTGATGACTTGTTGGCTTTATATTTATTTTTATTATTGTTAGTTCTCTTGTTTTTAATTATACTCAAAATTTATTCTTGTAGGTTTTTAAATTTAAATTTTATAATTTTTTTTGACTACTTATACAATAACTTATTAAAATCTATTAATTGCAAAGTAAGCTTATATACTTATTAAAACTTTATAATACTATTCTTGTTAATAACAAAATTTTATTTAGATTTTCGAAATTATTAAAAGTATTTTCTCAAATTTTTATCTAGCAACCTCTCTTGAACCGAGCGAAGATTGTATTAACGAAGTTGAAAATTCATATAAAGTTTTGTATAAAGATCCCAATTTAAAATTTCCGCGACCTTACTCAACTGCGTGTCTTCTTGGCTGCGTGGATCTTGTGGAAGTTTTTACTATTGAAGAATATAAAAATAAAGTTTTCATTTTATTCTTGCTTTATTTTATATTAGTATAAGAAAAAGTAAAACTGGAAGTGATTTATAATTTAAAAATTTACTTGAGTGATAATTAATAAAAGTAACAATAATTATATAATAATTGGGAAAACTGAGTAAAGTTTACTTAAAGTTTATCAAACAAATTTTATAGCGGTAACTTTTATTGTGAAATGTTAAAATTTTTTTTATAAATTTATAATTATAAACTTTTAAATTTATTTTTTTCCCATTTTTGGAGACTTTCTCTGGTTTTAATTTGTTAAATTACTCTAAATTGGTCACTTCTATTTTTCTTATTTTTTATTAAATTTCTAATTTCATATATCATTAAAATAAATTTATATATATTTTTATTATATAAATAGATAGAATAAAATAATTAAGTTTCTAATTTTTTAGATTATTTTTAAATAATCTAAAAAGTAAATTGAGTTAAGATTGAGTAGACATTTATTGTACATAACTTATCTTAGTAATAATCTCATAATCTATATAATTTAAATAATTTATAAAAGTTGTTATAAATTTTATGGTTATAATTTAATTGTTTCATCTAGTAATTACAGCATTTATTAGATTAAAAAAATCGTGGCATAATTTATTTAAAAATTTTATAAACTTGTTATAATAATTTTGATTAATTTTATGAATTCAAGCTATTGGAATTATTTAAAAATAATTATGTTTCTTTGTAAGGGAATACTTCTAAATAAAAAAGGCGTTGATCGTTTATTAAATATTATAATACTGATTTGATTTAATTTATTCTCTATTAAGTAAAATTTAATATTTAAATTTAATTTTTAAAATTTACTATAAAGTAAAGTTAGCTTGTTTTACAGAAAATTTAATAATTTTTATATATTTGACGTTTCCTTTTTTTTTTTCCAGTTTAAAAGTGAAGAGTCTCAGTCTGATTTTGTTTTTATATGTGAAAATCCACGTGCTCTTCCGGTTAAATTTTCCGTCTCGGGAAATTCAAAGATCTGTAATCTTTTCTATAAATTGTCTTTTTTTTTTGGTTACTTATGTTATAATTTTTAGGGAATTTGCCAAAAGAATTGCATAATTCCGCTAGACAAGCGCTTTCATCCTTTTCTTCATAATAAATTAGTAAAAGTTAGTAGGTTTTTTCTAAATTTATTTTTTTTATATTTTCATTGCATTAATAAAAATATTTAATTTTTGTAGAGCTGGTCGACTTAACTTAGAAAATAATTATAAAATCTCATAAACTTTACCTAATTTAGTATATGGAGTAACACTCATATTTATTTAATTTTTTAATTCTTCACTAAAAATTAGAATTTTTTTTTGAGTTGATCCTTAAAAACACTAGAATTAAATTTAAAAATTAATTATAAAATCTTATAAACTTTACATGTTTAGTACGTTGAGCACAAATTTAGTGTTGAGTTTTTTATTTTTTTATTTTATTTTTATTTAAAATTAGTTAATAATTTTTTAAAGCTGATCTACCAAACTGGGCGTAGAATTAATTTAAACAATAATTATAAAATCTCGTAAAGTTTACATAGTTGGTACTTAGAGCAGAAATTTAATATTATTTTTTAATCCCATTTTTAGAGCTACTTTAAAAGAATAATATTAAAATCTCATAAACTACATATTTTTTTAGTACGTTGACTAAATCTTTAATATATGTATCATGTAAAGATTTGTAATTCTCTCCTAACATTTGCGTTAAATTTTTAGAGAAACATATTAGTTTTAGTTTTTTTCTTTAATGCTTTTAGTAAAGTTACCTTTTTGAGCAGTTTTAAAATTTTTTAAATAATTATTGCGAGATGGTTTATATTAAAAATATTACTTTTTTACTAAATTTAAAAAGTTTTATATTTTTAAGTTTAGTTCTACCAACAAAATTTTTTAGAATTTTTTTTTTTTTTGCTTTCGTTTGTTACAAACGTAAAGATTTAAAATAGAGGATTCATGATTTTGTAAGAAAACTTTTCTCTATAAATCTTAATTTATAATTTCTTGTACTTTTGCTGAAGTGAAATTATTTGAGATAATTTTGTGTTCGTTATAAACATAAATTAATTTAAAAACTTTTCTCGCTTTAATTTTACTTAGAATTATAATTTGTATTTTTTCTTAACTTAAGATTATTATTGGTTGAAAGATTTAATAAGTATATTATCTTCAATTAGGCTACTTTTCTTATTTAATATAATAAATGTTGCTATTCTTGATGGACTCTTAACAACTTAAGAATATAGTTAATTTTTTTTCAGGGTTTTTAATAATTTTTTTATAAGAACAAATTAGAATTACATGAAACATTTTTTTTTGAAATGAAATAATATAAATTTTAAAAGTTGTGATTCTTATAATTTTTATTAGTTAGCTTGAAATTAGTGCTACGAGTAGTAGTAAAAGAAAAAGTTGCATAGTCTAATAATATTTAATTAAATAAAAATTATACTAATTATAACGTTTTTTTGGGTTTTATACGGCTATTTTTTATTGGCGGGATCAATTAATTTACACTCACCAATCTTAACAAAAGTAATTAAAGCCTTCAATTATTTATAAAATTCTGGTGTCGCGTAATCTGCAATCCAAAAGTGTGTAATAAAATTTCCTAGTGGAAACAAAGTTTACTACAAATTTTATAAAATATCAGAATTTTCTATACCACAGCAAAGTAGAAGTAAATATGAATCTAGAACTACTTTATAAACAACTAAAGATTTGCGGTTTTCTCACAATTGAGTACAGACAGAAACTTAATAACACGGCTAGTCGACTTAATCACTGTCGATTATACTTAGCAGTAAAGGTTTACAGCACATTCTTTTTTTAAAAAAAAAATAAATTACTTTCTTGTTAAAGGTTTGCTTATGTAAACGTCCTTTTAGAGTCTTGTTAGGTTTGTTAAAGATGACCAAGCGTAATTAAAATTTCTTTAGCTGTTCATAAACCCCTGTGATAAACATTTTTTTTACAAAGGCTGAACTAAGACCACCCACTTTTATCGTGGTTTCTTTTCATATTCCTTTAAAGGAATTCCTGTACCTTGTTTGTCTTTCGGTACTTAATTGTTAAACTTCGAAACTATTCAATAACAATAGAACGCTTAAGATTTAAATCTATTCCCTAGAATGATTATAAGGAGGAAAAAAGTAAATAAAACAAAATTTAAGTGAAAAATATTTTTTTATTTACTTAATAGTTATCGTTTTTATAATTATATATAATTTTTGAGAATGCGCTCGTTTTAAACGTAAAGTAGTTTATAAAATCTTTTGCAAAATAAATAAACTTTGTATGTACCAGCCATGTATATGCAGGTAGTACGCACTTCTAGATAATTTTATGGCAACACTATTTTTCTGTCTTTTTATTAGGCTTAATGGTCACGCACGGTCACGTATTTCACAGACGGGAAATAAACTTTTTGGGACTTACACTATAAACTATTCTTAATTACCATAATTATATTATTCCGTTTGTTAAAAAGTTAAATTTCTCATGTTTATTGTTCTTTTTATAAAAAATTCGAAAAGTTTAGAGTACATAGTTTATGGTATTGCCTTTTAAACTTTCCAGCTCTTTACCTGCTTCTTTGGAGCATCCAGTCTATCTTTTTGGGGGTTCTCTTATAATCTCTAGTTCACTTGAATATCGTAAGTTTTATTGTAACAATTATTAAAAATAAGGATGGGTCTTACCTCGCAGTGAGCTGCATTGATTTATCTATTAAAGTGTTGGACACTGCCCCCTCAAGAATTTTACGTCCTTACAAAAATGCTCACCTTGATAGAATTTAGTCTGTAACATTCGGTACTGTTGCACCGAATATATTATACTCAAGTTCATCTGGTGGTAGTATTCGGGTTTGGGTTACAAGGGCTTAATAGTGGCTCGGTAACTTTTACTAAGTAGTTACAAATTTTATTGGCAGGCGGTTATTTAAAGTTTAGTTTTATTCTTGTTTTATAAGAAGTGCGTAATTCTTATACCTTGCTTTAATTAAATTTAAAGATCAAGTTTTCTGTACCAAATTGTTCTTTTACTGAGTTGGATGTTAGGCCTGTTGAGTCACTTAATTCTGTACGCTCAGAAGAAGTGCAACAGAAAGCTAGTATTTAAATAGGGTAATAATATTTTTACTTTGCTTTTTTATTTGTCTTTGAAAATGTAATTAATAATCTTTTTTAATACATTTCTGGATTTTTTATAAGTATACTATTAATTTTTTCAGAAGTATTGCCCTTGTTTTTATATATCTATAAAATTATTATTTTTACTTTGCGTATGTCGCCTTTTGTTTCGGTGCTTTAGTTGTGTTCTAAAAGAGATTTCTCTGTTTTTACTACTCCACCATACAGTGAACTCGTTCATTTTTTACTAATCAAAAGTTATTGATTTTGATTAATTTTTCTGCTGAAGTTTCTGGTTTTTTTTTACTTGAATCTATCGCACTTTGCTATTTATTTTGCACTTTTGCATTTTTATTTCTAAGAAAAACAAATTTACCTTATTTACTTCTATTTACGTTATATTAATATTTGAGTAAAAAGATATTTTCATTTTATAAGACCTTGTTTTATGTTTATTAAAATCTATGCATTAATTTCCTTTTTATCTATTTAATTATATTATGTAACAGTATTACAAAACTTAATTACGTGTTTTTTATTCTAAGTAGAGTTTAAGTCTTTCATAGTTTAAAGAGAATTTATAAATATAGATATTTCTGAAAGTCCGCATTTTTTTTACTTTTATTTTATTATACTTTTACCAATATTATTGTAAGATTTAGTTTTAACTTCAGTATATTGTTTAGTTTAGTAAGTTTCTTCTAGCAATTCTCTAAGGCGTGTAGAGGGCTTAACGATTTTATGAGTAGCTTTTAGTTAAACTTCGTAAAGGTTATATGTATAAGGAATTGCAAATCTTTTTGTTTCTGTGTTATTGCTTCATCTGTTAACCTAAATCAAGTGAACTGTTATTCACCTATAAGCGTTTCTAAATTTGTTATTGTTTTTTTGTTTTTTCTAGAGTAAACATAATGTTTGTGTAGTAATGGAATTAACGAATAAGTAACGTCACCGCTATTGCATGTTTGATCTGCGAGCACGAAAAGCGGGCCCTTTAATTTATTAACTTTTTCACTATATTTTATGACCAGTTATGCAACTTGTTATACCATTTGAGTGGTTGAGGTTTCTTTTCTATAATTATATTGAAAGCAATTAGTCTCTTTTTGTTTTTACTCAAACTAACCTAGGCGGTAAATAGTATAGTTCGGTACCGTTTTCAGGTGCATTTCTATCTTTAGTATGTAAATATTAATAAAAATACGATTTTCGTGAGCGTATAAAATTACTACCCCCTATGGTAAACGTTATGAGTTTATTATTTTTTAATATAGTTTTTAATATATTGATGCTCTTTTTATCCTCTTTTGTTGCAGAAAAAGAATTCACATTACGATGACGTCAATCCTGTTAGAACATTTCTTTTCATTATTTATTTTCATTTTATCTCTATTATAGCTTACAAAAAAGTTTAATATGCGTTTTATATAGTATCAAACGTATTGTTAATGTATTATTTTTATTGGTTGATTATGGGTACATTACTTTTTTCGATTGGTAAAACTTTTTGTTCAGTTACTTAGCTGAGACAAGAATCGTAATGTAGGCTGAGTATTGTTGCCCGTGCTTTTCTATCACGTGTTGTGCAAACTATAAGAGGCTGTTATAAACGTCGGGAAAAAGAAAAGGTTTTTAATTTTGATTTATTCTTATATTACATATTTCAACTTTTATTCTATTAGTTTGCTTATTATTATAATTATTTTTCTTCTAAATATTACAAACAAATCTTGTTTTATTTTTTTAATTTTTTTTATATATAAAAATTAAGTTTTAGATTTTTTACTATATATAAAGTTTTAGTAATTTTAGGTTCTCATAATTTACAAGAAAAAACTTTTTGTGTATATTTATAATTTATATAAATACCTCTTGAATTTGTAAAGTTTTTATTGTTAATTTTGGTATATTTTGAGGTTCTTTAAAATTTTCAATAGTAATTTTCTTTGGTGTGCGTTTTAGTGTATCTGAAAATTTTATCAAAGTCAATAATTTCATAGGAACTTTATATTAATTATTTTATGTAAGTATAATATTTAATAATAACAGTTTTATTACTTATATCAAATATAAAACTTTAAAACTATTTTTAGTAAAAGTATTATTTTAATTATAATAAAAATTATAGAAAATTTGTTGATCTTTTTTTTTTATTTTTTATAAAAGTACTAATTTTTTTTATAAAAATATTACTTCGATAAGCTTTTCAGATCACTTTTTATCCTGGACCTCGCCATCAACTTTTGGCGGTATCGATGGATGGCTTCTGCAATTTTTGTGCTGTTTCATAAACAGCGAAGACGAAGGACTTTTACTCATGTTCAATACGGAATTAATTGATCTAGTGACCTTTTTTTTTGAGCAAATTATTATTTTTTTAATGATCGCTTATAAATTTAATATCTATTGAGATGAACTAATAAAGTTTTCTTACTTTTTATAAATATTAACATTTTTTATTTATAGTTTTAATATAATAAAGAAGTAAAGTTATGATATACTTTTATTATATTGAAGTTTTTATTTGTATGAAAGTTGAATATGTTTGTTCATAAAATATTATTATACATTATTCTATTAAAAATTTTGTATCTGTATTATGAAAAATAAAAGTTTTCATTATAAGTTTTACTTTTTTAAAAAAAACTTTTTAATATATGGTAAAAAAAAATAGACTGAAAATTGCATATTTATAAGTATAAGTTTATTTTATTATTTATTTATTATATAAATAATAATATAGTAAAAGTTTATAAAAAAGTTATTAATAAGAACTAAACTTTTTTATTTTTATTATAAATATAAGACAAGTGTTATTTATACTTTTTATCCTTATTATGTTTAGAAAAGTAAAAATTGTAGATAATAATATTATTATGATTGTTACGTACCGCAGAGTTCAGGTTACTATTCTTATTATTATTTATTTTAAAATATTCTACTTTAAAAGATTTATATTTTATGCATTATTAAGTATTAATAAACTTATTATAAGAAAATACTATTTTTTTAAAAAATATGAAAGAAAGTGTTATAAAAGTTTTATTAATACTAAAAACTTTATACAAAAATTATTTGTTATAAAAGTTAGAAGAAAATTTGTCATAATTTTATTACTGATTAAAACTTTTAAAAATTGATTTCGATTATAATAGTTTATATAAATTTAGTTATTATATAATGAATATTATAAAAAGTTTGTTAATAATTATAATATTTAGATAAAATTTTTAGAATTTTTTTTTTCAAAACTACTTAAACTTTTATTTATTAGTTAATAAAAAAATTTTGGAAAAGTTTTATTGTTAAATATTTTTTACTGGAACATGCTATAAACTAAATAAAATGTTTAAAAAAGTTTTTTTTTGTACAATTTTTGTGTTATAATTTCCATTTGTTTAAACTGAATTAGTAATATTACTAAAATTAAGTTTTTTTCATTAAAAGTTTAATAAATCGTCAATAGAAACATTAATTATATTATATTTAAAAAAGAACAAAAAACTTTTTAAAAGAAATCACTTTTAAGAATTTACAATTTATTATATAAAATATTCTTGTTTTTTATTATAAATTCTTAGTATACTTATTAAATAATCATAACCAATCAATTAATTTATAAATTTAATTTTTTGGCCACCCAGTTATAAGCAACTTGTTTAGGTCTATATATTGCTATTAATTTTTTGTATTTTTCTAGTTTATATTTTTAATAAAAAATACGCTTTTTCTTTTTAGTTTTAAAAAGTTCTAATGAAATGTAATTTATTTAAAAATTATAAAAAGAAAATTTTAGTATACTCGTATTTATGCTTTATTGTTGCTAATATTTATTAAAAAAAATTATTATTACGTTTTATTTTATTATATAAAACAAATCTTCGAGATCATAAAAAATTGTTTTCACTAATATTTTATATTAACGTGTTACTAACAATTTATTTTTCTTAACAGTTACTTTGTGTAAATATAATTATATTTAAAGTTTTATATAATTTTTTAAAAAAAATTATTATCATATCTTTACAATATTTTATTTATAAAAAATCAAAAAGTCAATAATGTAAGCTTTTATGGTTGTGCCTCTAATCTTGTTTATACTCTTACTCATAATGAAACTTTCGTACTTTGGTTCGCCGACGAAGTTGTTGTGTATATTATTATTACTATTAATATTATTTGAAGGAAGCTGTTTGGGAAAAACTCCCCTCTATTCACCATTATAATTTGGATTCCAAAATGAATTAAGAATTTGAGGGTCGCACCAATAGTTTAATTGCCTTTTGCAAAACTTACATGTTTATCATTTACTTTATTAAAAATCTTTTTTAATATATTTTGTTATCATGGCGATGTAGAGATTATGAAAGTTACTGGGCAGCTTATAAGCGTTTGCATAGTCTTCTCTCACGCCATTCTTCACTTGTTCGAGACTTTTATTATAATTCTATAAATTATTTTATAATTCTTAATAAAGTTTGAAAGTTTCTTTATAGAAAAGTTTATTATATTTATATAATGAGATTGTAGAATCATAAAAGTTAGTAGTGAAATTTTATGATAAAAAAGTAATTTTTCCTTAAATCTTTTAATATAGTAAGTGATTTGTTTATTTATAAATTTCCACCAGAACAGAAATTTCTTTAAAAGTGTACATATATAAATTTGTTTATAGGAATTATTTACACTGTTGGTGAGAATTCTCCCAATTTCAAATGCAATCAAGAGGTTTTATGCTGGATTGCTTGACGAGAATATTTTTAGTAAACTAGTGAAATTAGAATTATAATAAAAATAAAAACGCAATAAATTATAATTTTATTTTGAAATGCCATTGTTTAACTTCACCAATATTATAAAAAAAAAACAAATTCGATCACCATGGAACAGATTTAAAGTAATAAAACTAGTGAGAAAGATAGGCAAGAATGAAAAAGTATAAAGGTATAATAAGGTAATAATAGAAGGAATAACAAGTGACCCAAAATTGATAACTACAAGTGAATAAAGAATTACCCCTTTTTTTTTTTTTGCTTAGATCCCTTTTAGAGTGTCACTTCGGAGTTATGTATAGCGGTTGTGTGAGAAATATTGCGTCTTCCCACTTACTTTTTTGCTACAAGGTTTGTCTTCTTCTGTTTTTCAGCGAAACCGTAAAACTTTGATATGAGTTACGTCGCTTTTTAGCTCAAATGTGAAAGTCCATTAAAAAAAAACGAAAGCATTATAAAGTTGATGTTGCTACTGTACTTTCTAACACTATTTTTTAAGATAACAAAATAGTGAGCAGTAATATACACTGGCTCCAAAGCTAAAATATTGCAGTGCTTATGTAGCTTTAACAAGCCTGCTTTTATTATTTGCAAGTACAAGATTTATAAACTTCAAAAACATGATCCCGAAAAATCATACTATCAAACTTGTGACATTTCCATAACCTGACAGAGGGAAAGAGAAGCAATCAATTTATTGCCCAGCAGAGGAAGGAGGTATTTATACCTAGAGGGAAGAAACACAAATATGTGAAAGCATAAAAACGTGCTATTACAAAGGCGCGTGGTATAAGCACATAATATGAATCACGTGATGTAATGGCACCTGGTATTAGCACGTGAGTTATCAAAGTTTACTCCAACGTAATCTTAACCTTAAAAAAATTCAAATATATAAATATAAAATCAAAAGAACTTACACTAACTAGCAGCACCTCTCTGTAGCAGCGAACGCAAGCTTATAGTTGTAAAATGCCAAAAAAATAGCACCTTTTTTTAACAAAAGTAGATAATTTAGGTTCTTTCCTTTTTTAAGTAGTATAAATTATTGCTAACAAACCACGAACACTCCTAATGTCTCAGTGCACAAAAGAATATTATAAAAAAAAATTGCTAAAGAACTAAGACTAAAATTATTCTTTTAAGCGCAAGAAAAAGAAATGCAATTGCTAGTTTCACTGCAATAAAAGCTTGATAGAGTTGGTAGTAACTTTATTATTTACGGTTTGAAAGTACTTAAACTTTATTATTATTTATAAATATCCGACAATCGTCATTTGATTGTTCCCAACATTCCGTAATTTCTTGAAGGTGTCGCAACGAAAAAATGAGGAAGGGCACATCCATAAAAAGACACGTCACTATTCGCTTTCACTTTCCTCGTGGTCGTTGATTACCAAAGTTTCATCGTCAGATTCGGGATCACTGACTTCGTTTATGTCTGCCACTTCCACACAATCCTATAAGAACTTTGGTATTTTCATAATAAAAAAGAGCAAAAAGTCAAAGCACTTTTTTTTCTATTGGGGTCGTGGAGACGTGTCGAGTGTCTACAGTTTGCAAATAATAAGTGGTTTTTCATAAGCAAACATGTGAAAACGTGTACCCTCCCTGTGCGCAGGCGGCGGGAGGCACTGGCCAATGCACCGGCTAGGCTGCTCTTCTCCGTTCTGCCGTTGCTCAGCACATGAAAGGGGAGTGTCCGTTGGCGCGCTTTCTGCTTGCTGTGTGCTCTCGTCCACCCGGACACTGCCCTGCGCAGACGTCTCTTCAGCTCGGTTATTAGTCCCTCCTGCAGCTTCTTCGGTCGTCCACTGCGCTGGAGGGGACGGAATGGAAGAGTATGCGTGCTGGTTGGTGGGCTGACCACACGGTGGCGGAGTTTCTTTTTCTTGTGAATCCGATTCTCCTATAGTAAAGCATAATCACTAATAAAAATATTTGCACAGTCCCACACAAATAGTACTCAAGTCATATTGTGAGTCAGCCAGTCGATAGCGTGAGCGGAAGAAGTATAATCCTTTTCTTTAAGGAACGATATTATTAACTATATAAACTTGAATCAGTTATGAAGCACAAAGGTTTCTTACTGCGACGAAGGCGTGTCAGAAAAGCTTGGCTGCTTTTCCCGTCTAGCAAAATCTTTTACCACTACCATTATTATTAGTGCTATATATTAAAAAGATATATATGGAATACGAGAGTCATGGGAAGAACTGTTAAAGCGGAGATTCAATAAATGCCCTGAAGATTAAAATATTTTTTTAAAATTGTGAAGATCCAAAAATAAGTTACCATTAATAAATATTATTTCTATTAATATTTCACTATTTATAATATACTTTATATGACTCGCTTATACAAATCTGATTTTTTAAATCAGTCTAATTTGAATTATTTTTAAAAAAGCGTCACTTTAAATTTTCTTTTAATACGCATTTTAGTAGGACCCTCTATTCTTTTATTATATAAAGTTAAGTAACTTTTAAACTTTAACATAAATTTAAAAAACTACTAAAGACTCCTAGTAAATTTTTTAAAAAGTCAAAACTTTAACATAATTTCAAATACGTTTCTTCTAATGTTTATATTTTAAAAAAAGTTTGCTGTAATTTCATATAAAATATGACAAAAATTACTACTTTGTATTCAATTCTTTTTCGATCTAGTTTGTTAATTTATATTTTTTATGCTAAAATTCGGTTGTACAAAACTTTATAATTTAATAATTAAAATATATTTTACTTACAATGTTTACAGCCATTAGGAATAAAAGATTAATTATTAATAGCATCTACTTAATTTCTCTAAATAGTTATAATATATTCACTCTCGTGTGCTTTAATTAATCAAAATTAAAATTCTTTTTTCTTATCAAGATTTTTTTTTGATCTTTAAATACTACAAAAATGATTATTATCATTAACCAAATTTATACTTGAAATTTTTACTTAAAAAAAAAGTGAAATTGTTTATTAATAAAAATCTTTTATTTAAATTCAATTAAATAAATTCTTAAAATCTTACCCTAAACGTTAAGAATGCAGAGTAAAAAAAAATTATATTTAATACTTTTAAATAAAAAAAATTGTATAAAGAAATTAAATAATTTTTTAATTTATAAAAACAATTATTATTTTTAATATATTTTTAATAATTTTTTTTATATCAAATAAAAAAATCGAGATGCAGGAAAAAGAAAAAATCAAATTTAAATTAATACTTTTATATAGAAATAAAAAGTCTAATATAATTAAAAATTTATAATAAGTTTTCGACTTATAAAAACATTAAATTTTAAAAATCAATTTGGCAATTTTTTATCAATAAAAAATGAAACAAAAATTAATATACAATTCTACAAAAAAAAATAAACTTTTTTAAAATAAATAAAATATAAATGTTTTTTAAAGGTAAATTAAATTATTTTTATTAGATCAATAAAATATATCAGAAGACAAGTAAAGAAAACAAAACATAGAATTAAATCAACTTTTTTAAAATAAATTTTCATTTTTCACATAAAAAACTTAAATTATTAATTTTTTTAGTTTAATAAAAAGAAGCGAAAACAGAGGAAAAAGAAAAACCGAAATTAAAATTTAAAACTTTTTTATATAGAAGATAAACTTCATATTTTATAAATAAATAATAATAAGCCTTTCACTATAATAAACTTTGTTAATTATAATAATTAAATTTTCTTTTTTTTAAAATAAATTTCTATAATTACAAATAAGAAAAAAAAATAAGAATACAGGGAGAAGGAGGGCCGTTGAGCTTATAACCAGCGGCGTGGACAAGCGATCCGTTCAAGTAAAAAGTTACTAGAGACCAAAGCCACGAAGGAAAGGGAGGCGCTTTTATGACAATGCGAGGAGGCTGCAGTGGCAGAGCAAAAATAATACAAATAATTTAGAATTTCAAAAAAATTGTGATTTTCTAATAAATATATGTATAGTTATATGGGTTTTATAAGAAATATTTTTGTAGTACATTTAGAATAAGTATTAAATCTTCAATTATAAAAAAAAAATTAATTTATTTATATATATAAAAAAGCAAATAATTTTTATAAAATTTACATATAATTAATCAAAAAATATTACAGTTCGAAAGGATTAGGAAAAGTAAGCTAAACACATTAGAGAATTATAGGTTACAAAAGTTTCATTAAAAATCAAGTTATATTGAGGAAAATTATTTTCCAATAAAAAAACTGTAAACAAAAAAAATTATCTTTCAAGGATTAATAATAAAGCAACTTTACATTCTAATTATTAAAAAAATATTTTTTTTTGCATTACCTTAAAATGATTACATTAAAAGTATTAATAAATCAATTGAGCTTTACAATAAAAAGCTCGAAATTTAAAAAAGTAATTTTTAAAAAAAATAGTAATAATTTTTACACCAGTAAAAAAATTGCTTTTTAAGTAATCCAAAAACTTAAACAAATTGAAGAAAGGAAATATGACAAGAAATTACTATTAAAATTACAAAAATTAAAAACAAAATTAATTTAAACTATAAATTTTTTAAAATGAATTATATAAAAAATTTAGATTTTCTACATGAGTATGTCTCATTTGCTTCATATAAGCAAGTTCGTCGTGTAGCGCCCGAATTCTCATCTGCAGATCATAAGCACGAAGTTTCAATAGTTGTTCTTGTCTTTTCAGTTCATAAACGGAAGACTATTTTGGTAAGTAATTTTTAGATTAAAAAAAAAAATCCCAAAATTTAATAAGGGAAGCTGCACGTGCACCAAAAGTATCAAAATAAAAATTTTAAATTTTAATTGCGGGATTTTTGCCTCTGAAGGCGGCAAAGTTGGATTTTTAGTGTCCCGCTGAAATTGATAGACAAAAGTTTTTCGATTTTCATCAACTCTTTCAGAATCACAAGGATCCACGCGTCTACCAATAATTCACGAGGAACAAAATTTATATATTCAAGAATTTATAAAAACAAAAACACAAAAAAAATAAAAATTTTTAAAGTACTTATAGAGAGGAGATTTCTGATGGCAAACTTCGTCCGGTTTCCCAAATTGCGAGGGCGGCCCTGCAGGGCACTACCAATATATATAGTAAATATGTGAAAAACCAAAAAAAAAATTTAAAAAATTCTATAAACGAATTTTTCGTGAGCGGAAGGAGTCGAAAAAGAATTATGTAGATGCGCGGGAAAATTCGGATGTCCTTTTATAAAGTTAGCAGGCTGTCCATAATAAGCTAAAAAGTAATAATAATAAATATATAGATTTTAAAACAACAATATCGGCCGCTGTCTATAAAAATAAGCTACATTTAATTTAAAAAAATCATGATCAGTCTCATCCGTAGCAATAAGCTAAAGGAATATTTATTATAAAAATTAAATTTAAAATTAATATTCGGGCCGCTGTCCAAAATAATAAGCTACCAAAAAATATAATTTACCTTGAAGAGAAGGGCCGGAGTGTGAACGAGAAGAAAATGCAGCCGAGCCAACGGCTTCTTGATTTGCGCTGTACGAAAAAGATCCTCTATAAAGCAATGGAGCTTGTAGAGAACAAATCATAAGTAATTAAATTATTTAAAATTTAATTGCCAATAAAAAAATAATTTACAAAAATTATTTTTATAAACAAGTAGTAAATCTTTTTAAGCGCACCAGAGTACTGCAGATGCGGACTTTGTGCATGCGCATGCGCATGCGGGGGATTTGGATAAAGCTTGCCAGGATGCACCCCATCTTGAGGGACAATGGAAGATGGACAAGGGCAAGTGCTTACCATAGAGCCTTTAATTAGTAATAAACATAAGAAAGTGTAAAAACAAAATTTATAATATAAATTATATAAACCGGAAGTAGAGACAGAATAAGGGTGAGGTGAGTGGCAAGAACCTCAAATTAGTAAATATTAATAACTCTAAAGCTAAAAAATGGTATAAATTTTATTTTCTTTTTTTTACACAAACTGAAAACTATTTAATATAGTATGTTTGTTAAACTTGAGCAACACTATGCTAAATTTAAAAACTTTACATGGAAAGTCTAGGTGTATAAAATTAAAACTACCTTTCCCTTTAGAACAGTTTTTAAATTACCGTGAGAAGGGTAAGAATCAACTAAGTGTTGGTTGGAGATTTCGAAATTATTATAAAGCGAAGGAGTTCCCACATTATGAGTTAAACGGCCAGAAGGTGTGTGCGCTAAATTTTAATAACCTTAAAATAAGAATTTGAAAAATATTAAAATTATAAAACCTTGAGTTGCCCCTGACTGTGGCTTGTGAACATAATGAACGGAGTGAATGGGGCCTGTATCGGTTTGAGAGTGAAGCATAACTATAACAACAATAAATATTAAATGAGTAAAAAAAAAAAGTAAATATAATAAACACAGTTATTATATAGTACCAGATAAGTAAGGGCGTTCAACACCACAAGGAACTCTCAAAATAGCAAAATACAGTAACTATTCATACAAACGCAAAAGAGAAGAGCGACGAAACTTTATATAAGCCTGGTTGGCGTATTCTGCATTTGAAAGAAACCTCGAATTTGGTCATCATGAAACTTTCATCGCGGAAAAGATGCAAAGGCTTTAAACAAAATAGCCTTATCAGTAATGAAGGCAATTTTACCAGCAGGTAATTTAGAATAGAATAAAAAATATTTGTAGCAGGAGAGAGGGATAGTATTAGTTATTTTTTTTAAAATCTCCTTATATGCTTTCACTAGGGTCAAAGGATGCATCCTGACGCAGCCCATAATAAAATTAAATACTAGTTAGATTTTAGCTCAAAAGGTATTTGATACAAGATTATTTAAAAAATTTCAAAGCTATAATTTTTCATATATTGTAAACCATAATTTTCGCTGAAGGGTTGTCGCGTTAGGCTATCTCTTTTACTCAAATTTTACTAAGTTGACTTACGGTTTTAGTAAGGTCGATTCAAATTTTTTAGTTAAACCGCGGAGCAGGTAAACTTGAGAGCGTAATTAGAAGTAACAGTAGGTAGGAGAAGATTAATATTTATTTTCCAATGTTCTTGCTTTGACGTATGTTAAATGAGTGTACCGTAATGATACCTTATTGATGTATTCAGTAATATTCTAAAAAGGTTCATTTTTAACCGTGTTAGATAATATAGTTATAATTTTTTTTCTAATAATAAATAAGTGTAGGTTATATAGCATTAAATAATTAACCCAGAGTCCTCATTAACTCCAAAATCTATAACACGATACAGGTTTACATAGAAATATACTATGTAATAAAGTGTGCATGCTTTGCATTGAGAACTCTGACTTAGTATGTCTAAGTTATCAATAACTCTTAAATAGGAGGACACTACCAATGCTAAAAATTTCTAGACAATATAAATTTTTATTAGTACTCTAAGAGCCCCTATAATTAGTTATCAATAGTAAAATATGATAAACATATGTTATCTGAATATTTTAAACAATAGTTTTATTAGTGTAAAAGTAACCAGCAGTATTAATTATTAAACTAAAAAGCCAAAAACACTATTTACGTAAAGCACAGTAGAGAATTTTTAAAGCATGTAAAGTTCGTATAATAGTTTAGCTTTATTATATACAATATTAGTACAAACCGCTAAGAATTTTTTTTAAGGCTTATCGATGATTAAGTTTTCCCCCGAATGCATGAAAATAAGTCGCAAAAAAAAACGTATTGCCAATTTTAATTTTGGTTTGTTTGTTACAAAACCACAACATATATCATGACCCTGAGATCTTTTAAAAAAAAGTGAAACTTTATATTTGTTGAAAATTTTTGATAAATTTAAAAAGTCTTAAAAATAGTTTTTACTAATTAATATTTATTTCCTCTACCTTATGATTTTCAGGTACTTTAGAGGTTGTACAAGTTTTCAGGACCATAATTTAATCTAAAAGTACGCTCTGTGCAAATCCTTTTCCGTCTTCTCTACCTATAGCACCCCTAAAAGTAGGTATCATGCAATTTTACAAATCCTTCAGAATTTTATGTTGAAATTTTTAACCGTCTACCATGGCATATTGAAGGGAGTTTAGCACTCCTATAGCCATTTTGTATAAAATGCGGGAAATAAGAGCTCAAAGTTTTTTATTAAACAAACACAATACTTTTAACAAGGAATTATAGAGGGACAAGCTAATTTATACAATCTCCTCTAATCAATTTAATTTTTATTTATTTATTGTATGTCCCGCATAATAAGATAAATTAGTGTTTCCTTATCACTTCCGCTACTTATTTTTGAGGGTCTCGGCGGACAAATATGCTGTTCCAGTAACTATTGGTCGTAATAAGCATATTAAGTTTTTTTAATGGTGCGCCAGTCTGTTATGGCTAGGTTTTGCCTTAGCCAAAAAAGAATCTACAAACTTTGAAAAAAACCTTGAATCAAGTTTGATAAAAGAAAAAAACTTTTAAAAAAAATTAAATTTTTACTACTTGATTACCTACTAGTTAATATATAAATTTAGTTTAGTGTGGTTTTATCATTGTTTCTTATTTATATGTAGTATAAGATGAGTGTAGTTATTTTTTTGCTAAACCACTATCTCGCTCCTTGAAACTACTCTTTGTTAATTAGATTTATATTTTGGCAAATTATTTAATATTGTTTTTACACCGTCATATAAACCTGAAATTTTTTTTTGCCGACTCTTTATTCTTAGTAAGTTTTAGTTATATAGTTCATTGCGAGATACCTACATTTATTAAGAGCAAAAAAATTTTCTTATTTTATAAACTTAATTTTTTTTTACGGCACATTTTTTATTTATAGTTGAATGAGGTAAGACCAAAATTAACAAAAAATATTAACTTAATACTCTTACAAACTTAAAGGCAGCTTTTAAGAGAACTAAAGAAATTTAACTTTATTTTTTAATCTTGAGCAAGTTGTCATGTAATCGATTTCAAAAAAATCTTTTAAAATATTAAAGAGAATAAACATGGAGTAACCGCAAATGCTTTAGTTACAGGGAGAGGGCTCTATCAGGAAGTACGTGCACTATATATCCCGGAGACCGATAAAAGAAATTGTAATTTTCAACGAAGAAAAAAGTGGTCATCAAAGATTACAACCGCAAAACGAGTCTTTTATAATACTATAAAATGTCTTTACGACGTACAACAAAAAAATATGAGAAGGCTCTTCCAAATCGGTATCAATAAGATTAAAAGTATTTAAAATTTTATAATTTCGTCTACAAGTTTAAAGGCAATATGTTAAAATGGGACGGATATGCTGGGGTCAATATTAAAAAACAAAGTTATAACTAATGATTATTTCTGACTAATAAATGCAAATTAATTAGATATATATACGGCCCCTAGCCTGAGTCTATTGGTGGCCATATTCGGACTTTAACGATAATTCATAAAAAAGTCTAAATTTGTTAATATTAACTCGGCAAAATAGTAATGTTTATCTGGTAAATAAATACCTTTTTACAGAAAAAACATTGAAGAATGGTAGGAATTTATAAAATTTGAAAGTGACAATAAATTTGAATTTTCCACGGATAATTGGGTCTACACTTTTAAAGTTAGAGACACTACTCCCGCTTACATGACGCCAGACCTTGTCTCAAACCCCGATTGCGGTGAGGTACAAAGGCATTCTTAAATTAATGACATCTGCAATGCTGTTAGGTGCTAATTAATCAAAGGCTTTTAGGCAGGAACGATGAATTATGCCGTTTAAAAATTTATTAGATAGCTCAGACTTGGGATAATTTTTGGGACACTAAATCTGAATTGACCAAACTAAACATGTTTGGCACACTGATCACTTTTCATGACAGAAAAAAAGGCATATTAATTAACTTAGCAGCTGACTTACGAGATCGTTGTTATGAGCTTTTTTACAACTTTCAGGTAAAGTAATTAAAAGCCGCAAATTTTTGCCATTAGGCGAACATAATGAAGACTCTACTAAGGGAAGTAATCGACATGTGAATGAAGCATTGGTTTTGAAGAAGAAGAGCGATATCAATTGCGGCACTGACATACGCAACAGAGTGAATGGTCGAGGAAAAGACCACCTTCCCCACTTACAGAAAGCTCTTTCATAATTTAACGTGTTCCAGTCAAACTCTTTGAGAATGAAAAGCGAAATTTCTACCGTTATAATAACTGGCATTAAAAAAAAAACCGTTATGCCCTTGAATTTAAAGACGGTGAGTTATTAACTACATTAGGTTGGAGATGAGTTAAGATTTACGCTTACAGAGTGAGCAGCTACCTCTTTAAGTGATCAAGTAAAAAAGTTAGGGATCCTGAAGGGGCCAACCTCAAAAGAAAGGAGCTAAATTACTTAAACTATAATAATACTTGAAATATTTACGACCTAAGTCTTGAAGGAAGAAACATTTATAAAAAATAACCCGCTCATTTCATGTAAAATATGGTGACTGAATGAAATTAAGAATTTGCTTTAAAGGATATTTACAATTACACGAAGTGGGCCACTACGAACGTACGAATCCAAATATATCGCGAAAAGAACTGCAAGATTATTATTGGATTTACTCATCGCCACTGATTAACTCAAGTTTAGTTTGGCTTGCATACATAATGCTAAGAAGGACCCTAAGGTTTTTAGTAAATATACATTAAAAAATACTTAAGTTATAAATGTGATTTGAGGAGTAATGCTTTAGTTAAGCAAGGCATTGTACGGAACTAAGCAAGCAGAGCTTTTATTTTTAATAGAATCCTGCCTAACCCTAACCTAACCCTAACCCTAACCCTAACCGTGGTTTATCAATAACGAAGAGCCTTCTGTGTATAATTGCGTTATATGTAAATTGTTTAAAGTTTAATCACCTTACAGCACAAATCTAAAAATTAAATAATTGGAGGTACTATATACGATCTATCAAGTAGATTATTAATATATTTTTTCATTTCAAGTGTGGTTCGTAGAATTTTTTTCTCCGCTCTTTCTTCCTTTTTTGATTTTTACCGCATTTTTCAAGTTGCAGTGTTACGTTGGCCTAGAGGACCAACGAAATTATAAAGGTAATAGTTTTAGTCTAGAAGGCTAGAACAAAGTTAAAAGTCTAGAGGGCGTTTTAGTCGAAGTTAAATAAATAGCTTAGGGGACTAGAGAACAGTTAACTGGTTTTACTGGATAGTTTAGACAGATTTAGAACTTCATTTAAAATGAGTGAACAAAATTTATTTAGTCGTAGATTATCTGAATATATTAATTAGGAATGCGGATAAAGTACGAACAATGATCGCCTCATAAGGTTTTAGTTAGAAGGAAGTAGTTATCAAGTTAATAGGCATTGAACTATTCAAACAAAAGTTATATAACTTTTTGGTCAAAAGAACTCTTACAGAATTTGCTTTAAGAAAAACAAGTAAGAGCTCCGGAATATCTTATGAGCAAAGATAGTTTGATAAAGACTGAAAATAAAACTTATTAGTGCTTGTTTAACGAAATACTTGAGGCTTTGTAATACTAATCTAATGTTCCACCACATGAAATAATGTAAACAGTCTGTCTTGGCATTTAAATCCTACGGTTTAAAATATAAGACAGCGCTAACAGATACCGAGAAAACTTATAACTTTAAACTGAGAAGCAATCTAACTTAAAAATAGAATTATACAATGACACGGGTTTGTCTCCGAACATGATATTAAAAGCGGGGCCAGCGTTATTACATTAATAAATGACTGTTCCAAATTATAAAAATTAAAGAACTATCCCTCTCCTTGAGAGAAGGCGAATAAATTATATCACGTTAGATAGCTTCAAGCTCTAACGCAAGAACTGGGCTTTTCGCAAAATTGTTTAACTATAAATATTTATAATAAACACGCAATCTATATTGCGTCGGTATGTGCTGTAAGTGTTATATCGATACTTAAAAGATGTTTTAGCTAAAGGGCACATAGTCTAGAATTCGTTGCAGCAACGACATGCTAACTGACTTGTTAACAAAGGTACTTGTGAAGAAAAGTAATTTAAAGACAAACTCCTTGATAACTGTTTTTAAAATTAAAAGGGCCTCCGAGATTTTTAAAGGATGATCCCAGTTCATATTTCTTTGCGCAAATTGCCATATTTAAGTTAGTCACGTTTACTTCTTTTACATGCGCTTTTGTCTCGGTCACGTTTGTGAATCTGTGCTTTACATATGTCTTACTTAGTTATTTTAAAAAGGTTTTAAAGTTTAAAAACTCTGAAGAGCTTCTATAAACTACCTTTAAAAATTGTTTTGTTTAGTTGCAATTTATCTATATTGAAGATCGAGGAATAGGCACAAGCTACCGATGTGTAATCATTACCGGCCGAAAGTAACTCTGCAGATAATTATGTTATGAAAGTTAAGGGCAATATGTTTGCATGTTAGCGGATATAAAGCGTGCGTAGTTTTAATTTTCTTAGTCAGGTAATTAATGTATGGCTCCGAGTATTACACCTAAGTTAGTATTCTAGGTATGGGAGTTCTGAAGAAAATCTTTAAGTACTCTTCTCTTTCTTTTCTTAAATTTGAGCATGATGTTGTCTCTTTAAAAAATATTTTTAATCACTCACCCACTTTCTAACCTATATTCAAAAATTATAAACGGCTTGGAAAATATAACTAAGGAGGTAAAGATTTTGAGCTACTGTATTTGTGTACCTGCCATGCAACGCCAACAAAGTTTGAGCAGAAAGGGAAGGGTGTATCAAATACGAATAAGGAGAGTATAAAGTAACTAAGGAGTGCTGAAGGACCTCGGCAGCGGGTAGTTAAAAAGTCCTACACTGCTTCTCTACGAGACATAAAGTACTTACTGCTAAAAAATAACTATAATTCATATCAAATAAGCGGGAAAAAAATGCACTATTTTGTGTATAAAACTTTTGCGCCATACCCCTCAAAAGCTTTTTAAATGTCTCAAGAAACCGAAACAGTGGACTTTTTTTTTTTATGGTCAAGCGCGAGTTGTGTTTTCCACCAATTTAAATTTAGTTAAGCAAGAAAGTGGCTGAAATAAGGTATTTATCATTAAAAAAATTGGGCAGGCTTAAAAAAAGTAACACAGTTCCTTTAATTCCTAAGTAGGAAAGCGAGCTTACGGGCTTATAATCCTTAGCGTAACAACTTATGCGGAGTTTTTCCTATTTCCATCTCAGTAAGAAGTAATGAAACTAATTAACTCTATAGAATCCACACTTTTTATTAATGCCAAGCTAGTCATTCATAGATTCAATCTAAACTTTTATGGTGGAGGCTTCCGAAGAAGGCAATGGACCACACAGGAAAAATGGACCACACAGGAAAAATAAGAGAAGTTTGTCCTTTTAAGTACATTTCTGTGTTCTAGCCGATAATGAAGGTCTACCTTGCCAGTGCAGGAATATAGCAAAAAAAGTGACTTTTTTAAAGATTGCGAGGAGGACCTCTCTACCTTTAATTATGGGGACTTAAAATCTTTATTTTCAGGTTAAAACGCAATTGTCCTTTGTCAAAGTGTTGTCAAAGAAATTAAAGGAAGCAGTTTATTTCTTGAAAGTGTGCTTCGAAAGTCTCGAGATTCTAGTTCAACAATTTTACTAATTGCTAAAGGCCTGGCCTTCTTGCGCCTTTTACAAATAAGCTCTTCAATGTAAAGTGAATTACTAAGTCAAAATCGCTAAAAGGTTGAAAAGTGGTCCTGCATATAGACTAAAGGATGAAGGTAACTCCCACAAGGAAACGCCCAGCAACCCATTATTATAATCAAAAAAAGTCTTGAAAAATGATTTTAAAATTTGTAATATACCATAACAAGCAATAAAAAAATATGTGCTAACCTATCCAAACCTTAACTTGATAATATTTGAATATTTAGGAAAAAATCGAATTAGACATTCAAAAAGCAAAAGTGTAACAGTCGAAAAGAAGCGTTTCTAAAAATATTTATTTTATTATCCGAAAAAAAAAAATTATTTTTCTTAGTAAAAATTATAGTAGTAACCAACCATTTAAGGCTGAAATGGTGACTCGCTTACAAAAAGGGACTAACAAGAAATTAAAAAAGCATAGGTGCTTATATTAAATACTTTCCAATAGCAGGGGACAAGCTTTTGTAAAAACTTAAACTAACTTCCAATGTAATCTTAGTAAAGCAAATCAAAGTCTTAAAAATCCAATAAGAAGAGGAACGATGACTTGTCAAGCTGTCTATTGCAATTTTGCTAGAGTCCTACTAAAACTTTTAAGATTAATATAACGGTCACCCATATCCACTTACCAACGGACTTTTTTTTGATGAAGTTGATAACCTGGGCTGACCCAACTTCCACACGAACATTGAATGCCTAAAAATTATTTAAACAACATCTTAAAACTAATAGAAAGAAATTACCAGCCATATGAAAGGACCCTAAACGATAGTGGCATTTGGGGCAAAAAAGTTTTCCTGAAATAAGACCTAGCGGAATATGCATCCACTCCATGGGCTTAGTAAAGAAGGAAGTGCAAAACTAATAAAAGAATAACAAAGATGGTCATGCAGTGCTATAAAAAATTAACAAAAGCATTAGAAAGTTCTTGTTATGTGAAAAAATAGTCAAGAGAAGTAAAATATGTAATTAAAACTATACAATAAACAAATAAAAAAAGCTGCGCCTAGTCAGTACCTGATTGTTGGCATGACTATGAAAAACTAAGTCATCCTTATCCCACAAACCTAAACTAAAATTTTGTAGAAAAAGTTAGAATCCCATTACGGTCAAGCAGACTTTAATAGTGTAATACGAGATAAGTAGTACCCACATCTACCACAACTGTACTGATTTTTCAAATTATTTCTTATTAAGGAAGGATACGACTATAAAAAAAGGAAGACGTGAATAACAGCAATGCTCTATAAAAACTTAAAATCACCTCATTAAGATTATTCATAACTAAAATCTTGAAAGCTACCGTTCCATTTCCCACGTGCACGAGCGTAAGTATAACTGGTCAACGCCATTAGGATAAATGAGGTGAAGAACAATTATTTTAACGCAGTCATTTTAATTATTACTTATAGATGGTAATTTATGATGCTCGATAGAATCAAGAAACATCTTATTATAAAGCTCTTGTAGGTATGATGACCTACAAATTAGGTTTAAGCTTGTATTAAAGCAATTTTATTTATATATATTGCCTTCAGCATATGCTATTAATGTAAATAAATTTAAGACGTCTGGCGCGGAAAGAAGCATCTGTTAATGATCGATTAGCGTTCTTTAAGACGTCTGTAGGTAGCGATAGTGTTGCTGTGAGAAACAATAGATGGGGATCAAGCTGAAATTTTTTAAAAGGCACCCAACATGATGCGAAACGAGGACGCTTTTTCCGGAGGAAACCGGCTGTAAAACTAGGCTGCTTAGTTTCAGGCATAGTATGGACTGCGGTTTTAATTTTTAAAGAGCGAATTAGCCACGATTTAAATTAACTTTAGCTATTGTACCTCCCCCGCTCAAGACGCAAACTAGCGATTAGGTAGTTATTTTTACAATAACAGTCATTGCCCACTAAGCTAGAGTTATTGGTTGGTGTTACTTAAAACATTCAATTTTTAGTCTGAAAAAGTTAAACAGATTTATATATTCAAATTTTATATTTGGCCGTCACTCCTTAAACGAAGCATCTTTACTATTCGAATGTAACAACATTTAGTTAGTAGTAGTATCTTGACTTAACGCTTCATAATAGATGTTACCGAAAATTATTTGCTAGTTTTACGAAAAATTAATTTAAAACATGAAAGATTAAAGTGAGAGGACAGCGAAGTATAAAACTTGAGCATTAAAATTAATAGTTTTATTTTTATATAAACTATCTTTAATAGTGACTTTACTCGAATCCTTTGTACTTGCGTGCGTTAACGTGAGCATCTGTGGTAAAACAAAAGATAGTCAGAAGACAACAAGTTATTTTTCAGATTTCTGTGAAAAAGCACAAAAAAACTTAAGTAAAACTACTTGTGCCACCCATATTTTAAACGCACTTAACTTACTAATGGCGCCCCCTAAAAGAAGTTGTGGCCTATACACAATTTGACAAAATTCATAATACACCACCAGCTTACAGTTAATCTTTAGCTCAAATATCTGACTTTAATACGCTTTTTATGTGTTTTCATTGTAATGCTTACAAAGCCAACGCAAACTCGGGAGGGAAGGATGCCGTTTTTACAAAGCACATATACGCTGCACGTTAAAAGGGTGGTCTGCGGGATTTGTGTCTACTGTACTTAGCTTAGTCCAACTTCAGCCCTTCTTCCCGGCTGTTTATATCATAAGACTGTTCCGCCTTACTTAAAGTGAAATCTAAGTAAAAATCTTGCCTAGGGCTGTCGAATGCGGTGTTTAACGGGCACTGCTAAGACAATGCTGTGCTAACTCGCTGCTCCCAAGAATATTTACTTTCTATGGGAATTGAGGCGCTCTATACACTGTTAATAATGCTCAAACTAGGCGACCGAAAGGAAGGCATCGAGGACTTTACACGATTTTTTAAAAATTATTAAACTTAACCAGATTTTTCAAGGTGACACATCTCAAATAAAGAGGCAGTAATAACGCTTGCAATCCGAAGCATCGGCTCTAGGTGAAGTTATGTAACGCCCCACCTCCCTTTCTAAAGTTAAAAAAGGAAATACCCAACGCTTCAACCGGAAGGCTTAGGAGTCGCAGCAAAAATACTGGCCCTAAATCTAACTACCCTAGATATGAGGAAGAAGTTTTGAATATCACCACCGAACGCGCTCAAGCCTACCATCATATATGAGACGTAGACAATCGTCAAAGCTTTGTTAAGCGAGAAGTTTTTAGTTATTGTAGCATTTCAATGAGATTTCTGAAGCAACGACTGTCAATTACAATATTACCCTGCCTCCTTTTAATATGAAGAACCGGATCTCGACCAACTTCTTGGTCAAACCTTTACCGGTCCATAAGTTTTAAGTCAATGATTGGCAAGTTAGCCGGAACTACCACTAAAGTAATAAATTCTAACAAAAAAAATTCAGGCGATCTGACAGCTTTATCCGACCAAAAAGGCAAGCCTTCTTTGGTACGGATAGTTTCTTCCAGGTGTGATTAGCCGCCCTCACGTGGACTTCACGATGTACTTAGGGCTTACCTAAATACCTGTATTTTTAGCGAGCGTGAAATCTCGCAGGTAGCCTCAAAAAACACTGACAGCCCCTAGAAACCTCACTTTTTGACAATACTATTCCAGCACATAGGCAACGACTTTGTCTTCTAGCCTATCTTGTTACACGACGTCGCAATTGTGCGTTGTGCTTTTGATGCGAAAAATAACATCACCAAAAAAAAACCCACTTTATTTTATTAGCATTTGATTTTACTACGGGAATCATTAAACCTCAACTGTCATTTTATTTAAACGAAATATTATGTAAGACATAGAAAATAAAAGTGTACGTTCAGCTTATCACGACAAGAAAGGCCTGTCGCTTGGTGGGCTGCGGCACCGGCCATAATCTCCATACTTCGAAGTTCTGGGCGGTCTGGTGAAGAACCGAGGTTTGTGAGTCTTGCGAGATGCTTCTAAAGGTCTGTAGGCCAAGAGTGCTCAATTACGGATTGCCATGTCGCACAGAACCGCTACTTGGGTTAACGATTATAAAAAATATAAAAAAATAGAGGAGCGTAATAAAAAAAAACACTTAAAATATTTATTCTTAGTGTTAACACTAGCAAGCAAGTTCCTAATAAAAATACAATTAAATATTTTTTAACATTAAGGCCCAATATAAATACCTTTTTATGTGTGCGCTATAAGTATCGACCTAGATAGTTAAAAGAGAAAGAGTAAAGATTGTCTGCGTCCTCCCATGCGACACGTTCTCGCTATACAATACCCCTTAGCAACCGACGGTAGTTACAATAAAACATTTGCATTTACTCAGCTCGAGGCTTTCAATAAAAACAGTAGTTTGATTAAGTATTTCTCCTTATGGCTCATAATTACCGCTGCTTCTTTGACATGGGGTACTTGTAATATTAATATAACTGCTTAGTAAGTTTCTTTATGTTAAATATTATATAGGATCGATGGGAAGCCTGGTATACATAACTTTTTTGTTTCCCAAATAAAAATTATGACCTTTAAAAAATTTTTTAAAAAGTTGGAAGGATTATTATGGAATTATTCTCACAGGTTGTTCCTAAGACAGCCGAAAACTTCCGTTGCTTGTGCACCGGTTTGTCTGCTGTTAGTTTTTGTTGTTATAAGAAATTCTTTTATCTTATTTTGTTTATTTTTAGGCGAAAAAGATGGCCGTCTTAGCTATAAAGGCGTGAAAATTCATAGAATTATAAAAAATTTTATGTTACAAGGTTTTAATCTTATTAAGCCGCTTGGTTTCTATAGACAACTATTATTTTACTTAAGGTGGTGATATTCTGAGTGGAAACGGGACTGGGCCTTCCATGTCTATTTTCGGCGGTGCATTTGATGGTTGAACTTTTTATTGTTACTTCCTGCGTTACAAAAATTGTTATTATCATTATTATTACAGTTTTTTTTCTTTTTTTGGTTTGTCACGTTTTTTTAAAAACATGTATTATAAGAAAATACTTGTCAATCCCCTTACAGATGAAAATTTTTTACTTAAACACGACGAGCCCTTTTTACTTTCCATGGCAAATAGAGGCCCAAATACCAACGGAAGCCAATTTTTTATAACTACTCAGCCTGCTAATCATCTTAATGGGTAAGCAAGAAGATCTTTTCTCCGTGGTTTTTTAAATAAAATATTTTTAAGAAAACACGTGGTTTTTGGTAAAGTAATTCGGGGGCAGGATGTAGTGAAACTTATTGAAGATGTCGACACCGATTCTACTGATGCACCCTTTTCAAGGATTACTATTATGAAATGCGGTACTTTTTTAATTAATTCTAGCTTAGAATGATAATTTTATCTTTAAATTTTATTTTTTGTTAGGCGAACTTGTAAAAAAATTACCATCCAAAGAAAATTTAAAGCAATCTTCAAAATCTAAGATAAAGTCCGCTTCTGAAAGTAAATTTAATTCCTTTCTTTTTTTTTTTATTAATAACACTACTTTTTCGTTAGGCTCCTCTGAAGATGAAAAGGTTGTAAAACGAAATTTAAAGAAAAAAAAAAAGGCAGTCGATCACAAGAAAGATGATAATAAAAATGAAAAGTTGCAAAATATTAACTTAGAGGAAGTTAAAGAAAATGAAGATCCAAGCACTGCTAGAAAAGGTTGCTGGAATCTTTTTTTTTATAATTTTTATTGTGATTTTGTATATATTTTTTAATTAATTTATAGTTTAATACATAATATTATAAATCTTCATACAAGGAAAGTTTTACTCATTTTTATTCTTACGTTGTTTCTTAAATTATTGCAAATTTTTTTCAAGGTAGTTTTTTTAATAGCAAAAATTTTTGATAATTTTATTTATAATAAGTTCAATTATAAATTTTGCTTTTTCTTAAGTAGCTTTGTTTTACTTTAGATAAGAAGAAAAATAATTATGAGAGTTGTCGTATTTCAAAATCTGGACGGCTCATACGCGGGCGTGGGTATATGCAGTATCGCACGCCGTCCCCTCCCGAAGATGGTGCTCTTTTTTTTTAAGTCCACTTGTTAACAATTTAATATTTATAATTTATTTTATTACATAAATTATTTCATTCTCCTTTTTTTCCTATTGCCAATAACTTTTCCTATAAGGCCTGTACAGCCGAAGACATCGAAGCAGATCTTATTCGAAAAGAAGACCCAGTCTGCGGCAAAGATCACGATCGAGATCTTCACGTAGAAGCAAGTAAGAATTTTTTGCTATTTTTGAAATTTTTTTTAACTACGATCCAAAGTTATAAAAAAATACACGAGGCTCGGTCTCGGTCTCCTCGAAATCAAAGTTTAGCCACCGTTTCTGCTTTGGGCGATTCTAGGTTGACTAACTTTTTTATTGGATCATCATTATTAATTTTTTACATAAATTTTTACAGTTTAAGGAAAAAAAGGAGCCGCAGTCGGAGTTCTACTAATAGGCGGCGCTTAGTTACCCGCTCATCAAAATGGGACCAATGATTTGGAAAATAACTTTTCTTTGGTTTAATTTATATACGCGGTTGAAGATTTAATTTTTTATTAATCATACCAGTTTTAAATAAAATTACAAATTCTTATTATTTTCATGGTAAACTTAATTGAAAAGGAGTTTTACTTTTTCTTGTCTTCTTGAGTAAAATTTTTTAGTCGTTAACTTTTTTAAGATTTACAGCGGCTAAAACTATTTATTTTTATTAATAGTTACACCCATCGTCGATAATTCTTTTTTATATTCTATAAATTCTCAGTTAAAAAGGATTTTTTTAATCTTAAACTTTGTTTATTCTGCATTTACTTTTAATACCATTAATTTAGCTGTTAATCTATCTTATGTGTAGTTGGTAGTATAAAGGTATTCTTTTATTAAAAAATTTACTGAGTTAAGATTTTACTTAGAAGGCTTTTTTTTAACACAATATTGACCTTTTTACGAGAGGAAATTTACGAGTTTATAATCTGCCTTATCAGAATATCTTTTTTGTGTGTTTGTAGAAAAAAAAGTAAACTTTATTAAAAATAGTTTATAACATTCTTCTATATATTCGGGTTATTAATTCGAAGGCCCTCCTTTACAACATAGTTTGTTCACCTTTGCTCGTTCATGAGGGGAAGGTTTCTCCTAGATTAAGTAGAATACTTTTGAGAAAAGTCTTATAAAATTATAGTTTTTAGAGTTTCTTTATTATCAAATTTAGAGAGTCATATTTATTTACTAGAAAAAAATAATTAGATAACAACAAAATTAATTTTGTTCGGTTACTATACCCCTCTAGTACCATCTTATATAGAAAACGTTTTAACGGAGCCCCATGTACTCTATATTGGTTCTTTGTAAAGATACACTCCGATACTTAAAAAACTATAACAAGGAGAAACAGGAATACAGCGATGCACATGAGTAGAATAGGAATATACTATAAATCTTGCTTGTAATTTCTTTGCTTTCACAACGCTTATTTTTTACATAAAATCTCTAATTCTTATTTTTTTTCAAGCTGCTTAAAAGCTTTCCGAATCAAAATTCTATGTAATATACATACCCTAATAGTTTAAAATTAAAATAAGGCTGCCTAATTCCATTTCACTTCCAATTCACCTTCAAGGGAATTTCGTATTTTTCATAGCTTGCATGTTTTACTTATATTCGCGCATTAGCCGCTTCACAAAAGCCTTTGCGAACTATAACTGATTAAATATTATTTCATCTATACACTTTTGAATCTAAGAGCTAAAGTACACCGAAAGTTTCGCAGACTTTTAAAACAGTGTAAGCAAATTTCCATTCTTGCCGGAATGGTACAACCTTCATATTACACAATTGTTTTATATAACTTTAAGCTTATTACCGTTAGTATTTTCTTAACAAAATGGTCTAATGGTTGGTAACTTATTTTCGCATCCATATTTGCTAACTTTCTGGCACAACCCACTTTTTGTTCAAGTTTTTTAATATCGCACATCCCTATGATATGGGAAATACTATGTAACTCGTTTTTTCTAATTCTAAATTTAAACCAGTCCGTCAATTATGTAATTCGTGTCGTAAAACATTGATTCAGACCTTAGCTAACGCCATTAAATAAAAATAAAGGCTTATAACACTTCAGTTACGCCGTCCTTTCGATAAAATTTTTAAAAAATCTTTAATAGCTCTAAATAGGCTGAATACAAACCATTTTTCTAACTGGAATAGTAGTAACTACTAAGATTTTGATTGTATTACAACCCAAAATGACAAGAGTGATACTAAACAAGAAATATTTTTCTGTTGTAAGTAAATTTACATAATAAAAAAAAAAACTTTTACCTAAACTCATATTCCATAATTACTTACAGTTAAACAAGCAAACTATGTAGTCACACCCTATTCTAAATATTACTAAACTAAAGTAACTGGATTTCCATTGTTAAACTGGTGAGCTTAACGTTTATAGCAAGCACGTGGTAACTTTATAAAATTGTAGTAGTGCCCTCAGAGTTGGCCCTCCAATAAATTTCTGTTTGCACTGTGTTTGTTGATATAATCTTATTAAAGGCGTTAGAAGGTACTTAAAAGTTTTAACTGCAAACACTACTATACACTTTTAAAAATTATTATATAGGGTCCAACTTTTACTAAAAGAAATAAAAAGTTGCTTTAAGAAATTGGTAAATAAATAGATATTTTTTATATTGCTTTCTGGGCGAAACACTCGAAATACTCATTTTAAGGCGAATGAGAAGCTACTTTTTGGAATATAAATATAAAAATGAAAAGGTTTTTTTTTTTTTAATTTTTTACCTATATATTTTGATTTTTTAGTACTCAATATTTAAAGTACTAAATTACAGCGTCTTTTTTTTAGTTTAGAGGACCTACCAAAGAATAAAATTTTTTCTCTTTTAAGTGACTTGGAAAAATGTAAAAGAATATTTTTAATAATTCAGGAGCAGGTCTTGGATTGATTTGATAAAGAGTTATTATTTACTAAGCTTAAAATTAAAAAAAATTTCAAAAAAGTACGGGTTTCTTATATTTTTTAAATAAGATTGACTATAAAGAAGGAAAAATTTTACACTTAGAACAACTTATTAAAGAAAAAAACGTTGAAGCAAAAGAAGTTAAGTATAAAGGTGAAATTTATGTTTTTTTGTATAAAACTTTTTTAACTAATTTGTTAACATTTTTAAAAATCTTATTTCTTTAAAATTATTGTTTATTAACGATTTATCAGTTTTTAATTAGTATATATATTTTATTAAGTAGCTTTATTTTATATTTACAAAAAAACAATAGTTTGATATGAAGATTTAATTTAATATTATTATAGTTAAATTTACATTTACATTTGAATTGTACAAAATAATTCTATTTGCTAAAATATATTAGTTAATAATTTTTCAATTTTATAGCAATTTTTTTTAAATTCATTAACAAAATTTCCAATAGTTATTATATTATAATAACATAATTATGACATGTATTCTGATTTTACTTTAATTACTTCAGATATCTTTTTATAATTTTTATTTTTTTCGATGTATTTTATAATTTTATTTTCCTTTTTTATTTTTGAGCTTCCGTTGAGTTGGCTAATGCTCTTAATACGCTAAAAAGTTTTGGAGAGGAGCATGAAATACTTTTAAAACAAAAAGAAAGTTTGGAATTTAAAGTTTGTGGTAAGAAATTTTTTTTTATAAAAAATACTTAATCAAATTATTATAAATTTATACAAATCAATTTATTTTTTATATAATATTACTTTAATAATATATTGCCTTATCAATTTTATAATTGCTTATAATTTTTCCATTTTTTTAAATTACTTATAATTTTTTATTAAAACAAATTTCACTTTTATTAAAATTTATTTTTGTTTAATATATTATGATCTACTTAACTAATATTATAAACTTACTAGCTTTCTATACTAACCTTTTAATTTGTAATTTTAGAATTTAAATATTGTTTTAAAATATTCTCATAGTTATATTGTTTTTTATAGTAATTTTAATGGTACTTGTGCTTAAACTTAAAAATTATTAGTTATAATTTATTATATATCTGTGTTTTGATATTATTATAAAATACATTTTTTACTTTTTTTAATAATTTTTATTATTTTTATTGTTATTAATGTTGAAGGCTTTTATATGATAATATTTATCAGAATTGGAATTTGCGCAAACTTTAGAAGCTGATCTAATTAAGCTACGCGAGGCGAAAGAGAATTTAATAAATAATCAAACGTTACTGGAAAATAAAATAAGCATTTTAGTAATAATATTATTTATTTATTTATTACTTCGTTGTTTAAAATAAACGAATAATAAAACATGCTTGCGTAAACTAGCTAGTGGAAGCATTTTTTTTATAGCGGACAGGAATAATATTATTAATCTATAAGTTTATTAGTAACTAGTAAAAAAGTTATTCATTATAATAATATAAATATAAGTGCACACTAATATTTATTATTATTTATTATATATTATAAGTAATAGAAAATAAATTGAAGGAAATAAATAAATTTTTAATAATTTTATTATACCTTCAAGTATTTAAAAGTTATTAATAATGCTTTGAAATTTTTATAAAGACGGAAGATCTCGCGAGAAAAACTTCGGAATTTGAGACTATTCAGGGAGAAGTAGTTTCATACTTTTTTTTTAAAAATATATATTTAATACATATATATACTAAAAGGAAAATAAGTAGATTATATAAAAATTTAATAGTAAATATAAGAATTAATTTGCATTAGTTTGAGTCTCTTAAAAATGAGAAGTTATCGTTGTTAAAATCGTTTGAAGATAATGAAAAACATGCGGCGGACTTAAAAATTCTAATGGAAGAGAAGTATTGTTATTAAGATATTATTATCATTATCATCAACATCATTATTACAGGGAAATGATTATTTGCGCTCTTAAAGAGAAAATTCAATTATCTGAAATTGATAAAAGTAGTTTTTCTATATAAAATAAGAATACCATATTTATTTAGTTTTATGGTTTTTTCTTTAAAATTGTTAATACGCCTTTTTTATGATATGATTTTTATTACATCTTTTGTGAAACACTGTTGTTGGCTTCATAAACTTTTGTTTACATTTTTACAAATATATAATAAAAAATACTTCAAAGTTATTGAATCATTAAATTTTTTTTTCATATATTTTAAAGTTGAAGCTTGTTATTGGCTAACAATATTCAGTAATTTTTATATAATTACTTTTAAAGTTCGATTATAATATAACGAATATATAATTGTTCCAATATAAACATTTTATATAAAATGGATACTAAATCATAATTATAGTTCAACATTTTTATTTTTTATAAATTTATTATTACAATATAAAATTTACATGGAATTTTTTTTAAAATGTTAAATACTTTTAAGCGGGACTACTTTTATATAAATTTCCGTGGATATACTTATAAAGATATTTAACGAACGTGGCACTTTATTCCATATATCTTTTGTTGTTTACTTTTTTACTGAAAGTGTTTGTATATTTGTACCAGTTTTGAAAATAAAATTTTTATAAAAAATTTATCAATTTTTTTTACCTCAAAGCAGTTGTATATAACTTATTTTATTATAAAATATTACCTAGTTATTTATAAATTTAATTCTTTATTTATTATATTAATGAATTTTATTATCAAATATACTAAGAATTATTTTTTAAATATGCAACAATTTTTTAGTCATTTATTTCAATAGAATTTAACCTATAAAATAAGTGATCTCTTTACTATCTAAACACTTTAGTAAATTTTATTATTTATTATATTAAGAATATATTATGTTTAACTTTTATATACTTTATAGTAATGCTTTAGTTTACTTTTTTTAAAACAAGCAAGAAAAGGGGCTTTAGAAACTAAACAGACAGAACTACTAAAGGATGAAACTATTTTTAACTCTGCAGTTATTTTTTCACAACTACAAGCGGCGGTTACTAAATATATTTTTATATAATATATTATTATTTTTGTAGTATATTTATAATTTACTTTTACATTGTTTTATTTTGATATTTTTTAATTCATTTATATAACTATTATTTAGTAAAGCTATTATTATTATTTAAGATTGTTGAACTTAAAACAAGTTTTTCTCAAAACGGCATCTGTGATTCGGTAAGGCTTCTGTAATTATGATTGCACAAAGTTATAAGTTTTCTCTGTTTACTGTTTTAATGTTTTTAATATAAAATTGTGATAATAAACTTTTTTTCTCCTACTCCTTGTATATACATGCAACCATTAAAAAGTAATGGGTGTTGTGTTTTTTTTAGATTTAATAAGATGTATTAATTGTTAAATAATTATTTAGCTTTTTAGATATACTACTAATTGTATATGTTGCAGAGTATTAAACTTTTCATGTTGGTAAATATTTACAAAATTTGAAGACCTATCATATTTTTGGTCGATTTTAGGATTTATTTGGGCTTATTAACAAAATGGATTGTTAATATGCCTTAAAATTTATACAATACTTGGCTCGAGCACATGCAAAAAGAGTTTTTTAGTAGTTATCAGGGTTACTTTTACTAAAAAACAGTTCATAGTAGCATTACTAATGGGCACAGTAATGTAAAACTGACCAATTAAGCACTAAATATAAATTTATTATGATGAAAATATTATGAACGCTAATTTTAAGTAATATATATATATATATTAGTAGTAAAAACAATAATTAAATTTATTTTCATAAACCATTTTTTTTCAACAAAGATATATTATAATGTTATTCACATTTTTTAACTAATTATCATATAGTTTGCCGTTACATTGTTATCATTAAGATTTTTTCTCTTTATTTTTCGGGGTAATTTATTAAATCATAGGCTGTTTATACGGTAAAAAAAAGGAACTTATTTATTTTGTGAGTAAATTTGAACGTTACACATTAATGATATAACTTTCATACGTACATTAACAGAAATTAGAGATTTATATAAAAGTTTTATATTCGGGTTTTTGTACAGATAAATAAATTAAATTTTTAATTTTTTCTATATAATATTTTGTTCTGTTATTACTTTTTGTTATCATTAACTGATAGTTGGAGATATTCAGTTTTCATTACTACACGTTAAGTTATTTTTAACAAATTATTTTACAGACTATATTTACTAATTCTAATGTATTCATTTATTTATTAATAATAAATACTTGTCTTTCCTTGACATAAAAATTAATAAAAAATACTTTATTTTATTTTAAAAATTATAAAATATCACAATTTTTTTTATACCGCACTAATATTTTATAAATTTACAGTTTCTATTTATTTTTGTGTCAATTACCTATATGTATGCAAATGTATTATTTATATTTTATTTATTTACTATATTTTTTTGAACTTTATTATATCATTTAGATGTTTGTTTCTTCGTATATTGTTTATATTATTGTTTAACATAAAATTTTTGATATCTTTATGTATAATATAATTGTAGACATTATTCTTGTCAATGGATAACTATTGCTCAGTTTTAAAAGAGCATTTATTAAAGTTGCAGGGGAAGTGTACTTATTTAGAAGATTTGCTTTCTCAGGGAAATGACGGTTGACAACTGATTATGGATTTTTATTTTGTTATACTTTTACTATTGACCATTACTATTATAAAAACTAATTGTAATAATTTTTAGATAAATGAAACATCTTCAATGATACGATTACTATAATTATAAAATATTAAAGTTGTATATTTTTTGGGCCGTTATTTAATCCGTTTATAATATCATTAGAGCGGGAAGCTCTTGAAATTTCTCTTGCGACTCTACAAAGCCAGTATGATGTCCGGGCTTGGACTTCTCTTGAAATGGTTTTAATATAATCTTTTCTTATTATTCTTCATAATATTCTCTTTTATAAAAGGAGAAGAAGTTCCTTGAGTTTCAAAGGTCTTATGAGTTAACAACTGGTATTAATAGTATATATGTATATATTTTCAATAAAACACTATTTTGCTAACATTTATAATTACAATAATACTAATATAAAAAAATAATTTATAGAAAAACTAAATGAAGAACTTACAGTAGCAGAAACAATTATTAAAGAAAAAAATCTGGAAGTGAGAAAACTTCAGGAGCAGGCAACAAGCTCCTTTATGGAATAATAATGATATTGACTATTTCTTTTCAGCGGGAAAATATAGAAGATTTTTTTAAAATAGTGAATGAAAAAAATAGTAATAATGAAGAACGACTGCGCGAAGCAGAGGCAACACTAGAAAGGTGCTCGTCTTTACAGGAAGAAAAAAATGAGATAAAATTTTTACTTGAAAAAATAAACGAGCAAGAAACTTTGCTGGGTGCAGTTGAGAGTCTCAGCGAGCAGCTTGAAAAGCTAAAAGAGGTGACATCGCTTTTATTCCTATTTAGTTATAGCGGAACTTTTTGTTTTTGTTGGCTATTTTATGAATATTTTTTTCTTTTTTTTTTTTTACTTGTCGCGGGGTGATAAAAAGATGCTCGAAACGAAAGACCGCGAATGTGGAGCACTTAACCATCAGCTCCTCGAAGCTGAATTTCGTATTAGTTCGTTAGATTCTCTCTTGGAGACTAAATCTAATGAATTTATACGGCTACAAACTGAAGTGGAAGGTTTTTATAATATTAATAATTATACGTAATAATAATAACATATAATATACAGGAAAAAACGCTTTAAAGCACGAAAATAAAAATCTCCACGAGCAGTTAGCAGGTGCTCTTGCACGCGAAGACGAAAGTAATAAAAAATTGGATCAGTTAAAATTCGAAGTTTGTAGTAAGCAAAGCGCCTTTGAAGCGGCTGAGAAGGATTTGTGTATCTTTTTTTCTTTTATTTATTGATTAAAAAAGAGTATTTTCTCAAACTTTTAGATGATCTGAATTTAAAATTAAGTTTAGCAAATCAATTGGCTGATAAGAAAACTGAAGAAGCCAATAAACTTTTAGAAACTATAAATATATATAAAAAACTTGATGAAGAACTTATTAAAAAAAATGAAGTTAACTTAACTTTATTTATTTATTATTTTATTTAATTTTTTGGAAGATTATTTGTAATTTAGAGCAACGTTGCTCTGATTCCAAAGTTGAGTACGATCACCTCAAGTCTCTTCTCAGTGACACGTTGCAAGAACTTGAAAAATATCATGCTGGTACTCATTTTTAAGTGAAATCTATATTCGATTGTATTATGCTGATATCTTTTTAATGACATTTATATTTTTTTATGCATATTTTTAGCTTAAATATTATAAATACATCCATTTATATAAATTTAATTTTAATAAAGTCGTATATAAAATTTTTTTGTTCAAATTAAAGTAGAATTAAAACAGAAATGGCAATAGATAACAGAAAAATTTAAAAAATTTCAAGTTTCATAATAAATTTTTTTTGGGTGCCAGTGATTTTTTTGTGTTTCACTAAATTATTTTGTTATTATTTTTCTTTAACATTTCAATATTTATGCATTAACTAATAGCCAACGAGAGCATTTCCATAAAGCACGAAAATCTTCAACAGGAGTATACTATACTACAAGAAACGGTTGACGAAAATGCCCAACAACTTTTGCTTGCAGAGGAAAAACTTAAAGAACTTCAGAGCCAATACGACACTGCTAAGGCGGAGCGCTTTTCCTTGTATTCGGTGCGTTCCTCGATTTGCTGCTTGTTGTATTATTGCTTCCTGGTTGGTGCATAAATTTTGTGCTCCTAATTTATAATTTTTTTTTTAGGAACTAGAAAGACTAAAAGAAGTTGAAGCCCTCTGCAATGCCTCCAGTAAATTTCTATTTAATAAATCTTTTTTATAAATTTGTTTTTTTTTAATTTATTTGTTATAAGAATGCGCGACCTTTTGTAAAAGATTGAATGATCTGCAAACAGCCGAAAATGCGCTTAAAGAGAGCCTCTCTGCGAAAGAGGCCGAAGTTATTGGATATTCTACGGAAGTAATGGAGATGAAGAAAGAATTAAAGCAAAGTTATGAAAAGCTTGAGACTTTAAAGGAATGAAATTTTATATAAAGAAATTATTAAACCTTCGTTAGTTTCTTAATTTAATAGGCGGAAATGGAGAAAGTTGTTAACCAAAGAGATTCTTTTTTTATAGAGATAACTGAATCTACTAGTAGACTCTCTCAAGCTAAAATTCTTAGAGATAATCTTGAATTGCAGAAAGACGAACTGCAAAAACTGACACAAAGGAAAGTTTAAAAATTAATTAAATTAATAACGAATTGAGATTAGTTATGTGCTAAAATCATAATATATATAACACATATCAACAGGCTTAAAGAAGAACTTCTGCAAGAGCAAGAAAAGTACAGCGAAAGCATAAAAGTGAACAGAAAACTTGAATCAGCGATTACTGATTTGAATTGCGCCAATAAGGAAAGCGAAACTTTTATAGAGAATTTAAAAGAACGATTTGAAGATCTGAAGAGCAAAGAAGAGAGACTGGCGAGAAAAGTTGAAGGTTTGCGTTGAGCTTTATGAAAATTTACTAAATTTATTAACAGTTTACAAAAGAACTTGAAAATAATAGTGCAAAAGCAAAGGATGCCGCGCTAATAAAAGAAGAAGAATATGAAGAAAAGTGTTTATTTTTTCAAAAATATAAAATTTATAATTAAATATTTTTTAGATATATGGAACTTATCGGAAAAGTGAAAAGGCTTGAGAAACTTAATATTACTATGAAAGCAAAATTAAGAAGAGAGACGGGAGTTAATAGGCAAATTAATAAAGTTTCGTTAGGCAGAAGTGAATTTAATTCTACGACAGCGGAAGAGAAATTCGAATTTTATAATAATAAGAGATTCTACAGAGAAGCAAATAAAGAAAATTTATCTAAAAAAATTGAGAATGCGCCTGTACAATTAAAATCAAATTCATCTTTATTTTCGAGCGGGAGCACAAGGCGAGCGTTTAGAATTTTATTAATGTTTTAAATATTAACTTTGAATAATGCAGGCCAAATAAAAGTGAAAATTCTCTTAAAAAGTAATATTTGAATTATTACTTGAAAAAAAAAGAACAGTTTATATAATAAGGTTTCTCTTTTTTTTTTTAATAAAAATTTATGAGCGGTTTTGAAATTTTTCTTTAAATAATTGCAGAATTTAGCCCAAGTAGATACACATTTACTCTATTAATTCATATTTAAAAATTTAAAGAAAATTGATGCCCTACGAATTCACATCACTATAAAAGTTTTGCTAAAGTTTTTTTTGTAGAGAATGTTTATAAAAATGAGATTTTTGCAAGGAGTTTTTAATGGAACGAGATTACATTTAAATCTACGGTCGAAACTGTTTATAATTTTCTGGGATTTAACAAAAACAGAAGAGTAGTTAGCTATAGCAATAAGTATAATATAGTTGACGGTTTATACTTTGGATAACTTAGACAATTTATTTACTGCCCATGGGAGTTAATAATTTAATATTTGGCTGGAAGTATTACTTGAGGCCCATCTTTATTATGGTTTTCGATCAAAACACGGCTTTTCCTGAGTTAAACGGAACAGGCGGATATACGACTTTTAGTAATAAAATTCCGTTGTCTGTTTATTGCCTTAAAAAAGTTGGACTTAATATTTTTTTAATATAGTGCGAAATGAGCAATTTCCTGTTACCACTTATCGGTTTTGCTTACGAGTTTAGACTTTACGTATTAACCAACAATCATATTTTTAATTCTGAAGGGATGTTTATGCAGTAAAAACTGATTTAACTTTGTCCTAAGCAGGAACAATATTTATAACTCTAACTGAATCACCCGATAATCAAAAAAAGTTATTCTGCTTACTTGAAACAGTTATGCAGCAAAACCGTAGTTTTTATATATTAAGTAGAACTGCTCACAATGAAAAGTGCTGAAATAACTCCCTAACAATTATAATAAACGACTGAAATTCTATAAATTTTAAGTACAATTGGCCAGTGATGATAACAAATTTTTCAATATGCCTGCAATTTAGCAGAAAGTTTTAAGCTCTCAGTTACAGCTCGGTTTTCTCGTAGACAAAAAGAAATTCTTACAAACTTTTCGTTACGCTACACCAACCAAATTAGTGTTAATGGTGACAACTTTTAATATAATAACAATTTAACTTTTGAACCTACCCAAAAAATTAAAAAATCTCTAAAAAATAGTTTATTAATTTTTGACTAACAAAACAGCACAACGTTATTATCTAAAACTTAATTAACTTCTAAATAATTTTTTCATCATTTTGTGTTTGCCTGCGTTCTTCGACTTCACTGCAATCGCCTTCTAACGAAGCTTTCTATTAAATATTAAAATAACATCGCATGCAAGAAAAAAGGCTAAACAATTTAAAGTAAACTAAAAATGTAATACATAGCCAGAAAAATTATAATTAATATTCAAAGCTTTCAGTTTTTTGCGGAGTTTAACTTGTTTATTAATTAATTTCGCTTTTCTTCCCGCGATCTGTTCAGCCGTGCGTTTCTGCAAAAAAAAAAACTTAGGATTTAAAACAGTAAGATCTAAAAACAAAACAACTTTTTATGAAATTGTAATAATTTATTTATTGTTACATTTTATTTTTCAATACAAAATTAATATATTTAAATTTAAATATTTTATTTCAAATAAAAAAATAAAATTAATTTACTTAAAGATAACTAATACTTATTAGATTATAAATTTCTAAAAAACTAAAAGTTTATAAATAAAAAACTGAAATAAATTAAAATTAAGTTCAATTTAATTAAAACCGTTAATTTTTAAATTACGTGAGAAATAATTAAATTCTTAATAAGTGTTAAAACTCATATGATAACTGTAGTGAATCTATTGTTTTTTAAATATAATAAAATTATAAAAAATTTAATGAAAATATTATAAATTTTGTCTATAAAAAAATTGTTATAAGCAGTTTAAACTTCATGTTCAAATTACATTTAAAGAAAAAGTTTTAAGGATTTAAAAATTCAAAACGGAATATTTAAAGTGTAAACAAAATTGCAAGTAAAAAAATAAACCAAAAAGAAAAAACTTCATAACAAAAAATGTTTGAATTTTACGAAATGTACGTTTAAACTTTTCTCTTTTCAAATCCAAATAGTCAACGATTAAAAAATGAAATAGTAAATTTTTTTTGTGTGGCGATAAATTAAAATCTTATAATAAAATTCAATCAAAAAAAAGGAAAAATTTTAACTTAACAAAAAAAGCAACTAAAAATAATTTAACAAGAAAAAAAATTTATAAAAAAATTTTTAATTTTTTTTAACATCCGAAAAGTTAATATTATTAAAGGTTGACATAAAGATAAAATTTATGTTGTAGTAAATTATGCCCTTAAAATAAAAGCAGATTGTAATAGTAAAGCGAAAAACATTATAACGAGACAAAATGTTTAAGTAAAAAATAAACAAAAAACTAATAATAAACAAAATTAATATTTAAAATTTTATTAAAATTAAATTTTATGTAATACTCGAAATCCACAATGTCAAAATATACGAAAGGAAATAAAGATCAACTTTGTTACAGTAAATTATAAATGTTTATAATAGAAATAAAAATAAATAAAGGAAAATTGTGTAGCAATTTTAAATTTAGGCAAAGAAATCAAGTAACAAAAAAAGCAAGTAAAAATTAAAAAAAAATTAATATGAAAAAAAGTAAACTTTTAATCTTTTTTTCTTTTCTAAACCCAAAAAGTTAGTTTTTTTAAAAGGATGGGAAATTCCTTTAAAAGTCTTTGGATGAATTTCTTCAACTGGTATACATTTCGCTATAGTAAAATTAAAATTTAATTATTAAAATACTATATAAAATAATAAAAATACTATAATTTTTTAATAAAATTACATTTAATTCAAATTATAAAAAAAATTAAGTACTTGACGTATAAACGCACGGATCTCTTATATCAGTAAATGCTTTTATAAGTAATAAATAAAAGCAATTCAATAAAACAAAATCAAAAAATGTAAAAAGCTATAGAGGATGACGAGCTTCTAAGTAAAAAAAAATAACTTATAAATATATATTTTTATAATATTAAAAATAATATAATTTATACTTTATAAATTTAGAAATAAAGAAAACCTTTTAAAAGCCTATTATAAATCAAATAGTTATCCATTGCTTCGGCAGCAATTTCAGCAACTTCTTTATTTTTAAATTCAATAAAAGCGTAACCACGAGAGTTTCCAGTCTTTAAAGAGGCAAATAAAATATAATTCGTACAAACTAAAAATAAATTTGATAACAAAAATAATTATATTTCAAATTTATTACGTTTATAACAATATTATAATAAAATTGAGACTTAAGTATAAAAAGAAAATTAATAACTTTTCTAGAACGCGAAAGGCGTAAACGTTTTACTTCTCCAAATTGAGAAAAAAAGATTCTCATTTCTTTTTCAAAAAAACCAAAAGGGATATGCCCTAAATATAAAATACCAGAGTTCTTTTTCTTTGGAAGTTTGCGCTTCTAAACAGAATGGATTAGAACTAATATTTAAAAGGTAAATAAATTTATACATTTTTATTTTGTAAACGTTGAATCTTCTTTTCTATAATAGCCTTCCTTTCAATTGTACTTTTTACTCGTAATTGATGAAGGCTGTTATTTTCTGCCGTCTTTTCTACAATGAAAAATCAAAACTCAAAGAGTGTAACTATTAAAACTAGCGCCTAATGCACAACCATTGAGTATAACTTTCATAAACCTCGTATAATTTAGCTAAAATAGGCTAATAAATAATAACTAAATGTGCGTCAAACATTAAATAATAAAGGTGTAAAAAGATACCTGTTTTTTTTTTATTTTCATCCATAGAAGTTTTAGCAGTTCCTTCATAAATATTTAGAGATGTATTTTTACGGTTAGCGTTAACTTTTTTGCCAATTTTTGAATTTTTAAACTGTTTAGAATTTTGTTGTAAAGAATCATTTGAAGCATTTTTATTATTTCTTTTAATCTTGTTATTTTTACCAGAGATCTCGAAATTCTTAACTTTGCAAGAAGAGTTTCTTAACCTTTTCGGGTTTAAGAGGCTCCCCGTCGACTTTCTCCTCTTTAAAACCATTAAGACTAAAGAAAAGTTGAAGGCAAAGCAGACAATGATTGTGAGAAAAACCTGGTAAGAGCACGTGGACTAATTTAAATACTTAATCCAACGTTTGGACCGCGACGCGTATTAAGCGTATACTTCTTTTACTGTTATATAAAAAAAAGTTCGAGATAGCTCACCACAGTCGAGATTTAAAAGATTTGTCAATATACTACTATTCCATTCTTATTGTCTTACACTTTTCAGTTGTGATGTAAGGCGGCCACTGTAGAGATACTGCAGAAAAAACTACCATAAATTCTACGCTATACAAGAACAGACACTTAAAGCATTGGACAGCAGTCGCCAAACTAGCTAAAGCCGCTATACTGCGCCGCTTATAATTGTTTGCGTTTGTTAACTCTCACAATGCATTGTCAGCGTTCCAGTTGGAATTTCGCTGAAAGCTATCTACTTTCGCTTGCTAATAGGCGACATTGACAAAAATTGACTATTAACGTGGTGAAGAAAAGCTTATTATTTCGAAAAGGTGCTCATTAGCAGGGTAAACTCGTAAATTATCATACTGATCTTAGAGTTTCCCGACCAGGTTTAGTGGTCAAGAGCATTAATGCGTAACTCGAGGTCGTAAATTAAATTTTCACCAATCAGACCTTTTCATTCGATCAATGACAGTTAAATACTTACTTTGGTTCCCATGTATCAGATTTGGGTCACCCTCAGTTGAGCTGATTTTATAAAAGCAATGATTTATAAATAAATTTATTAGACAAATTATATGTATATAATACTGTAATTACTATACCACAACACGTTTCACGCAGGAAATAAAGAGCAGAAATTAAATCTCCTACGGGGTGTGCTAGCTCTCTGTATATCTCCATGGCATTCTAATAATGGACTCAAGGGCTAACAGTGGCCCCAATTAGATGTAGAAAATTTATTTCGACTTTAAACTGTATGGTGGTATATAGTTGTAATTACAAAGCCTAGAGTCCAGCGTTTTAACCTTCCTTATACCACTCGTTTCTCGAAATCTAGCTTGTATGTGTGGTGTATTCGGTTAATAATGACATAAGCGTCTGCTGTTCGGGTTTTTGGCTTGTCGGCCTTAGCGTCCTGCGTTCAAGTGACATAAAAGCAAGCTGTACGCGTTATGAAGGGCTCGCTTTAACTTGTGTTAAAAGATGCTTTACGCCAAGATGTTTATCTAGGGCTTCTGGCTACCGTTTTCTACGTATTGTCAACAGCTACAAATGGTTATTCACGAATTTCAAAGTTTGTTCGCAATTGAGCTACGAGTGCACTTCGAGTCTTGTTTATATATGTGATAGGAATAAGATTTAAACTATTAGAAAATCCCAAAAGAATAATGTATTTTAGGCGTAAACCTTTACGCTGGCAACCTGACCGAAAGCTTTCGGTGTGTGTGAGCATAAGGTAATACCGTTAAGAAATGAAAGAGGTCGCTAACAAGAGCAGGAAGTCTGTGCCCTTTTTTTACCGAGCATCAACGCAGGCCGTTATTTATAAGTTGTATTACGTTTTGCAACGGTGTGTATATAGAGTTTATAATATTAAATATTGCTAATATATGAAGTGATGATAGTTTAAGTAGTTAAGGGTTTATTTAACCTCACTTGTTTCTTCGTAAACAGAGTCAAATAAATACGCAGTATTAGCGCTAGGTATTTTTTCTGTTAATTATAAGTCTCTACTCACCTACAGGCTTACTGAAAAAAAATAATTTTTAAAAGTTTGACCAAGACATTCTTATCTTTTATTTAAATTTAAGTGACAACTTCCGGAGTATAATTTACTGTTCAGTTTCAGATTTAGTTTTGTTATACCGGCCATTTTTAAAACTTGAGTATTTTATGCATTAGTTTAGTATTATTTTGTTCCGCATTGTGTTTTATTGACTACTTTGCTATGTTGATACATATAATAACGTCCTTAGGATTATCTGATAGTTACAAATATATGTGAAATTATTCGGTACCGTTTTTATAACAATAAATAAATAACTACCACGTCAAACACCATAGTACCACTTATCTTTAGTTACAATAGAGTTATTTATATAATATCTCTGACAAACTGCAATTACTTTGTACATTGACACCTCAGACTTACTAAAGGATCTTAAATTTAACGAAATTTTATTTATTGACTTTCGAGGGGTTCCACCAGGTATATAATACGAAAGCTCTTGTAAACACTACTTATATAAATTTATTCTAACCTAGGCTGCTATAATTGGCTTACAAACGTTCCAAAGCAAAGCGCACAAGCGTTTCCCTTACAATTTAAACGTAACGTAAAGCATAAATTTCCAATTTGTTATATTAATAACCCTCATGCTTGAGATTTGGTGCACAAAGTCACTAAAAAGTAGTAACATTGACTTTCTATAGCAGCCTTAAAGTTCGCAATCACGTAGGCTCACGCACCCAAAAGTATACGTCCAAAAGAAGACACCAAATAGAGTTATTTATAGTTCGCACGTGACCCACGTGTTATAAAAATAATGCAATTCAGTGCACTTTATACTTTCCCGCTTTAAGCATATTAAACTAAAACTAGTAAAATTAAAATAGCTAATAAAAATAGTACAAACTTTATTTTATGTAAGAAGACAATATTCACCAAAGGCAATCATGGATATAAGGAAGTACAAATAAAAATTAAAACAAATAAAAAAACAACTATATATATAAAAATCAAGTAAACAAAAAAAGTTATATTAACTTTAAAGCATTTTAATATATTAAGCAAAAACTTTTCTTTCCAGAAGCTCTTCATCTTCGTCCTCAATTTCGATCCAATCCTGAGTAACCTGGGGAGGAGGTTCCACGCGTCCCCAACTTTCGCGCAGTGCAGTCTTTGCCGCCTCGACTTTAGCCAAAGCAGTCCTCCACTGAGCAAGTTGGGCTCTTCGCCATTTTCTTTCGTTTTCGGTGACCTGAAAGAGCAGTATCGTGTTAATTATTGCATTTCTTTATTACTTTATTGTTCGCAAAATCAAGTAAAAATCTTAAAAATTCTTAATTTTTTAAAAAAATCTGTTTTTCGTGATTATAACGGTACCTTCCCCTCAATCTCTCTATCTTCCTTATCAAAGCGGCTGGCCCACTCCCGAGCCTTCTTTTCCACCAGCTTTAGCTCTTCTGGGCTGAGATCGTCTTTTGGACGAGGCCGCCAAGCAAACTGGCATAGTTTCGGGACGGGCACCCTATGCAACAGCCGTCCTTGGCTCGTCCAGAGATAGTATCCGTGCTCTGTCTATGGTTTTTTTTTCAAGCTAAACTATAAAAGATAATATATAATAAAGAAGTGGTTTTACAGGTTCCGACCAAGCGCTAACATAAGTGGCTACATAGCGACCAGTGGGGTCCCACTCAACTCTGCTAGCCAAATAGTGTTCGCCTGTGAAGATTAAAATAATCAATTATTTTAATTAAAAGAGAAAACAAGAGAAACCCTGATTAAGACGGGTGGCAGAGTCAGCGTCCCAAAACTCCAAAGACCGATTGGCCCCGTACAGATTGGCAAGGACAAACCGACTGCCTTTAGGAGACCACACCACCGTACGAAAAGGTCTCAGCTCTATAAGAACTTCATATATAATAACTATTAAAAAAAAGTATATTCCTATAAATATACAAGAGTTACTAACAGAGACGAGTCACTTGATCAATGCCGCTCTGCCGGCCTTTCATAGTGTACACAGTGACGTTCAAGGAATTCTTTTGGTGGCCGTGAATAACAACAAACCGATGCCCATTTGGCTCCCATGAAAAGGCATACACGGGCTCTTGAAAAAAAAGTTTAGTAACCACGTGAATGTTATGCAGCACTGACGAACCATTGGTCTCGAGGGTGTCAACTGGTATCGACTTTTCTTTAACTCGAAAAATTTCGAAACTAGAAAATTCTTTTCCCTTCTTCGATTTAGAGTCCACTTTAACGCAAAGATAATAGCCTTTAAGATAATAATATTAAGTATTATTTTAATTATAACTCAAGTTAAAAATGTAAAGAATAAACCATTTTCATGCCAGTGCATAGTTGCATGCTCAATATTAAACAAATTCTTCGAGCGGACTATTTGCTTCGAGGGGATTTCCAGTAAAGCAACTCTAGCAGGATGGGGATCTTTTTCAGGCACCCAAAAAGCTAAATGGCGAACGGTGGGTGACCAACTGAAACTATAAGAAGTAATAATAATAATAATAATAATAATAATAATAATAATAATAATAATAATAATAATAATAATAATAATAATAATAATAATAATAATAATAATAATAATAATAACGAAGCATCTCTGAGTCCCTCAACCAATATAGTTTTCTTTTCTCCTTTTACCAAAGTTTTCATGGAAGGAGTTTCGTAAATAGCAATATAATCCTTAATATATAAGTTAATCCATTCAGTTCTTAAATAAAAAATATAGTAACAAAAGTACGTCTCCAGGCCGAGCAACATATTTATCATCGTGACTCCACTTGAAGACGGGCCAGCTGAACTCCTTACCAGCTAAATATAAAAGTAAAAACTTAAAGGAAAACCGTAAAGTCAATAAAACTAAAAGCAAAAACCTTTTTGAAAACACCGAAGTTTGGCGCCTGTTCGAATATCCCAAATGATAATTGCCTGCAGGTGTAGATATTGAGCAGAACAGGTAGAACGCTATTAGAAAGTGTACACGGGGATTGTCTCGGTCATCGACGATCTCATTATTGCAGGTGACGATGTACTTTTCACAAGGCGAAAAGTCTAGAAGTTGAACGCCTTGTAATGACAGAGTAAAGTTTGTAATATTAAAAAATTTTATAAAAAAATTAAGATCCATTTTCTAAACCAGAATGTTCAAACCGCTGAATTTTTTTCCAGTACTCGCCGCCCCATAAAGCAACGCCTTGCTGGTGCACAGTGGCCAGGAAACTCCCTTTGGGGGACCTATTAATAGAGAAATTGCTGCATAAAAACAAGTAAATTGTACTTTTTAAAATGAAAGCAACCAAGCCACGTATTGCTCCGCCCAATGATCACGCTCTATGCAGGGTTGAGCGCCCGTCTTGGTGTTCCACATGACGGATGTCATGCGATCGTGAAACATAACGAACTGATCATTGCAGTGTTTGTCCAACAACCATGACTGGTAATCCCCCTATTGATTATCGCATAGAAATATATATAAATATAAATAAATCGCAGTAAAAAAATTACCGTTTCTTGGAACTCGGGTTCAGGTGGAGGAACAAATTCGTCGTTAATTTTAGAATAATTATCCAAACTTGATAACTTAAATGTCCCTGATAAATAATAATTTAAAACTTAAAAGATTTCATAACGTTCAACACATTTTTAATTTATTAAAAATTAAAGAAATAAAGTAACCATAATAATGTAAAAACTTACGAAAAATATGTTTGCTATCTAAATGACGGCCATTAAGCAAACGCAGAGCTTTTTCAGCGTCAGCGGGTGAACCAAAATCTACAAAGCAGAAACCTAACAAAAAAAAAGTAATAAAGTATAATAATAAAGAAAGGTAGAAAGTAAATCGCCTTTAGAATTTCCTTCTTCATCCAATGGAATTTCAATGCTGTCTTTCGTAACTTGGAACTTAGCAGCATTTGATACCTTACTACCTTCGGGGCAAGAAAATTTTTTGGCTAAGATACCAATAAGTTTTTCCTATATCATAACATAAAAAAAGATAAAAGTTATAAAAAATACAAAACCTACTTTTAAAAATTTTACTACAATAATAAATGTTGAAAGTTATAATCAATTAATAAAAAATCTTGTATAAAGATCTTTCAAAATGATTATTTTTACAAAAAACCTTCCTAGAGCTATCTATAACGGGGATGCCATCAACGGCGATAACGGAAGAAAGCAAATCCTCGTCAGTCGGAAATCTGGGGATTTCTTGTTCAGCAATATCTTTTATTAAAGCTGTAAAGATTTTTAGTGAAATAAAAGTTACTATTTTATATAATAATTTATGCTAAACCACAATTTACAGTTTTTATAATAAAAACATATAATAAGTAAACCAATAATACCATAGTCCTCCTCAGTAAGTTTTTCATTTAATAACTGCTCTACAATTTCCTTGGTAGTTTGTTTTTTAAACACCATCAGAAAAATTATTTTTTATACTGCGGGAAAATAAAATAGCCCACAAATGTTTTCCGGCTAAAACGACTGACACAGAAGTTCGGAAAACTGAGTCACGTGCTCATTCGTGGTACTTACTAGAATATTTAATAATTTTTTGCACAAACGAAATTGACTATGACGAGAACTGATCGGCAGTTACAAGTTTTAAATCTTTATCGAAGTCTTTTGAGAGCTAAAAAAAGTTTAAAGTACACAAATAAGGACTTTTATATTTATTTACTGAAAAAAGAATTTCGAAATTATCAATCGTTAACAGATGAAGCTCAAATACAATTTCAAATTCAGAAAGGACTAAATTTTTATAATACACAACTTGGCGGCTTACAGTGAAAATACCTTCTATCTTTATTATAATAATAATTTTCAAAAAGTTTCTGACTTGAATAAATAAAAATATCTGACCTATTTTATAGCTTTACGCTGATTAAACTAATAACTTCCTTTATGCCCTTTTTTTTTAAACTTAACATAAAAATACTTTGACTTTACCACAAATTTTTTTTTTTCTCTTTTCTCTTTATATCTTTATGGCAAGGAGGGTTACCGTGATCTTAAAATATAAGCAAGGCCCTTTTTTACGAAACTGCTAAATTTAAAAATAGATTTAGTTTTCACTTTAAATTTAAGGCGACGTTAATAACTTAATATAGTCAGTAATTAAACTATTGTTCTTACGTATTTTAAACGTTTTTAGGTAATTGATTTATACGTACTTTCGGCCTAAGGTAAAAAAAAAAGTTTTTCCTTGGCTAAGTTATGATTTAAGAGGGAAATGAATTTATAGAGCTACTTTATTACACATGTGTTACTTCATATTACAATTTTCTGGTAAATATAATGAACTTAAAATTTTAACTACATGAGGAAAAGCGCTTAAGAGAAAAATTCATGTTCAAAATTTTTCAGCCCTGTGATGAGTAACTAACTAGGGGAGTTAAAACCATAGCTTTACTTCTTTCAAATAAATTAGAGACGGGTAGCGGTATAGAGGTCTATAAAAACAAATGCAATGGTGCTATCTGGGTAGGTATAGACGAAAGAAGAAAGTCAGTGCTTAAGTTAAATACAAAAGAGAGAGCGCCCACGATGTGGCTTCCTCGTTAGTCTAACGGCTAGGATACTGCCCTCTCACGGCAGGGGTCGGGGTTCGATTCCCCGACGAGGAGTACTTCTTTTGTACTTATGAGCTTTTTTAAACGTTGCGATTGCATTAGATAAAATTAAAGCTTTTTGGTAATTCCTGCGCCCTTTAATCCTGCTTTAATGTAGGAAGTGACTTTTAGTATAGACTGTACTAAACCATGCTGCGTTAACAAAAAGTGTTATGATGATAGCTTTTAAACACTTTTTTTTTAATCTTTATTCAGTAACGTGGTCATTGCCATTTTGATTTTTACTTAAACCGAGTTGTGATCCCATAGTTAAACTTTTAGCTTTTTTTGTTAATGCACTTGCCCTTTATTATGCTTTATTTTAAAATACAACACTATAAAGTAGACTTACCATAGCTTAATATTACTCTGTTAACAAAATTTTGTAATAAAATTGAAACGCTTTTAATAAATTCTCCCTAAAATATTAGCCTACTGTGCTCTCTGTCACTAATTAAATTAATTATTTTAAAAAAAAAAATTTAACACCTTTACAAAAACATAGTAACTTGTTAAAAAGCTACTCTTCAATGTTCTCACTCTCCAGATTTTTATTGCTTTTTTCTTAGTATACCTTAATGCTTTATTGAATGCTTAAAATACTTACCGTCAAGTAATTTTGGGTAATATATAGTTTTTTTAATTTTATGCTACTAAAGTTAACTTGGCAATGAATTTAGCTTTATAATATTTGCTAAACTTTTCAAGTTACAATAAAAATATTCTGTAAAAATTAAGAAATGAGAAAAAATTAGGTTATTTTATCTTTTAGCTTGCTAGAAGTTAAAACAAAAAATTCAGTTTTTTTAATTTGATCAACAACTTAACCATGTCATTTAAAAATTTTATAAATGTGAACAAACTTTTGGGAAATACTACTTTATTAAAACATCCTTCGCTACTTATTTAAAATTCTCCGTAGCGTTAATCATTCGGTTATCTTCCAAATTTTCCTTAAATATTTCAACAACTGCTTTGTATAAATGAAAAAATGTTATTTAGTATATTTTTATATTAGAAAAAAAAGTTATAAAACATTATCAGAAGTTAAACTAAAAGTATTTAAAAATATCTCAAATAAAATTTTTTGCCTATAAATTTTTAATTGTTTATAAAAAAGCCTTTTTATAATAAAGATTTAAGTATTCTACTATAGTGAATTGTTTTTATTATATAAATTTTTCTTTAGTTAACCTTTTTACAAATTTAACAAAATCAAAATTAAAAAGATTTAATTCAAAGTTTTAAGCAGCGAAAAATTTTGTAATTTTAATCAAGCGCTCCAGTTCGAATCAATTTATATATATAAGCAAAATTATAAACAGCAATTTTTTTTTGGAATGCGTTAAACTAAATTAAATAATAACAATTAAAATTAAAGTTATGTTAAAGTTTTTTTAATTTTTTAATTTTTATTATTTAAATTTTATAGAAAATATAAACTTGAAGACTTTCAGTTTTTTTAAAGCGCTGGTAATATTAACTTAACTAATTAAATACTTTTAGATTATAAAAATAAACAAAAAAACTACAAGATATAAAAATTATAAATTATAAAATAAAATTTGTATTAATCAAAACATGACAATCATTTTTAAGGTAACTTTTATCAAAAAAATCATAAAATAAAATTTTGACTGCGAAAGTGAATAAAAAAATAAAAATTCCTTGATTCCTTATATTAACATATAAAGAATTTTTGATGGGCCCGAGTTTAAAATATATTTTGTTGCAAAGAGAAATTTTTTTACTACAAATTTCATAAGTAAAAGCAGAATATTTAATTGAATAGTTAATAAAAAATAGTTAGTAAAAAAAGATCGAAAGCAAGTAAAAAATATAATAAATGAGCTTTTTTAAATTTAAAGTTAATAAGTGATTAAATTATAAGTAATTATTATAACTACAAATAGAAATCTACTTATTAAAAACTTAAAAAAGTTTAAATTGAAATATTAAAACTAGCATAGATCTAATTTTGTAAATTTCTTTAATATATCCCAGTTAACAAAATAAAATTTAGAAATGCTAATTAAAGAAAATTAGAAATTACCCTTTTAATGAAAAATATGAAAAGTAAATAAAAAATTATAAAGCAGAGAAAAAAGTAAAAGAATTTATTAATAAATATTTTAAAAACTTTACTCATATAAATTGAATATAGTTATACAAAAAAATTAATGCTTTTCTAGATTTTTATATATGTCAGCTCGACCTCTCCCATTTCGTAAATTTATAGCGCCGTATAAAAGCAGCAGTATAGAAGGCGAAAAGGTTTGTTAGGAGTTACTCTAACAAATCACGAGCTCTTAACACGTGTTTCCACACAAGTTTTATTCCATGTGACTATATACGTATCTATATCACGTGTCGTTGCACGTGTTCTACGTTTGTCCCCCATTTTGTACATTTTGTACATACCCCTGAAGGTACAGTTACCCTTCCCTGAGCGCTATCAGAGCTGTCTTTAATGTGGGCATCACAAGCATATTTACTGGCCTCAGTCAAACCTCCTAAATCTACTCCTGCTCTATGTGGTAACTTTAACGACCCTCGTGCACGTTGCATGCCCAATGATTATCTCCTGACATTCATTGGTAGTAATAATCACGAGAGTTTATCTGAAAGGTTCGGTTTGCAAATGTAAAGTTAAAATTTAACTTATTTCCTTATTGGTAGATAGAGTTATCTCCCCTTAACCTCTAAACATTGCGATCGCATCGATAGCATTTATGTAAGAAATATTTAAAAAAATACTTTTTTCTTCCGAATTTAGACAAATTTTTTGAGAAGTAATTTCGGCTGGAGCAAAAGAAGCATGAAATATAAAATTATACTGGGAAAGTATAACAGGCAGTGACGAGATGATGGGCCCGTACGTCTAAAGAAGCATTATAAACATTAGTTTTTAAAAATTATACTAACATTACTTTTATATAATATATTAGTTTTCATATCATAATTATAAGTCTCTGTCTTAAGTATTAACAGAAAATTTTTTTAAAATTTAAGAAGTTAAATTAAATTACTTCTATAAAAAAATATATTCTATTATTAAAAAAAATGGTACAATTTTAAAAAGATAATAATTATTAATAATCTTTTATAATATTTAGCTTTCATTTATTACAATTAATTTTATAATATATTTTTGCTTAACAATAATAATTAGTTGACGTAGCCCCCTATATTTATAATTTATGTTTTTCGGAAAAAGAATTTCTTTTACGGACTTTAATAAATTTTTTTAGAAAAATGTAAGATAATTACAAGACATGACTTTATATTTGAAGATTTCATTCATGAAAATGAAATTAAAATTAAAATAAAAAACTTTTGAAAAAATTCTTTTTTCATTAAATAAGATTATTAATGAAAACATGTACTTATTGTAATAACAAACTTTTTTAAAAAAATTTAATTTTAGTAATACTTATAAGTAAAGTTCTTTTAAAGTTAATTTCATTTTCCTAATAATAATAATAATTAATAAATATAAAACCTGCGAATTCCCGTAGAGCATAAATAAAGGGACTGCAATCAGCTTACAGTTACGCGGCACGACAAAAGTGTCTAAAAATAATATTTATTTATAATTAATATAACATAGTTTTAATTTTTTTTATATGATAACAAAAAATTTAGTACTTTTTATTTTTTTGTTAAGGAAAAAAAAACTTACAATTATCAGATTTAGAAGTATAAAGTAATTATATATTTTTTTTGTTAAATAGTATATAAAAAATTGTCTTAGAAATTTTTAATACAAATAATTCTATTTGAAAATTAATATAACTGTATTTTAATTATTAAAAATAAAAGAAATTTTTTTTTATAATATTCCTTATGTAATATAAAAAGATATTTTTATATATACAAAAAAATTAATACTTTTAAAACTTATAATAAAACTAACGAAATTAGTTTTATAAAAAAACTCAGAATAATTTTTTAAATTTCTTTTTATAATTAATAATTTAAAAATAAATTTGAATTCAAAATCTTGTGTAAATTGTCAAATTTTAAAAATTATATTTATAAATTTTTTCAAAAATAATTCTCTATAACTGAAATAACTTTACTTCTTACAAACAAATATATAATAAATTACTTTAATTTACTTATAATAAAATTATATAATAAATAAATAGTCTTTTACAATTTTATAAAAAAAATTTATGGTTATATACTTTTATAAGCCAATACAAACAAAAAATATAAATTACTAATAAATATAAAAAATAACCGGAATATTTACTTTTATTAAATAGATATCAATTTTATTTACAGAAAATAATCTTACACACTTCAGGGACTTGTATTAGTAGAACTTTTTTTTGTTCTTTAGGTTTTGTTATGTGTGAGCATATGTACGGGTACTGCGTTTATTATATAAAGTTTTCTTTATTATATTATATAAGAAATATAGTTAAAAAGTAAACCAAGAAACAAAAATTTTAAATAAAAAAATTATTTAAAAAAAGTCAAAATTTTGTGTTTTTGTATATAAATTTTTTTTAGATTATAACAAAAACTTTAAGATATATAAAATAGTTATAAAAAATTTATAATGTGCATTATAAATTAATAACAAAAAACTCATAAACATAATAATAAATAGTTATTTCAAATTTTATTTTTTCTTAATAATTTTTAAAAAATTAGAAAAACATTGAGAAAAATATGAAATAGTTATAGAAAACTTATTTAAATTTTTTGTTCGTATAATTATCGCAACGATAATAGCAAAAATTAAATTTTTGTTTTATTCGCATTACTATAACACTAAAAAAATAATAAAAATTTTAAAATATAAAAAAGTTATAAAATAGTTATAAGAATTTTATCAAAGTTTTCCTTTTAGGTTTAATATTGGCATAAATATGATAGCAAATATTTATATAAATATCAATTTCCATCGTAAAAAAGGTAAATGCTCGTTCTTCGTATTAATAATACAATAAAAGTTTTAACAAAAAATTTGAAGAATATAAATTAGTAATCAAAAATTTATACAATAAATGTTTTTTTCTATAATTTTTATTATCTTTTATAAAAATTTTAATATATTTAAAAAAATTTTCATTATTTTAATAACGAAAAGACGACCATTCATATGTTGTAAATACTTTACAAGCCACTCAAGTTTAGTATAATTTTTATAAAGCATATAAAAAATATATTTTTTAGGAGGACTACGTTTTCCTAAATATATATAAGCGGTAAAGAAGTAATTAAAAGAAAAAATATGTACACTCATAAACAATATAAAATAGAAAGTCAAACATCATAAATTTTTGACTAAAGATAATAAGTAAAAAGTAAAAAAAAAAACTATAACTGCGAGGTGCATATATACTTTTTACAATTTACACCGTAAATTTCATATAAAATTATGTAAGGATCAACCAATAAGCGCAAAGATGGCTCTAGTAAGGCAGGTAAACACTAGTGTTCGAGTGACATAAAAATAATGAAAATTGGCTACCAATTAACGTAAAATTTTCTCGGTTTAACCAATCAGTGACTAGTATGACTATAAAAATCTTATCCGATCCAAAATCTTTTAGCCAATGCTACTTAGGTCTTAAGATTTAAATGGTTAAAAAAAGTCCAAAAAAAAAGTTATTAGGAGCTTTTTCATTAATATAAAAACTTTTTATCAATTATTCCGAAAAAAAAATTAAAGTTCTACTACATTTTAGTAGAGCAACTAAAATTCTGACGCAAGTGCACCACGTGCAAAACTCATCCGCGATAACAGTGTTTATAAACAGGTCTCAAAGAAATTTAGGTAGGTAATATATTTTAGATGAAAAAAATTATAATGGTATACGAAAAGTTAAAAGTAACCAATAAAAGAAAAAATAAAACAAGCAGTACCAAGCAGTTGTCAAAATTGGGCCTCCACCAGCTGCACAGTGTACTCACGACCTTTTGCAGTAGTTTATTTTAGTATATATATATATTTTATATATTTATTTATATACAAACTTATAAATGATAATTTTTTATAAAAAAATTTATATTTTAAAATTTATCAACAAATATGTATTTTTTACTTACTATAATTCATTAAAAATTATATTAATATATATGTACCTCTAAAAATTATTTTTAAAAGTAAATATAATTATTAGTATTAAAACACAACGATAATAAAAGATACAAAAAAAAACATTAAACAAGGTGCATGCTGTCAGTGTAAAAAAAAAAGAGGAATATGTTAAAAAATTATTTAAAAAAGTATACTTAGTATACAATAATATAAAACACTAATAACTCGAAAAAAAAAACTTTATAAACTTGCCTTATTGCGATGTACATAATATTTAATGAATACTCGGAAAAAAAAGACTTAACCAAAAAAAAACCTAAAAAACTTCTTTCCTTTTTACTAAAAGTTTTTTCAAAACTACAATGAAAAGCAAAGGAAGTAATGGTAAAAAGTTTCATTAGCAACATAATAGAATATCGGGAGCCCCAACAATAGGGAAATATTTACTATATTTACCATTTAATTTTTTTATAAAACTTAAGCAAAAGTGCAGTACTGCTCAGATTTTTAGTGAAAAAAAAAAATCAGAGTATAAAAAATAATAATAAAAGTTTTCCAAAATGTACATTATAACAATTTTATATATTTATATAAACAAGTTTAAACAATGAAGTGCAACTGCAGTTACTATATACCAAAAGTTTTTAGATATAACCAAAAAGAAGGGCTAACAATAAGTTAGTTTTCATTTATTGTTAATATTATCCTATTAGTTACTTTTTATTTTTTAAGGTATTATTAATTTTTACTTCATGTATCTTTAAATCCTTTAATGTACTTTATAAAAATGTTTAAAAAAGGCATACTTTTCCATATAGAATATATATCAAAAAGCGACTTTCAAGTCAAAGAAATTTATATTGAAAAAAAATCTTTTTTATTGACCAATTAATAAATAAATAAACACAGAAACAAATGAGGCACCTCCCAGTCCACTCTTTTAGAATTTTCTGCGCATAACGATTCGGTAATCAGCCTCCTTATGCCATCCTCTTCGCTTTCTCCCGGTTTTAGTTCGCCGCCAGGCCTCGATGAAAATATATAAAATTATATGTAAAAAACCTTCTAGAGTATTAAGTAATGAAAACTATTCTAATTCTAATGTCGTCACTTTTTACTAAAACAAATAAAATTATGAGCAAAAATAAATAAATAAGATTCAACGAAAACATAAGTTATTATAATGAATCTATTAAAAAATATATATTTATATATAAATTTCTAATTATTTTGAGTAAAAAACGAATCAAATATACAAATAGGTTGTTAACATTAATAACTAAATATTAAAGCGATTTCTTAAAAAGTTTTATAAAAAGTGCTAACAGACTCCAAAAAAATAAATTGAAATATTAAAAAACATAAATTTATAATAATGAAAAAGATTGATTTTAAACTAGAAAATAACTATAAAAATAATAATTAGATAATTAATATAAACAGATTTAAGAAATTTTAAAAAATTATTATTTACTATTTATTCAATATAAATATTTCATCGCCCTTTTGAAAAAATCCTTAAATAATTTCTCAGAATTTTTACTTCCGTTAAAAATATATATATACTGCACTTTTGATTCTTCGAAGAAATCCCAAGAATAAATACAACAATGAATTTAAAGAGTTCCAATAAAACAATTTCTTCCAACAAAGTTTAAGCAGCATTTAATAATAATATTGTTATATATAAAAAAAACAGTAAAAATAAATTTTTTTCACTAGATTTAAAGTTTCTTAGGTTTTTCTTATAAAAATTAAGTAAAACTCACGAGCATGTTTACTTATTACAAGTTTCCAAGTTTACAATAAAAATATGTTAAACTAAATTTTTTTTATAAAAGTTCAGATTTTTACAGTTTATAAAAACTGACGCCCAATTGTAACAAAAGAATGTGAGGATGACTGTATTCGTGCACTACAAGCACGGCTTCAACGGATCTCCGCATCCCTTGAACTTGATACTCCTCTTTTAATCTAAAAAAAAATCAGTTACAGATAATCTAACTAAAAATTATGTGAAATTTTTTTGTTAAATCACAGTGAAATTGATATAAAATAGTTGCAAGAAATAGAAACATTAAAAATATTGTAAAGTAAGTGTAAGTTACAATAATTAAAGGATATTTATAAATTTGTTCCAAAAAAAAAATTAGTTATGAAGTATAAATATGACTAATATCTAGTATAAGATATTACAAGTATGACTGTATATAACTATTAATATAAAAGTAATATATAGTAGAAAATAATAGTTAAAGTATGCCTTTGAATTCTATTTGCGACGCTAACATCCCTTTCATACTGAGGATCTTTGTCTAAAAACTTATAGTTATCTTCTGAATTGTGATACCTACAAAGAATATCTTCATTAAAAGTTTATAATTATTAAAATTTAAATATAAGGCTGAAAGCTGTCAAAAACTAACTTTGGTGTTAATAAAATTTATATATAATATATATATATATTAACGGAGGTGATATAAAACGAGGAAAAAAGGGTAAAAAAATTTTTTTTTACAAGTTTACTGTCTTTGATAGTTCTCTCATTTTATATATATCCCAATTTGTTAAAAGTATAAAGCTTATCTAAAAATTGCGCCACCAACTCAAATCTTGAAATTTAAAAATAACTTTGGCAACCGCAATTTTTTTAGTGCAAGTTCCTTCCGAGTTTGTACATAAGCAGGCTAGGACAGCCCCCTCTTCAAAAAAACATCAAAAAAACAAGTTATTTGTTATTTCTAACAAAGTCAACTTTTTTCCTGTTTTCACTTTTATCTCCACATTATGGTATACAAAGGCTTTTTTAAACTAATAATTAAAAAATAGTTTAAACCGTTTTTGAACTAATACACACTAAGCATAAGCCTCACTTTTTTATTAAAATTCACTGTGACTCGGTTTTATAGCAGTAAAAAATATGAGAAGACAAAAGTATTTAACTTCCTACTGTGAGATTTCATCCGAAGATGATAGTGTTTTGGAAGAAGATGGTAATTTTTATTAGATTTAATGACTTGTTGAAAAAGTTTGTTACATTACGACAAGGTTTATATATTCATATTCTGTACTTGTAGCTTTGGATGAAACTTGGAAACCTGAAGAAGAGGAGACAGTGGTGAATAGGCAATAATAACTTTCTATTTAATCTCTTTTTCCGGAAATTTTTAAGTTTTATTTAAAATAATTCGTATACTAACTTAAGTGGATTGTTTAAGAAAATACGCTTTTTTGTACTTATTACTACTTGTTTTTTTTGAAAAGCTTTACTAATTCTTTTATTTTTCTATAGGTAAAGTTTAAAAATTTTGAAAATAACAAAAAGTTTTTATTATAGTCATAATTTTTTTAATATATTTTAGCTTACAGCTGGTCAAAATATTTAATAGTAAACTTTTTTTTTCTTTTTATCACAAAGTTTAGTATAGCCAAGTTTGTTGGGATAATTTTTTTTAATATATATATTTAATTTTTATTCTTATTTCTTTACTACAAAGAAATAGTAAGTAATAATATATACTAATTTAAAGGCAATCTAATTTTATTAATTACTTTAGATTACACTTAAAAGAAAGGAAAACTAGAAAAATAACTAAAACTAGCAAAGTTGAATATTTTACGCGTCAGACACGTCATATTGGTTTTCATTTTTTATATTATATTAAAATGTAAATTAATACTTTTAATCTTTTTTTTTGAAATTAAATTTTTATTTAGTGTAATTAGAACTTACTGAATTTGCATTTAACTAATTTGATTATTTTTTCATCTTATTGAATTATATATATTAGATACACCTTATATGGTCATTAAAAAGATTTACTTTTTCTTAAGATGTAGACATCTTTTAAACTTTTTTTTATAAAAAGAGCTCACTGAATTATATTTTATTTTCATGAAAACTAAGTTTATCTATTTTTAATGTGCTTTAACAATACTCATATAATAGCGAGAGAGAATCACGAACTGCTAAAATAATTTTAACATATATAATGTTATTACTAATTACATACTAATTACATATCTTGAAAGACATAAATGATGATAATACTAAAAATATTTATAACCTTTTTAAGTGTATAATATTAATATAATTTATTTAAACATTTTTTTTCCGAATTTTTGTTTTTTGTATTGAAAAACTTAATAATAAATAACTTTTATATGAGATATTTTATTATATTTGTAAAGTTAAAAAATAAAATTATAAAATTTTAGTATTATTTACTTTTCTTATAAATTTTCTAGAGTCGAATTTTTATTTTACTTTATAATAAAATTTTTATATTATAAAATCTTTCAAAAACTTTTTATTTAAGAATATGCAGAAGAAAATGATAATAAGCAAGATAATTTAGAAAATACAATATCTGTGTTAACTGCTTCTTCTAAGGAAAGCGAAGTTGTAAAAGAAAAGGAAGAAAAAAATGTTTTTTTTAATTTTTTAAGTTTTACTAATATGTAATTAATTTAATTAATTTTTTGCTAAAGTGTGAAATAAAAAGTTTTCAACAGAAAGAATTAAATTTAGTACAAACCTCGGCAGTTTCACCTGAAAAACTCCACGACGGAAAAAAATTTGATAAAAAAATTAAAGTTAATTTTTTTGGCATTTATTATAATTAATTAAAAATTTTATTTTATATTTTCTATAGACGAATCTCGTTGAAATTCCTTTGAAATGTGCAGGGACCGTGGCAGAGTCTTTTTTAATGCAAACAGCTAATGATGATTTGGTAATAAATGCAACAAATTCATAATTCTTGTGATTCTTTAGATTTGAATTGTTTATTTTTTGTATTGGCTATTATATATTTTCATTATTGATGTTATTAAATTTTAGAAAATAGTTATTTTTAAAAAAATTAATAGTAAAGATTTTGATTATTATTATATATTTTAATGAGTATTAATTAAAAAAAAATTTTATATAAATTTTCATTTTTACGTGTATATAATTTTTTGCACTGCTCTCCTTTAGTTAAATCAATATTAAATATTAATTGCAAACTATAGATAAGTTAAAAGAATATAAACACACCAAAAAAAATATTATAAAAGAGTCAAAGTAAATAGAAGCTTCTCACTCCGGCAGTCTTAACCCGGAGTTGCTTATACACTAAATTTTGTGGCACTTCCATGGTAAGACGCACGCGGGGGTTTTTTATTTACTCTGCTTAATTAAATTTGTTAACTTTATGTTTAAAATACGCGCAAAAAGTTTTGTGAATACTCACTGCATTCCAAATTTTAGATTTTTTTTGAGTTTTTATTTATAAATTATATTAATTTTGGGGAAAATATTAATTTTTGATCTCCAATGAAAAGATGAAATAATCCATTCACATAAATATAATATTTCTATAATTGCTTTATATTTTTTACACTGATTTATATAAATTAACTATTAAAAATAAACATAAAAAAATTAAGTAATTTTTATTAGAATACTAAAAAAGGTATTTGTTATTTAATTTTATTTTACCTATTTTTATTAATATATTTTTTAAACGCTTTTATATTGTAATTATATGCATCACTGACCTCTTTGTCTTTAAAATAGTATACTGATAATTATATATTTTTTATACTTTTATTATTGCTATATTTTTCTTCGTATCATGAAAGTATTATTAGTTATCTTTTTTAATAACTAATATTTATAACAATTAGTTATTTTCATTTTTTTTTTCTTTTTATATTATTTTAACTTGAAATTATGAATAATAATTTTTATTTACTTTTGTATGTTTCCCTTAAAAAGTTCTTTTTTAATACATTTTTTTACTACACTCTTTATAGTAAACTTTATAGTTTGTGACAAGTAAAATTTTTTTTGTTATATTATTATTTACTTTTTTTATGTTATTTATGTTATACAAGTTACATATATATTTATACAGGACGTCAGTGGAGACACTGGCTCTGTGGGGAGGGTCTATGTAAATAATAATAGCGACAATCCACTAACTTTAGACCTGAAAGGTATTATGGGTTGCTTTTTATATAAACTTAAACGCCTTTTGTTCATTTTTTTATAGTTTCTTATTAATTTATAATTTTATAGAAATTTATTGAAAAAAAAAAGTGGTTTAGTTGTGGTTTTAATTTTAAATTTTTGGGAAACTATTTTTTCTTTGTATATGTCCTTAATGCCTATGTGGATTAATTTACAATATAATGACTTCTGCGATTCATAAGTTTATAAAAAGAAAGTATTGAGGCGAAGTTATGCTTATTGCTATAAAGTTGTCGTAAGTGATTTTGGTGTAAAAGTTTTATACAATAGCGATCCACTAAGCATACCGCATTGATCATGTGGGAACGCAGCAACTTTTGTTTTCACCAAGAAAAACAAAAATATAATGAAAAGTACACTTGGTGTATACACTCTACAGTGAATTTTTTTATTTATTTATAGAGAAGCTTTTTATGGAATGTTAATTAATGGATGCAAAGTGGTGTTTTAATCGGGATTCATTTATAAATTATTGGTTCTACTTATATGTTTTGGTATATTAATTTTTTTTATAATATATAACTACATTCATTTGTTTATAGACAAGATTGAGTGCTTATTTTCGTTATTTATATATAATAATTATCCCTTATAAGTTATATATCCATAATTTTTCTTTATATAAATTATTCTTACGTGTTTATTTTATGTGATTATTACTCATTATCATGGTGCTTGATTTTCAATGTAAATTTATAATATTATTCATATAGTAATACGATAATAATACATTTGTGTTCTTTATATAAAATGTTTACATAAAGGATATATGCTGGAAGGGAGGATGCACCCTTGCACTACTTTTCTAGTGGTCCACGTAGGGCCAACCGAAGCAAAGATCGAAAGTGAAATTAATTCGTATTTCAGGCTAATAAGGCACATTATATTATTTATAATAATCTTATATTCTTTTTATAATGCGTATTATTAGTTTTATACTTGTCTACTTTTGCTTTCTTATTTTATAAACACTAATAATAACTACTTTTCTTAAAAATCACAGAGAGACGGTCACAGTGGACAGGGAAACGGTAATCGGCGGTTCACTAAATTTTGAAGCTATTAATTCCGACGAGGAAGAGCTTCTGGAAAATGCTAATTTTAAGTTTGCTACTTTCATACTTTTTAACTACAAAATGGCGCAAATTTTATTTTTACATATGGCGCTTTTTAGAAATTGGTTTAATAAAATACTGATATAAGGATTTTGTTATGCGGTTTGGTGTTTTTATGATTAGAGATTTAAAAATAGTATAACAAGCAACTTTTTTGTTAATAATATACGCGACTAAGAAAAAACTTTTACTCTAAATTGAGGCTTGAAAGTAATGATAAGCTTTAATATGTAAAAGTAATAATTAACGAGTTCTGTTTTACGTTATGATCCCTACCATATCATGGTACTGTGAACCTAAAAAACCTTTTTTGTTATAATAATTGAAGTCGAAGTTACTGTCCTTTTTCTTAAATTAGCATAATTTTAGATTCCCAATAAACGGGCTTATATAAATATTATAAGTTAACCTTTACGTCAATCTTGAGTAAAACTGTTTGTTATAATTTATAAAAGAGGGCCCGAAAGGAGAAAATCCATATAATCCTAAATTCTGAAGATCTTGTTAAGAAAAAGAAAGGAAGCAAAACGCATAGCAAAACAAGACCGAGAAAAAAAGTAAATATTTTTATTTTTTTTTTGTATATATTTCTATATTCTTTTAAAATATAATTCAGTATTAAAGCTATATAACCTGTATGCAGCAAAAAATTCTCACATTTGTTGTAAATTAGCACACTATAGAATTTAACTTTTTTTTTTGCAACAGATTTATCATAGAAAGAAAGCATAGAACTCCAATTAATAAATTTTGGTTATTTTATAAACCGCTATAAATACTATCCTTCAAGTACAAATAAAAATATAATATTGTTAAAGAACACCAATTTTTTTAAGAAGTTGTTTTCCTGAAGATGCTGCTTTTCATATCTTGTAGTTTTTATATATTGATAATGTAGCAGCGATGAAGTTAAGAAAACCGTCGATTAACTTTTATTAATAAACGCAACGGCGTTGCTTTTCCGCGTGCAAGCCTTGTTTAGTAGAAACTCATGTTAAATATCGAAAAAATAAACTGGCAGGACCCTTGAAACATTGCTTATTAATGCATTGTAAATGTATTATTATTAGAGTCGTTACGTTTGTTTAAAAAAATTAAAATATACTGAAGAATATTTCCGACCACAGCTAAACTATAGTTTAACAATTGTAACGTGCATTCGGTGCTTATAACAATTAGAAGATTTCTTTAAGGAGTTGTCCTTTCGTTTAATATAAGCAGCATTTTTTTTCCTTTTAATAAACTAATCAGATTTTAGAATTTTTAAGGTTTATTTCAAGTGCATCTTTCCTCATAATATTTACTTATTTTCAAATTTATTTTCTATTGTATATTTTAGTTTTTTGTTCTGTTAGCAATATTCTTTGTTAAAAAAAGAAATTTATAAGTTATATAAAAATATCACATGCGCGCTATATAATTTCAAAAGGAATTTTCGCTGTTATTAGCTTGGCAAATTTAATAATTATTGTAATCGGTTAACAACGTTAATATTTTTTCACTGTCAGTCTCGTAATTCTTTGGGTAAAAATTGTCACCTGGGCAAGTGTAAGAAAACAAAATTTTTTAAAAAAGACCAAGCATAAGACAACTAGTGTATCTAAAAATCCACACGTTGACATCCTCGGGCCTCCAAAACCAGCTGCGTTGGGAGGTTGTAGGTATGCTACATGTTTTATGTGTATACAGTGGTTATAGAACTTGGTACTTGATAAAATATAGGAGTGAAGCTCTCCGCATAATAATTTATAGACGCTGTTGTAAAACCAGTAGGGTGTGGTCCCAGGAATTTTCACATTTGGCAACGATAAAGAATTTTCGTCTAAATTTCTCCTTAAGTTAATGAGTAGAGGAGGTACAATAACTTACACGCCTCCATATACTTCAGAAAGAAATGGAGTTACTGAAAGCAATAATTAGACGTCATTTAACGTGGTGAGAGCCATGCTGTTCGATTCTAGTTTACCCAAGCTATTATAGGGAGAAGCACCTCTACACCCTGCCGGTATGATGGTATTAATATTACGTCATCTTTATCGCCTCAGTCAACTGCACATGCACTACTAACGGAGGGAAACTCAGACATGAAAAATGTTTCTCATTTTGAGTGCGGAATCTTTTATTAGAATAATTCTGTTAAGTCCAAACTGGATGAAAGAGCTAAAGTAGGTTACTTTGTGGGTTTTGACCCATCTAGACACTGTTAGAATTTTAATCCAAACTCACTTAATGTCGTACAGAGATGCTCTTCTTGACGAAAGAGTTCATTTGCAAAGATGAATCCGTTCATGGGTCGGACAACCCTTGTATGTACCTGACAGGCACCCTACCACAGCCATCACAGGTAGAGAGGTTGAGTCGATGCAACTGCTCCAAAATTAAAAAATTGGCCCCTGTGATAACCAGTTACCATGTCTGACCCTTCTTCCAGCAATATAGACACGCACGAGAGCTGGTGAAGATTGTGCTACAACTAAACTCTGTATATCTGGATATATTGGTACCACCCTATTAATTGAAGCCCTTCCACCTAATGCGCGCAATATTGCAACGCCAATGACTCTTAACTAAGCAATGGATAGCTACTACAAGTTGGAGTGGTTGCATGCTATCAATCAGGATTCTTAAATACAAAAATTGCACCTAGATCTCCGCTGTATTGCCAAAAGGTAAGGAAGAGTCGGTTGCAAGTGGGTCTTTAAAGTTAAAAGTCACTTTGACGGCAGTGGCAATAATTTTAAAGTCCGAATATGAGCTGAAGGTTTACTTAAGGGCTATATAACGAAGATTTTATAAAAACCTTTACTGTTGCGAAGTTAAAGACAGTAAGACTCTTTTTTCTGTTTGGCTGCCTCTATGGGGATGAAGGTAGTACAGTTTACGTAGAGCGGTCCATTCACAATCCCTACATTAGAGGAAGAAATTTAATATGGAAGTTCCGCAAGGAGCGGGTGTTTGCAAGCAATTAATTGTGTTAGATTGCTTAAACCAATTCCCGGGTTAAACCAATTCCCGTTTGAAAAGGAATGTCACCATGCACGCTGACTTAGTTCAGTTTGATTTTCGTCAATGTCACGGCAATTCTTGTTTAAACATAATGAAAAAACACGGTTGACTTATTATGCTTGTGTAATATGTTGATGACTGTTTAGTTGTCCATAAGAACAAATCCTCTAGCGACGGTGTAATGCCTTAAGTGAGCTCTTAAACACGCCATTTAAATTCTTGGAAAAGTATTTTGGATTTTAGGTATGCATATTGTTCAAAATGAAGATTGAATTATTAATAATTAAGAAAAAAATATATTAATGACACCATAACAAGATTTAACATGAACGAGGCAAAGCCACTTAGAAGCCACAGCTTAATCAAAGAAGACATGTCAAGTGAAGTGCCAGTGGACGTGCCGTATAGAGAGCTAATCGACTCTTTAGTCTACTTAGCTACTGTAATTAGACCTGACGTATCGTTCGCTGGTGAAAAATTAGCCAGTAAGGACAGCAGACATTCTAGGTCTGGTTGACTGTCAGCCAAAAAACAGGGTGAGATATTTAATTGAGGTAAAGCCTTATAGTATTTACTATAAGAAGCTGGGGAGTTTTAACCTAAAAGGGTACAGCGATAATGTTTATGGTAATCGTAAGCAGACTATACACCGCACCACGCTACCCCCTTTCTGCCTAATGATGTACCGGTGACTTGGAAGCAGTTTTACATAACACTATAGCTCTGTCTTCAATGGAAGCAGAGCTCCATGGCCACCTGAGAAACCTCTAAGGAGGCCCGTATGATTGAAGTCCTCAATAAAAAAGGTCGGAGGCTTAGATGACGCTGTTCCAATCTTTGTGGATAATTAACCTGCAGTTCGATTAAGAATAACCCAGAGCATCATGAAAAAAAAAAAACAAAACACATTGACATCCGTTGTTTTCGCATTCGAGAAAATCTTAAATCTTAGGCCGTCAGCTTAATTATGCTTCCACAGAATATAATCTTTCCGACGTATTAACTAAAGCGATTCCTTCACGCACGCTTTTAACTTGTGCAGCTAAATGATCTATAATATTAGGGGTGTAGTGTTGGGAAATAACTACCTTAGAATAATAATTGCTACCATATTATCATAGTGATGATTAACCTTGTGTCCTGAGTCAAGCGCAATACTAACAAATATTTTACTCGTGAGGCTCAATAAAATCTGTTATGTTTGAAGGCGGTCGTGGATGCTCGTAGAGTTGTACCAGAGTTTCAGTTTGGGTTTCACAAGGGACACTTATCTAACAAATTCTTTGTTTAACCGAGTGGACGACCAGAGCCTTTAATTTCAAAAATTTCAAAAAAGCCACCGGCGCTGTCTTGAGAAAGCTTTTGACTAAATATGGCAGGTGGTCTGTTATGCAAGCCACATGCTTTGGCGATACCGCACGGCCTTCAAGAAGTTCTTAAGGCGTACCTAACAGGCCGGGTCTTCAGCGTGCGAGTAGGCGCTGCAAGGTCGTCGCCTTGCTATTTAACAGGGGGAGTCCCGCAAGGCTCTCTTCTGCCACCGCTGCTATTCCTGCTCTATACGAGCGACATTCCTCTTCCGGTTCGCCTTCACAAGCAGGTCGCCATTTACGCCAATGATACGATGATTTTTTTTTTTCTTCAAGTCACCCGTTTTACTATGTCAGCACTTACAACTCTTATCTCGAGGCGCTTACTAGCTGGTGTCGTCAGTGGTACCTCTCCATTAAAGCAGCAAAGGGCAAGGCGCTTCTAATAACCAAAAACGCCATGCTCTGCCGACCCCATTAACTTGTAACGGCACTGGAAATTCTGTGGTGTTCTTAGGTAAAATACCTGGGTGTAATTATTGATACTAAAATGTCGTGGGGTCCACACATAAATTACGTGGAGACGAAGGCCGAGGTAGTGATCCAGATGCTATATCCTTTATTATGCAGGAAAAGTAAACTATCTTGGCGCAATAAGTGAAGGCTTTATGGTTTGTACATTCGGCCGATTATGGCATATGCATCTCCGGCCTGGGAGATTTATCGGCAATAACTTCCTTGGCTTCAAGTGCGACAAACAATCGCGCCGTGATTGTTTGTGCGCAATGATAAACTTCACCACGAACTCAGGAATTGAGCTGCTGACCGCACTCTTTAGAAATGGTTCCGTCGCCCTCTACGAACAGATAGTTGGACACGCTAATCGCCTACTAACGGGGAACTCACGAGCGCGTACTACCGCCATCCACGGATGCACTCTTAGCATGAGAAGGTTAGAATTTAAGTTGGGAGGCCTAACTTAACCGTGAAGGTGATGAGTTAATAATTTTACTTGCACTAGTGGACTACTAATACCTGAAGCGAGTGTATTCGAAGTTGTTAACCTGATCGAGCAACAGAAAACGCCATTAATAATTAAATAAATAAAATCTATCTCGTTTTGCATCATGCTCCCTTGATCTTTCCTTATATATATTTTGAGGCCCTTCAGTTAATGTATTTTTAAAATTATTTTATGTATACAAAGTTTTGTTACTATTATCTTCCAGTTCCCACAACGTTTTCTTAAAACTTATTATTTGTTAATTTGAAAAGGGTTTAACAGAGGTAATGTGGTTAATTTTAATAAATACTTAAGAAAGCGCAAGCGGTAAGTAAGACAGTTAAAAACCGTTTTAATGTAAATTGTCCGTGTTATTAATAACCCTTTAGATCACTAATTAAGTTTCTTAGAGTTGTTTGTTTGTTTTTGTTTGGTCTTTAATCGATTACAAAGCCCT